GGGGGAGGTGGAGGTGGAGATGGCGACGATTTCAGACCCCGTGAGCCATATGTGCGTTCCATGAGAGAGGTGTTTGTGTGGGAGGGAGGTGTAGGTGGAGATGGCGACGTTGTCAGACCCTGTGAGCCCTATGAGCGTTCCATAAGAGAGGTGTTTGTGTGGGGGAAGTGGAGGTGTATCAGACCTCATGGGCCCTATGTGCGTTCCGTGAGAGAGGTGTTTGTGGTGGGGAAGGTGGAGGTGAAGGTGGATGTGTTGTTAGACCCCGTGAGCCCTATGTGCGTTCCAATAGAGAGGTGTTTGTGGTGGTGGGGGGGGGGAGTTGGAGGTGGAGATGTCGACGTTTTCAGACCCCGTGAGCCATATTTGCGTTCCATAAGAGAGGTGTTTCTGTGGGGGGAGGGGTGGAGGTGTTGTCAGACCCCCATGGGCCCTATGTGCGTTCCATGAGAGAGGTGTTTGTGGTGGTGGGGAGGTGGAAGTGTTGTCAGACCCCCATGGGCCCTATGTGCGTTCCGTGAGAGAGGTGTTTGTGGTGGAGGAGGTGGAGGTGGAGGTGGATGTGTTGTCAGACCCCATGGGTCCTATGTGCGTTCTATGAGAAGGTGTTTGTGGTGGGGGGAGGTAGAGGTGGAGGTGGCGACGTTGTCAGACCCCGTGAGCTCTATGTGCGTTACACGAGAGGTGTGTGTGTGGGGGGAGGGTGGCGGTGTTGCCAGCTAGTGTGTGAGAAGTGGTGACGTTGACAGATCACAAGGCGGAGGAGCCAATTTTGAAAAAAAAAAAAGGGAGTTGACGAAATGTGTTGATATAGTTACATTTTCGATTTCTACTTAAGTATTAGTCACTAGAAATCGAAGTTGTTTTTCTTAATTTAAAATTGTTTTTTATAGTAACTCCGTTTACTACTGTGTATGCGCATGCCCTGTCCACTACGTGGAGAAAACGAGCATGCTTTTGCATCTTTCATGGGTTTCACTGTGGTAAAATCAATTAACATAAATTAACATAAACACGTAAATTAACATAATATATTTTTTAAAGCATAAATGGTACAACATATTTTAACAAAATTCACACTTGACGTTGTATTTCTGTTGCCAGAACACCTTTTCTACAGGAAGCACATTCTTTCGACAGAACCTGATACATTTATAAATCCCTAAATTTGTATCACTCTTATTTATAGCGTAATTAATCCTGGGATTAAAGAGGTTTATTTGAAATAAATTCATTGTAATATCAATGGTTTACGGGTATTTACGACCACGCCAGTGACCAAACATCCACACAATTACAGGAAATTTATTTCAAATAAAACAAAAATACTGAACGAAATTATTTTATACTTTAAAGAATATAAAATGAAAAAAAATTGAATTATTCTTAATGAATATAAATAAATGAAAAAAATGAGTTTAATTTATAACCTTTGTAGTAACTTGTTATTATCTATCCAATTGGCCAACACGTGCGCCCGAAAATGAGTACACATCTAACTGCAGAAGTGTGCAGTAAACACCGTGGACCTTTTTCCACTGATGTCAAAATTTTAATTTGTGGACAACCGAAATCTTCGAGATCGATAACAATCAGTAAACACTGAAAGAAACGTCTTCTTTTCCAAACCATTGACAAATATTTTAGGATTTTTACCAAGATTACAGTGCAGAATATGATTTATTTCGACGTAGTCTGCATCGCCGTCTTCCCATTTTATATTGTGGAAATACCGATACAACCAATTATTTACCCTGAGACTTGAAATATTCAGTACGCATTCTTCCGGAGGTTTGAAATTCCAATGTTGACTTGATTCGCAATCGAGATCCACCATCGACAATTCTTTCACTATCTATGCATTCTAAAGCATTGAATTTCTACGAGACATGCTCTGTTCGAAGTCATCATGGTGAATAGATTGAAAGGTTCAATTTTTTTTTATTTATACCATTTTATGAACGATGTTGGACAGTGGGTTGTATTCCATTATTCTATCATGTATTATTAGACAATATGCAGTTGTTTCTGGGAGGAAAGGTTATTAACTTTGAATTTGGGCCCGTTTTTATGGATTTGGACTGTTGAGCACAGTCAATTACAATTATGGAAGCATCATCTCTAAACTGGGATAATGAAAATAAATGGGATGGATTAAGATCTGAATAGAAATTCTTTTGAAAATTTGTACACATATAATATAACATTCCGTACTGGTTAGTGGAAAAATTCACGTTTAAGTCGTCATACGGATAAGATTTCGAGTTTAAAAAAGTTTTACATTAGTCAAATTGCAATGATTGAATTTACTCGCATCCGCCAATGAATTATTTTTTCTCGATGTTTGAAAAGCCAACAGTACAAAACGGAGCTTTCCCGTTTGCGTAGAAGTCTTAACAGCCCACAATTGTCTTTAAGTCGTAGGAAGAAGTGGGTAATCGTACAATTCCCACTTTCTATAACTTTTTCTCTTTTCAGATGTTTCAACATCACGAGTTTTTGATATTCATTTAAATAGAGATAAGGTATTCTCCACGGTAGATTTGTCAATTCTACTTTCGCTTTTTCCGACTGGTCTGTAGAAATGAACGAATTTTCATCTCTTCTTGATCGTATCAATATAAGTTCTTGCTTTACGTTGATAATAACTTTTTGGTAATCTTCTGCAAACCCGAGTAGCAATCTTAAAGGTTTGGAAACATTAAAATGTCCTTCACATGAATTTACAGCAAGATGCTTAGATTCTGCCGCGATCCATCCAGCATTCTCAATAACACCCCACGTTTTATAGAACACAATCCCTTTAAAGTACTGGCAATCCCGGGATTTTTAATTCTATCAATTTCTGTTCCGCAGAACTTCTGATTTCATCGAACAAAAAGCATTCTGGGTTAGTTCACTGTTCATTGGTAAACCCTATCCGTCTTCTTTTAAAAATTTGCCCTCTAAGTAGATAAGACTCACATGGTAACGTGTAAATATCTTGGTGTTGAACAGTGATTCTAATCTCATCGCCAGGTTGTAATTTCGTCGATGCATAAGGATAATGGGAATTTAGTTCTATACATTCTACAGTTTCATCGAAATTAGGACGTTCTTCCAAATTTAATATTTCCATTGATATCTTGGTAAAATATGATATCCTGCTGATTTCAAAAACGCAATATGGCAGTTGACGACAGAATTAGTTTTCACTTGTGCTCTCTATGTAAAAATTATCCTTGTTTGCGTAACACAGATTCAAATTGTAAAAATGAGTCCCTTTGTTATATTACAATTAATTAAGGTTTTTAGTTGAGATGAAAAAAGTTAATGGCACGAGAGGGATTCGAACCCACGACCTTCGGCTTGATACGCCGCTGCTCTACCACCTGAGCTATCGTGACCTCGATCCACTCGGACATCAACTCCCCATCTCAACCCCACCTTATGAGTTTTCCCTCCTTTTGTTATATATGTGGTATCCTTTTTGCAACGCAAAATTTAGTAGACATCTACTAGCTCTCAACAAGGAGGATGTAGGGAAGATTTTATTAAAAATTCTATAGATCTAGAAGAGGCAATTCCATTGATATGTAGTCGATGTGAGCAATCGTTTCTCATCCCTGAAGGCAGGGAAATACATGAAAATAACAACTGTACTCTTCGGCATCAAGTTGGTTTATGTTCCTAATGTGGTAGCTTTTTTTTCGATTACCATAATTTACAAAGACACGAAGAAAACTGTAGTCTACTACAAATTCCATTGAGAAAAGTTGAACCAAAGAAAAAAGAAGTCTTAGCCCTTCCTTCTAACGATGAATATGAAACCGCATTCGAAGGTCCCATTAAATCTTCTTTTCTTCGCTCTGAAAACAATTTTGATTTAACCTCTTTTTTTTAAATAACGTAAAACCGAAGATTTTTAATAAAATTTTAGGTTTATTTCAAAATTACAATTCTTTAAAAATCAATTTTTTAGTAGAATGTTTTTTTAAATGAAAGTACAGACCGAGCATTTAAGACGAAAAATAAAGTTTTATACAGAGACTCTGACATAGATGAGTTCTTAGAAAATTCTTTTACTGAACTAAAACAAGAACTTGAAGAGAGCAATTTACAAAAGAGTGGATGGCGATTCGTAACTGTCGATGGTATAAGAATAATGGTAAATAAACATTGCCCTTTGAAAACGGATTCCCTTGGCGAGATCAATAAAAACATAAAAAAGCATGTATTAATGTAAAAAACGATGACTCTTTATGCTTCATGTATGCAATATTAGCTAAACTTGCGCCCTCAAATCCAGAAAGAAAGGAAACTTATACAAATTTACGGCATCCATATTGTTTTGATTTTATAACTTTTCCCGTAGTTTATATATATATAAAAAAAATTTGAACGGATAAATAATGTCAATTAATGTGGTTGGTCTTACTTCTACAAATCGTATTTATCCTCTTAAAGTTACAAAAACACAACTTCAAGATCATAGGGACCCCGTACAAACTGTAGCTTTCTTTTTTATGTAGAAACTATACATCTAATTGTTTTGTACATAATTTGTTGTATCTGTTCTACATACAAAAACAAAACTACATGATCTATAAAAAGAAGTAACCTTTTTAATTCAAACAAACTTAGAATATGGTTTTTACCGTCAGGTTCAAATAATATTAATAGCAAATCATATAAAATAGCTTAAATTGTATTTTTTTCCAATCAACATATGTTTGGTAATTTACCCAGGCTCTGAAGATGACCCGAAGGTCGAAACGTTGAAAAAACATGAAAAACGTGTTTTTGTGAACTACCTCATTCTTGACCACTCCACTTCAACAAATTAATATCATTTTATTAATCCGGAGCGGCTGCCAATGGCTTTTTCTATAACGCACGTTATGCCATAAACATAAATTGAAATCCAATCTGCAGGTTGTATATAATAGATGTTCAGTTGTTGATAAAAATGAATGAAGTAAAAAAAATAATAATAAATAAATGCTTTGTTAATATTTTAGTTTAACTTTGTCGGAAAACTTCTCGGGCCGAGGGGAAATTCGCTCAAAAGGCTCCAAGAAGAGACGATGACGAAAATGGCCATTTTGGGCCGTGGAAGCATGAAGGACAGCCAAAAGGTATAAGTTGAATCTTCAAAAATTCGAAGCATTTCATTTACCTTTTATCGTATTTTAGGAAGAAGAGCTTCGAGGTTCGGGGGATCCGAAGTTTTCCCATCTCCTCGACGAACTTCACGTTGAAGTGACAGCTTTCGCTCCACCCGCGGAAGCGCACGCCAGGATCGCCTACGCCCTCGCTGAAATCCGTCGTTTCCTCGTACCCGACATGAACGACGATATCCGGCAGGAGCAGATGTGGGAGATGGCACACATGAAGAACGGAGGACCGCCCACGGCCCAGGAAGAACCTCCGGGCCCGGGGACCGGAGTGGAAGAACGGGGCGAGAGCCCTGCCAGGAACGGAAGAAAAAGGCCTCTCCTCGCCCTGGCCCAGATGTCTCCGACGAAACGCACTGTCTTGAGCATCCTCGCTCGCGCGGCTCAAAACCAGGGCGCCCTCAGATCCATCCATCCGTAAGTTTAACTATACGGTAAAGTACAAAAAAATCAATCACTATAATTTAATATTAAGTTGAGAGATTTCTTGTGGAAGTCTGTGGAGTGACCAACTTTTAGTTTAGCCGTTTCCTTTCATACTGGTCAACCTTTCTTAGCTTCTTTCATTGAACCATCCTTACAGGTCGGTCTGTTCGTTATTTTTTGTCTTGTATCCTTTTATAAAATAATCAAATAATCACATGTGAGAATCGATTTCACCAAACGTAGCTATATCGTTTCGAAACTACCAATACTCATCGATGATCGAGAAGTCATCAACTCTTAGGTTAGTTGCATAGTTTGAATAATGGCAATTCTCGATGGATGGAATCAGGTAATCAATCATTCTTAAGTATTACGTCGCAATCTGCGCAGGAAAGATTTAAATGCTGGAAGTAGACACATAACAAAACAATATACTTTGACACCACGTTGGGAGAAATAGAAAACAATTTATTGTCTGGGTATTAGGGCTGAAGAATGATAGACTCAGTAACACCAAAGGTCACTTCTGTAAAATTTCTAACTTCTGTAAAAAGAGGAGCAACTCTCGGGTAACTCCCAAGGAAAGGGATAAGCAAAAGAATTGGTCAGTAAAATCTAGTCTATGTTAAACTTACTACAGGCGTACTGCAGCCGAACAAGAAGTACATCCAAAAAGAAGAGGAAACCGCAGTGCATATTATATAGTAAAGGCCTCATAAGGAAAAGGTTTCACTCACGAGCAAAGAAAAGTAAAATCTTACTGAGGATCCAGCTTGAAGCTATAACCCACACAAGAAGGGGAACAACAGTCCAATTTAATAGACGTAGTGTACAAATTTATTTATCTATCTTACGTTAGTTATATGCTTTGGATACTACCACTACTCGGTGCATAGAATCTCAAGTAATCAACAACCCTTACGTAATTTCTATAATTAGATATTCCATTCATCGAGAACTCATCAATCTTAGGTTAGTTGTGTGGTTTAGATACTTCCAGTATTCGATAGTTTAAAATATTATATAACGTGTGGTGATTAGTGACAGTTAGTCCATAATTATTCAGAAATCGTGAGATGCGGTCTGGTGTGATGTAGGTTTCAGAAATACTTTGATTGAATATAAAAAATATTTTTTTTTGCATTGTATAAATTCACTTTTTTCCACATCCTACATGTATTTGTTAAATTTAAACAATGTTTGTAAATCCCAGGCCCTGAAGATGATCTCAATAAAGATCGAAACATTGGCAGGATAAAGAAAATGGTTTTATGAAACCTACATCCTACCAGACCGCATCTCACGATTTTTGAATATTATTTAACTATCAAACCTTAGATTAGTTATTTGGTTTGGATACTACCAGTACTCGATAGTCGAGTATTGTGTACCTATCGAACCTTAAGGTAGTTTTATACAATAGTACGGATAGTACCAATATTGAGTAGTCCTAATATTGTATACTCATCGACCCTTAGGATAGTTATACGGCCTGGATACTACCAGTACTCGATAGTCAAATATTGTGTACCTATCGAACCTTAGGTATATGGTTTGGATACTACCAGTACTCGATAGTCGAGTATTGTGTACCTATCGAACCTTAAGGTAGTCATATACAATAGTACGGATAGTACCAATACTCAGTAGTCCGAATATTGTGTACTTATCGACCCTTAGGATAGTTATATGGCCTGGATACTACCAGTACTCGATAGACAAATATTCTGTACCTATCGAACCTTAGGTATGTGGTTTGGATACTACCAGCCTCGATAGTTCGAATATTGTGTACCTATTGAACCTTAGATTAGAAATTTTTATTTGGATACTGCCAGTACCACGATAGCCAGACTGGCGAATTAGAGTGTCTACCTACTTTAAAGTGTAACATATTTTGTCAGTGTTTTTTGATTGATCAAGAATACTTGTTGATGATTACTTAAAATGACACTGTGCCAAAACGCGTCAGTCAGCCCAATCCAACTGGTATAGGATGTCCAGGATTTCGTATACGCCCCCAACTTAAGATTCTCAACAATTTAATCTTGGAGCATAAGTAAACCTATCTACCAAATCCCACTGTTTAGTAGCTTTCCTACATAATTAATAGTAAACTTAGGAGTTCCTTGATTCTCTTCACCACCTCCGATAGTGTCTTTTTGCCCTGGAAGATCTGACATACAAAAATTACAAATTCGATTTTTGATCATTTCGTCCGTCTGACTAGTTTCGGTGCTTCAAACAAAATTAAGTAAATAAAATGATAGGAAACGACGAAGCAACAGGTTCATCTCCCAGCAAACCTCAAGAAAAAATCTCACAATAGAATTTAATTGATATTTAATAGTTGATAAGCATCTAGAAATAATTAAAATTAAGCATGTCATTTAGTTTTGAAGCGCAAAACGGACTCTATCGCTCAATTTTACAAAACATGTTTTTCTCTGCACGATTTTATGCTCGGAATTGCCAAATTTTGATTTCTTTGGGTATGATCTTAAATTATTGACGGGTTCGAATTTGAATCAATTTTTTCCAGGCAGCCGTTGACGATGATCATCGCTGTGAAAATAAGCCATATTGAAAAGAACTGTACAAGTAAACAGCACTAGATGTAAACAATATTTCTCTGCCGGATTCTTCACCCTCGCCATTTATTGACCAAAATTGTCTTATTAATTTTAATTGTTGGATTTTCAAAACCGAAAACGTCTGTGTTTAGATAACGAGCACAACCTACAAAGAAATTGGTCTTAAATATTAACAATCACGCATACAATTGAATACTTGCAAATGTTGCGTATAAATTGATTTCTTAAAAAAAAAAAAAAGATAACCCTTTTAATAAATACGGCGCTGGTTTTAAAATTTGAACCCCCCACCTTATCTCGTCCGAGTGGCTTGGAACACCAACGGATTTAAAAGCAGAATAAAAAATAAATTGGAGTTTACTATCGGGGTGTTTTTTTTCACCCTTGTCTGCTTTTAAAGCGAGTTGAACACTTCATAGTTTATAAGAGAATAAATTCAAGCGTAAACTTTACTTAAATATCGAATTAATCTTGCCCCCTATAAATCATCAGTTTAAGCATAGACTTGACTTCATTGTTTATTTATTTTCTAGGTTGATTTTCGGTTTAGAATGAAATGTTGGGTCATGAAAACGTAGTTAGAATTTGTTTCTTGATTTAAAAAGAGTCATAATTTATATATTTTTTAAAACTGTATTTAAAATGAAAGTTTTTAATCGTCCTTAGCTAGATTTTTTATGCCTTTTATGTGTTCCAGCAGGCCAATTGGCTTCGTTCATAGACATCTTTTTCCAATTGGAACTGCCCTCATATTTTATCTTTTTTTACAACTGACATATATATCTTTTTTTTAAATTCAGTTGCATTGTTTTTTGTTTGTTACAGGCGCCCTTTCGTCGTCCCGACACTACGGGGCGATCTGATGACGGGCAACATCATCATCAATTAAAAAAGGTTTCTGGAAGGAGCCAGAAGACACATAAAACAAGAACTAAAACGGTGGACCTAAAGGCTTTCGATCCGGACTTAACTCTGAACCAACGACTAAAAACTTTTAAAAAACAAGAAAACCATTTTTAAAAAAAGAAAAAAAAAGAGTAAAATTTTTGAGTATAAAAATTGTTGGAGAGGGGGCGACCCCGTTTCTCCCGGCCGGGACAACGTCGAGCTTCTGCCGGAGGGACTCATTTTTTTCACTCTCGATTATTTAAATAATTAATATAAACAAATATTTTTGCGATGTGAGGCGAATGGCGTTTTGAAGATAAAATACTTTCAGGATCTCGGGTGGAAAACCGGGCGAGTTCAAAACGACAAGGGGCGACAATTATTTTTGATTGACTGACGTAAATTGTTCTTTAAAAGAGAAAAATGCTTGAGAATTCAAATAGATTTAAATCTTTTGTTTTAATGAGAAAAAACCTTGAAATATTCATTAAAAAAAAAGATCCTATGTATTTCTCATATCTAGCATCTGCTTATCTCGAATACTCCTAATTAAACTTAATTTCTAAATTATCAAATAATATATTGCCCCGTTTCTTTATTTTTTGAAATATTTTAGTTTTATTGTTTGCATTTGGCACTTCATCTCTTCCCCTCGTATGGACCTCGCATCCGGTGACACCCGCTTCCCTGAGATGCTTCGTGAGACGGTCAAAAGGCAAACCCGGAAAGCACCAAGGCCAACAACTTTTTTTTCTTAAACAAAATTTAGTAAAACCAAATTTATAAATTTGAGACGTTGTTCGCACACAATCCGCAAAACGGATTATTTCAAATGAGCCCCTCTTAGCCAATGGAACAGTATATAAAATACTAAAGAGCGAGACCTTGACATTGTGAACCGGTCCCAAGGGAGAAACGTGCAATAAAAATTATCTTCTTTTTTCTAACACTTATTAACTATTGTAGTATTAATGTTATAATTATCATTGACTAACGATAATTAATTAATAGCTGGTAACTATTATTAATTGTTATATGGACCAAAGAAAAAGACGAAATGAAAACCGGGCCAAAGGGGGTTTTATGAAGAGACGAAGTTTTGAGTGTCAGGACCAAAAACAAAATAAAAATAGGGATTTGAGTTCCTTGATATTTTTTTTAACCTTTTAATTATTATTAATTTTTAAAAAAATTATATTATTTCATGAAAGTGCTCAAAAATTTATTTAATAATTGTTATATTTACTTAAAACAAAATTTAAAAAAACAAAACACTTAAGTAAAAATGTTTTAACATGGTTGGTTTGTCCCATAAATGTTTTTAGATGAGGCGCATAAAAGTTATTTAAAAAAAAAGGTATATGTATTAAAAAAATCTTTTTAAAAAACTTAAAAAGCATTTTTAAAAAATTTAAAAAAATGTTTAAAAATCAAGAAACTTAAAAACCGCTTTTGATGTCGTGTTTTTATTATGCGTAGTGGAACGTTTTGCGCGAGGCTTTTTAATTTATGAGAAATGATAGGGTTTCGGACTTGAATACTGGCCACATTATTTTGCACTTTTGAAACGTACGGAAAACCTGGAAATTGCAATTTTAGCATATGAAATACTTTCATTATAATTTTAATTGTGCTAATGTACTTTGTAGTGGAAATAAATTTGATGTAGTGTTTAGCTCTAGGGCTTTGTTGCCCGTAAAAAAAAACAATGTCGTAGTTTCAAGTTTGCTAGGGTTCAACTAAATCCCAAAGTTCAGTCCGGTTCATGGAAATTTGTTGAAACGTATGCAACCCTTTAATTAAACCAATGTGCAGGTGACTAATTAATTAATAAACCGATTAGACGGCTAATGAACTTTGGGATTAGCGTCTGAATTGCATTTTCCACTGTTTTGTGTCCAAAAATACCCAAGTCGAAACCCTAAAGTTAATCGATAGATACTTTTCAAGTCCTAATACCCGGTTTTATTCGCGCTGCTGCCCAAAAGCTTTATAACTCTAAGTTGAAAATTGGACCTAGTTTTCTCGAAAATAAAGTTTTAGAAAGGCAACAACGCTGCGATTAATCCTTGGGAAAAGGCCTCGCGGAAAGCTCCTTTTTCTCGTTGACATTTTTATTTGTAGAGAAATAAACATTTAAAAGCTAAAAATAATTAAATTTAAAAGCTAATTAAATAAAAATAATTGATTTGTTCGATTAGAAGGGTTTTCTCTCTTTATAATTACAGTATTCTAAATAATATCTGTCTCTTTAGTCTTTCCCTAATATTTGGGTTATATAAATTATTTTCCAACTCGATTTTGAAGCATTAGGCGTTATAATATAAGTACAATTAAAATAATGCAAAAATCTATGAAATGAAATTGACAAAACATTTAATAAACTGGTGCGGAAAAGTAAGGAATTTCTACATATCTTATATTAAAAAATATATAAAAACAGTTTAAAATAAAAATATTTAAACAAATTTATTGGGTTTACCCAAGAAAAACTGTCTTTCAGATTCTTTTTTTCGGGAGAAAAATACAACATAATTTATACACTTTTTTTCCATATTTATTCGATTTTATGGCTTTTTTAAACTATTTTTAATTACTTTTACCCATTCGGTGATTTCTGTTGGTTCTATTGATATTTTTCTCTCTAAAAAAAGATATATATAAACAGGATCGGTTAATTAATTGTTAAGGGCAAGATTTTAATTGTAATCAAATATATTGGTATACTGCAAGAAGAAATGAGTTTTATTATCCAACCTACTTTATCAATTCCTTCGAAATAATAAGACCGGTACAATCCCGAATTGAGATACCATTTCATTTTAATTGCCTTGACTAAAAAAGAAATAACACTGAAAAATACTCCGTTTTAGGAAAGAGAATGAAAAGAGAAGTGGCTGCAATCAACAAAAGCCGAACAACAATGAACAGCGAACGGACAATCAGGCAAATGGATCCTGTACCCTCGGCGACTCCCTCCAACAATGAGTTCGATGTTTTACGAATTCGACGAAATAGGCTCTCAGCCGTACAATATTTCTCGTCCTGTAAAGTGGTCTATGGTTAATATTCAAAAATCTCAATAAAACTGACGCAGATATTGTATCACCCTACAACAATGCCTTTGATTTATTTTTGACTTTAGTACGGTATGTAACCTGGTACGAATTTAATAGATCGAATACGATTAAATTGCTTATTGGCAATGGTTATTTGAAGGACAAACCATATTCGAACAACAGTGCCAGGTTCACTTCTGCTTCTTTGCACAATCTAACCATCTCTTGTTCATTGATTCCAACCTTCAGATGTCCATTGGGTCTCTTGCTAAGAGATACTTTGGTAGTTGTGTCCTGTGAGACCGTCCAAACGTCTCAGGTAGTATCCACTTCAGTTCTGCAGATGATTAAGTTCAAGCAGGGCTGATTGATGATCTCAACCAAAACAAGGTGTGTGAATAAAAATCCCAGGAGTAGCTCAACCTATTTGAAATCATATTTTTCTATAATTAATTAGTCAGAAATCGTGAGATGCGGTCGGGTGTGATGCAGGTTTCAGAAAACCATTTTCTTTATCGTGCCAACGTTTCGATCTTTGAGATCATCTTCAGGGCCTGGGACTTACAAACATTGTTTACATTTAACAAATACATTTAAGATGTGAAAAAGTGAATTTATACAATGAAAAATATATTTTTTATATATTCAATCAAAGTATTTCTACTCACTCAAAGTGTTTGTCTTCTGTGAAATTGTGCCATTCTTGCGTGTCGTGTTGAGAGTGCCAGTGAGATATTGCTGTTTTATGTTTATATATGTTGGATTTTGAAGGGGTGGGGAAGGAAGTCGGTATAGAAAAGACATTTTTGTGTAAGGCGTCGGCTTCTTTGAGGTGAAAAAAAGAATCTTCCTCAAAGAAGCCGACGCCTTATACAAAAATGTCTTTTCTATACCGACTTCTTTCCCCACCCCTTCAAAATCCAACATATATAAACATAAAACAGCAATATCTCACTGGCACTCTCAACACGACACGCAAGAATGGCACTTACACAGAGGACAAACACTTCGAGTAAGTAGAAATACTTTGATTGAATATATAACAAATATATTTTGCATTGTATAAATTCACTTTTTCACATCCTAAATGTATTTGTTAAATGTAAAAAATGTTTGTAAATCCCAGGCCCTGAAGATGATCTCAATAAAGATCGAAACGTTGGCACGATAAAGAAAATGTTTTTCTGAAACCTACATCACACCAGACCGCATCTCACGATTTCTGACTACGTTTACGAACTGAGTACTGCACTTGTTCCTTTTTGCATCAAAGATCCATCAACGTACCCTATACGTGTCTTCAATCATTCTGACGTGCCTACCCGTGCTGATCCTTCACGTTCCAACAATAACGGAAATTATCTTGCTGTGATCTCTCGGAGCAATGACCATTGGATGTCATCACACCAGGGTCTGACCTTAATACTTAATCCCCAGGTGATTCTTCTCTGAATGTTGAGAATTATTTCCTTTGAAGTCCTTATTTGGAGGAAAGGGTTAAAGTTTATTCATAGCTATAAGACCTGTTCGGTACTCTATCGAGTCGTTTGTGCTTAATAATTCAATTGGTTTTGCAAGCAAAACCACCTTTGGTGGGGCCCAAGTTTTTATTTGGTAGAAAGAGTTGAAATTACATCGTGCTAAATCTAGGACATGTTTTCATAATAATGCGAGGGAGTTTATATTTTAATGAGTATTTTTTCTTTGGTTGTTGATCTGTATCGTTCGGTCATCATTAGTGAGGTGCATCACATCCAGAGATATCCTGATATCTGCTTGGGTGCTAGAACACAAAGGAGTTCTTAGTTATGAAAAAAAGCAGATAAACTGCATGCAAGACCAGAGCATAGGGCTTAGATAGTAAGAAGCACAGAATCCTCCATCTCAGAATGCGAACATAAAAAGCATAAAGAGAGGTGGCCGCACTCAAGACACAATAAACTTATGATTTAAAAACCCTCAACAAACTGGCAAACACATACAGCTATAAAGGATAAAACTCAGGGAAGTGATGGGACTATACCGGTCATTGTCATATGGGAAAATACCCACACAATTTACACAATATGAATATATTCAATGATGGTTTCATTTGTAGGTTATAGAACGTAGGAGGATGAAACTGTCATCCATATTATCTTCGATTGTGAAGCAACCTCTCAATAGAAACAAAACTTATGGCATCAAGAAGACCCAGGGAAGGGAATAGCATCAATGATGTTCAATTATCTTAGAGAAGGATAGATCGACTGAAATGAACTAAGGAAATAACTACGAGAGGTAAAAAAAAGGCAGAAGGCTGGAGTGGTTGTATAAAACCCCCGCTTCTTCGCAATCCGTCATCATCAAGGTCTGAAAACCCCATGTTTTTATAGCAAACATAAAATCAAGCCTTTGAAAAAAGATTTATTCCATAACATTGTTAAGAGTGTTTCATTTAAAGTATTTAAAAGTTTTAAGTTAAAGGGCTTAAACAAAGCCTACCATGTAATCGAGTATCAGTTGATTATTTCGATTTGTCATATTTTCAAAAGCCCAAGGTGTTCTTATTAAGCAGACTTAACCAGAAGATTCAGATCTTTACTCAGGATCGACGCCGTACGATTTGCTACAGAATTGTTTCATAAAAAATTGACGAAGACTGCGGTTTTTGTTAATATTAGTGCAGATTTTCAATGTTAATGTTGTTAAGGAGTAATGCAAACAGTTTTGTTCTATCACCGAAAAGGAAAACAGATGACAGAGTATGAAAACATAGATTTAGATTGTTAATAACATTTTTTTTCGTTTGGCGTTCAGTGTCACTTTATCTTGTTTTGATTTAATCAACATTTCAACTTTTGCTGTTATTGTTTGTTCGTTTTACCCGTTGTGGTGAACGGTTTTTAATCCCAAAAAATTAAGATGAACGCGTCGGACAAAAGTGAGAATATCCGAGATTACGAGTTAGACCTCAAGTGTCGTTATGAGCTCATCAAAAAAATTGGCAAGGGGGTGAGTCGCAGAGAATTCGGTTGTGGGGTCGAGGGTTTATTTACAGTCCCAGTTTCTTTCAGTCCTACGGCATCGTGTGGAAGGCGTTTCACAGGACTAGAGCACGACTTGTCGCTATTAAAATCATCGAGAAAGCTTTTTCGGCGGATTCCGACGCACAAATGGCATTCCGCGAAATCGGATACCTCACGGCACTGCGGAGGCACAGGAACATCGTGAAGCTCCTGGCCGTTCATCCGGCGTGGAACGACAAAGACTTGTACTTGGTCTTCGAACACATGGGTACAACAGCCCATATTGGCAGTTCGCCTTGAGTGTTGAAAGCTCATTTTTGCAGATCTCGATCTCCGAGCTTACATGGACAGGGGTCACCTTCTCACCGACCCCCAGGTGTCCTTCATCTCCTACCAGATCCTATCCGCTCTCAGATACATCCACTCGGCGAATATCGTGCACCGGGATTTGAAACCCGCCAATATCCTGCTCGGGGCGCGGTGCGAGGTCCGGATCGCCGATTTCGGCCTGGCCAGATCCTTGGAAGACAGAGGGACGGTCGAGAACGGATCTCCTCTCACGAAATACGTCGCCACCAGATGGTATAGGGCTCCGGAACTGTTGCTCAACGGCAAGAAGTACCTTCGCAAGCTCTTGTCCAGCTGCAGATACATAAAGTTCATTTGCTTTCAGATATACAACATCGGTCGATATTTGGTCTTTGGGTTGCATAATCGCCGAAATGCACAACGGGGTACCACTTTTTCCAGGAACGACGACAATCCACCAACTTGAACTTATCCTAACTGCCATTCCTATGAGTAAGCACATTCTACTGCGGTACCTACTCTTCCCTATTAATGCCTTTCTTTAAAAAAATATAAATATTAACCAATCTTTTGATCAAGAAACCGGCCAGAATAAGAGGACCAATTTAATAAAAATCGATATCAAAATAAGTTTATTTTGTAGCTTCTTACGAAGAATTCGGGCTGGATCCGGACGGGATAGGATCTCGTCTCGCAGGCTGGAATTCCGGCAAGTTTCCCGAGCTCGACAGGAAAATAGAAGAATTGCCGAAGGATGGTCAAAAAATCGTAAAGCTTATGCTCGACCCTTCGCCCACGAGGAGGATTTCCGCGGATGCAGCTCTCGTCAAAAACTACTTCTCGAGGTATTTACCTAACTGGTTAATAAATAATTTAACTGATAGTCACAAAATTTAAAAACTAAAAAAAATTTACAGTTTAAAAGCAAAAATCATATGACCACTCTTGTAATATTTCTTGTTCATGAAATCCAAACAAAAACTTAACTGAAAAAAAGGGCCAAGTTCCAGACCCTCTCCAAAAAAAAAATTGGCCTATCAATCTAAAAATATCTCCATTCTCGCTAATAACTTACTTTTACTCTCCAGACGACGCACACTCACCCCTGAGAACCCCATATTCCTCGGGTAACCACCCCTTCTTTCACGCTAATAAATTATATTTATTCCAATAAATTAACATAACCTCAACACAGACAATATAATTTAAAAATAAATTAAAATAAAAAAAGACAACTTATCGCAAATGAAATATTATGAAAATTATATTAAATTAATTAAAATTAAATTAGATTAAAATTAAATTACATTAAATGTAAGTGAGGCCTACAAGATGAGTAAATGTTGTTTGATCATCTTTGAACACCCGTCTCCAACAAAATATTAGCATAACTATAAGGGCTGGATACATTTTTTTTTTTTTTTGTCTTCTCAAACAACCACTTTTGTCATCCTCAGGGTGTCTATTTTTATTTTTTCATTCATCACTTTTGAGAACCTGAAAAATCGGTATAAAATAACAAAATTGAATCATAAATGAGGCCATGGGCAGAGCAGGATGAAATGGTTATGCTACATGCCCATGCAGATCTCACCACAATTTAACACAGAATTGGACAAATATTTTTTGTCAGATTTTATTTTTACAAGCTATTCAGTTCTGGGTTGAAAAGCTTTACAAAGAATGAAGTGAGTTTTCCAGAATGGCCATATTTCAGGTATTTCACAGGCCGCGAGCCCGCTCTGGAAGGCGTCAGGCTCATGCTGAGCGACAGCGAACTACATGCGGCTGATGCATACAAAAACGCTATTTACGCTGCAATCGAGTGTGGAAGAAGCTTCCAAAAAAATGGTACATGCTAGATTTTTTTTAAAAGCTTGTTTAGTGGGGAATGAAAAGAAATAGAAATATTGGTGACACTATTATTTTGACTTAAATCTCAAATGGTGAACCAAATACAAATTATTTGCCCTTAGTCAATATTAATATTTCCTTTTTTTTTTCATTTTGTTTTCAAGAAAACATTGAAAAATTTGTCATTAGACTATTTTATTTTTATATAAGGATTTTTTTTCAGGTCTTCATCAGAGAACATTTCAATCACGAATCTCAAGCAGAATTGTCTGAAATAGAGGTTCTGCGAGTTCAGGATATTGACTATAAAATAAATTTAGCTTTGGGATCTTAACTTGTTTGTATTTTTTTTTATTAGCAAAGCAAAACTTTTTTTATTAAAAAATAAATAAATAAAACACTTTAAATAGAAAACCATTCACTCGGCCAAACCATACTGATCAAAACCAAAAATCATCCTTGTCGATGAAATTGCACCATATCCCTTCAGTTTCAACTTCTTATAGGTCGATTTTGGCTTCAATTTTTATAATTGTTTAAATTATATTAGGTTTATAAGCAAATGTTGAGAAAGGATTAAAAAAGACCTCAGAACTTTTAAATTTAGCTGAACTTATTTAAGAGTTTTGATGTGTGTTTGTCTGTTTAAATGTAAGTTGTTAATGAAGAAATAGTCTTAATAAAAATCTGTGAAGTTATATATTATAAACATTTCATCGTATTATTAAAATTTATCTAATATTAAAGTCTTAAAAATAAGTCCTCCCAATCAACATTGCATTTAATCACCAGTTTCAAAAATCACCACAGTTAGAAGAGCCCATGAAGTATCAGTGTCCTTAACTCTTTTATAAAAAGAAATATATCTAAATGCAATGACAGAGAGAGTGGAGTAGCACGAGAAACAAAAAGCTAGGCGAAATGAAACCGAAAAATAAGAAAAAAGAAAACTTTACTTGTCGTTGACTCACTCATGGGTACCTTATGAGCCATGAGCCCCACCGAACCACAATGTGGCGCCTACTAATCACATACTCATGGAATGTTTCTCCAATTAAGAGATAAACATAATGTTAATGATGACAGCAACATCTATAATGTTTTCGAGTTGGTCAAGTAATCCAATCTGATTACAAAAATATAACATGATTTTTTATAATAATATAAGTGTACGTGACAACTTTCTGCAACAATAAAATTTGATTTTATTCAAATTTAATAAGGTCAATGGCATGGGGCTCAGGATTGATGGATTGTGGGATCGCATTGCTGGTCGGAAAACGGAAGCGCCTCGTATGGCCTGCCTTACAAGGGCGAAATTGAAGCTATTGACTTTTGAGGGGGTCTACACATCCCTCGTAAGTTCTAGTAAGAAAGAAATGTAATAATTGTCCGAAGAATTTCTGGCTTCTCTTACCTTTCTCCACCCGTTAACTCCTTGTATCTTCCCTTATACTTCCCTTCTTCGATTATAGCTGTTTGGCATACGGTGGTCTCTCGGAGGGGGAGAACGCGCGATTGAAGTATTATGAATTGTTGCATAAGATTTGTGTACGCCACCCCACGGGATCCTGGGTGTCGGAATTGTATTCCCAACTTTCCTGGCTATTCCCCTCCTTCCGTGCACCCCTATTTCCTAGGTTGCTTTCTTTTCCAGTCCTTCCACACTCGTCCTCCTCACATCATCCAATCCCTCACATCTCACTCGTAAGACCCGCTCATCCCCAATCGACCTTATCCTTCCGCAACATACAACCCATACCTTCGAAAGATCCTTTCTGATCCGAGCCCCTAAATTCTGGAACTCCCTTCCCCTTTCTATTCGTCACTCTGCCTCCTTTTCATCCTTTAAAACCCACCTGTATAATCACCTCCTCTCCCTCCAAGCAGAGACCTCACGTTAACATTTGTTATTTTTGTTTAATATTCTCGTAATTTTTTCTTCTGTCCTGCCTTATTGGTATACATTGTGCCAAGATTTCTATCTTTTTTTTACTTTTAACTTCATAGAAGGAACTTCCTTTATTTATTTCATGTAAATTATTCTTAGGGGACACCATTCCAGAATAAAGTTATTTTTCTTCTTCTTCTTCTATTTCTTCCTCTAGGCAGGTCGACAGCTCTGTGGTTTCTGCCTGTTTCGAGTTTTGAGCATGTACCATTGGAATTCAAATCAAGACGGAAAATAACCTACGTATAAATCTACCATAGTCTGGCTATGTTGTATTTATAATATATATTCTTAATTGATATCCACTTTCTCATAATAAATCATTTTATTTGTATTAAACATAATTTTATGAAAGGGTGAAAAAAAAATATGGGAGAGAGATTTTGAGTTCATGTTACACAATTTTATTTACAATACATGGCACTATCAATAACAGTTCTACAATATTAAAAAAGGGTTGAAAAAAAATCACATTTTGTTCCTTAAAATTAATTTTTACACACGATCATTTTCAAATCATCAAAAAAGCTAAAAATAACAATAACAAATATGTTAAACATTTAGCCAAATGACTTTGAAGTGACTCAATATAATCTGCTTTAAATAAGAATTATTTATCTGGTTTCTCTTCTTTCTTTAATACATGAAAGTGTATTAATACGTCATTAATATATAAATTTGGCACATTTCATCATTTATAATCTTACAAGTATATTAATATTATTATAGAGAGCATTTTCAGTTTTGTTATTTTGCATTTTTCTTATTGCTGCTCCTGCAAAAGGGTTGTTTTTTCTTCAAACATCCCATAGACCGGGTTATCATAATTCACTCTCTGTAAAATAAAAATAAACATGATTTTCTCGACTAAATATGAGTTTGAGTAAAAATGAATAAATTCTTACCGAAGGAAGTTCGTCAGTGACCTCTAGATTACCCTCGTACATGGGATTCGTGATCTCGACATTCTCTCTAATCCTAGAGTGGTCGAAAGCCCTTCTTCTGGCCCTCGTTTTCACAAAATAGTACGTCAAACCCAACAGAAGTACTAATAGACCACATACAATTAGAAATATTAGGCCAATAGGCGTGGAAGAGTACGCCTCGGCGTGTTCACAGTTCGGCCCGTAAAAACCAAATGTGCACGCACAGCTTCCATCAGGTACACAAGCGCCACCGTTCTTACAGTCATTCTTGCACAAGTGGCATCGCTCACCGTGCCAACCTTTTGGACAGTGGCAGAACAACTTCGACCTCACCAGGTTGCAATAACCACCGTTTTCACAATATCCAATGCAAGGGTTGGGTGCGTTAACAGGTTCCTCACATTCTGTGCCTCCCCACTGTGTAGGGCAACTATAAAACAATAAGCAATTAAATTTTGTAGACTTTATTAATGTTATTAAAGATTATATTATTGGGTGTGTGCTTAAATATTTTAACTTTTCAGAAACAAAAATATCCATCTCAAAGTTAATTTAAATTTATCAGTATAGGCAATAAAATAGTAATAAATTATACTTATTCACTTCACAGTTAATTGTTAAAATTAATCAAATAATATAAACACTTATAGTTCTGATGATCTGTAGTACATGCTTCCCTGGTGAAACCCACTATCCACAACATTTCCCATTCACTGCATTTATTACTCGTGTAGTTGGTAATCATTTACTCCAAAACATTTTTGTCATAAATAAGCAAACTTACGGCAAATAGACAAAAAGTGGTATAGGTCCTCTTCCTCATCGAAATGACTTAGTAGTTTCTAGTTCCAAATATACATTTATTTTACAACTTAAAAAATATAAATTCCTTTGTTTTTTATAACGTCCTGCCAATGTTCAGGTAGCAGAAATATTCTCTTTTTGTAAATGTCTGATGACTTAGAGGAGAAGAAATCTACAATTTTCAGAGAGTTTTCATTCTAAGTCTCTACCTTTTAAGCATTTGTCTAGGGAGCAAAACAAATAAAAATTGGAAGGGGCTAAAGGTCAGGAGAGTATGGAGTATAACTGTTGTCAGCCTAACTCGGTGATTTTACTCTGAGTGGGCCTGGCATCGTCATGGTGAAACATGGTGTTGCGACTAGCCATCAGGGTAGACATTTTTCCTTCAACAGTGTCCCATGATGCCCTAAACTCTAATACATAGCTCTGGGCAAAGTGTACCTGCTTTCAGTTCCGGTAGCAGAAATATTTCCTTTTTGTCGAAGTCTGATGAGTTAGATGAGAAAATTTGTAAATCTGATTTTCAGAGCATTCTTGTTCAAAGATTCCCTACCTTTTAAGTGGTTGTCTAGGGAGCGGAACAAGTAAAAAATGAAAGTCACTAGGTCTGGAGAGTATGGAGGATGGGGCATTGTACCCCCAAGACGCACTAGCACATAACTCTCGGCACAGTATACCTCTACTGTAAGGGTTTGCTAAGTAATAGGTCCCAACAAATTATTCCTCAGATTTCCCACCAAACAGACAAAAGGACCGCATAGAATCATGCTCTTAACTTCAACAGCGGTGTTTTATTCTTCTTACCATTTTTGTAAAAGACCCACTCACTTCTCATCCCCGGTGATAAAAAATAAATCCTGATTTTTTTCTATCGTGAAGCAGTCATCCTTGTTCCTGAGGGATACAACACAACCTAGGGTTGGGATTCTTCTTTCTATTTTTGTGCGATGTGCCTGAAATCTCTTGTTAGCTCTGCTACAGATAATTTGTTCTGATCTTATGCCACTAATAAGTTGTCGCTTTTAATCTTGTTACCTTTACAAGGCTGGTCTTTGTGTTTCTTTCCATTACAAAAGCATCGGAACAGCTTTTGACACACATTCAAGTACTAGGTTATCACTGTAAATTCCACATAAATCTTAACAGGCATCCGCCGCTCTGTGCCTGAGATCAAACTTGTACAGCAAGCAATGCCACAAATGAATTTTATCTACTTCCATGTCGCAGTTTATTCTAAACTGACTTTTGAGATCATCTACCCCTTTTCTTATCAATATTTTCTCACCCTAGAGCTAATGGTACTGGCACGGAATATAGGATTACCTATATAAGTTTGAAAGCCGAAATTTGAAAAATGGAAAAATTTATGCACACACCCAATATTACTCTTCAGAATCAGCCAAACAAAAGTTAATGTTAAATGTAAGAGGAAAAGTCAATATTTGAGTTTTTAGTATGATGAAAAACTTATTACCTGCATATACTCTGTTGACCAATGGTGACGCAAGTCCCTCCATTTCTGCAATGACAGTGTTGGAGGCATTCTTTGGGTCGTACGTCTGGGCAGTTACACCCTTCTTTTTGTGGACACCAACAAGAGCAAAGGTCGATTTCGCATTGAGCACCACTGTACAGTGGTGGGCATGTGCAATTGGGCTCTGGTACACCCGGAGGGCAGATCCCCCCATTCTTGCAAAAACCGTTGCAAATATTGTGTTCGCACCGTTTGCCAGTAAAGCCTGGGAGGCATTTGCATACAGGGCCGGATTGCGTGAGTGTACAATTTCCCTAAAAAGTAAATATGTATGTGAGATAGAATGTGGTTAAATATTTTTAAAAAAATACATACATCGTTTCCACAGAAGTTGTGGCAGTTTGTAAGCTCACAGCGATCCCCGGAGAAACCAGGCGTGCAGTTACAAGCTTGTTTTCCTGTACTATCACGGAGACAAATCCCACCGTGTTGACACTGGAGCATGGGGCAGTGCTCACACCAAACACCTTTGAATCCGGGTAGGCACTCACACCTAGTCACATCGCCTACTTGCTTGCACTTCCCGCCATTCAGGCACAGTCCGTTGCAATCCTTAGTCGGAATTGTACACCTTGGCCCGGTCCATTCGCTCGGACAAATGCACTTAGGAAGCATATGCACTCTCGGGTTCAGTTCGCATCTGGCTTTATTCTTGCAATAGCCAGAGCAGATGAAGTGTTCGCAGCGCTTTCCCGTATACATCGGACTACATTCACAGGATACCCCATGATAATCGATTTTACATGTACCTCCTGCTAAGCAATAGTCATCACAGCTAGCTTTTATACACTCCTATTAAAAACAGAAATTATTTAAATTCAATTTTTTTAAAACAAAACCCGGAAATAAATGAATAACCTCTGAACCAATCTTCTTGGTATATCCTTCTGGACAAACACATGTAGTATTCTCAGGTCCTGAAAAAAGGCAAATCTGATCCACACCATTACAAACATCCAAGCAACGATTAATCACTGAAAAATAAAAATAAATGTTATGAAAAAATTAGAAAATGTTATTTATAAAAACTCATACATTCTCTTTGAGTTTGCTTTTGCATTATGAGAATTCGTGCCACCTTGCTCTGCTCTAATGTTGCCATAGTGGCGTTTGAACGTCCGAATTTATCAAATTTAAGCAGTAGTGGTTCATTATAAGCAGACATGTAGATATCTTTTTCAAACACCTCAATTCTATTCGGCTTGTGATTGTAGAGTGAATGTACTGTAATTATACAAATAAGGATTTATAGTAAATTAAAAAAATTATATTTTTATGCGCAACATTACCATTAATGGTGAATTTCTCCTTTCCATCTTGATTCATGCTCAAAATTGTTTTGCGTTTAACATCAGCAATGTAAATGCGGTGAGTGGCACGGTCTAGCGCGAGCGAAGTCGGCCAAACCAGCTCATCGCTTGTTTCTGTCGAAGCTAGAGTACGGAGATTTGAACCGTCCATATGCGCCGACATCACTTTTACTTCCCTTCCATACTCCACAATGAAAAACATTGTGCTGGAAAAATACAACTTGTTAGATTTAAAAGTTTCAAGATTTTATTACGCATCAATTCTACTGACCCGTTTTCAACGTCGAGCAACAAATCCCTCGGATGGCCAATATTTTTGAGGATTATTGCTTTCTGCTTCAAGCCGGGTACGTAAACGAAGATCTCCCGGTCAGAAGCAACATACAACATGTTAGTGACCCAATTAAAAGCAATACTTTTGAGCGGATATCCAGATGTTTGGTTATAAATCTCCATGAACGTATTATCCGATTTGTCATTGTTTTTCAAACTCATCAGCACGATGCTGTTTTCATATAAAATGAATATTGTATCTTTCATAAAATCGCCAGTAAGTGAAATTATTTTCGAATGCGTGTAGGAAGGTTGATCGATGGTTAGGGAACTCACCTAGTAAAATTAAAAATTATATTTGATTTAATTTGTTATAATCATGATTATTTGAAATATTTACCGGTTGAAATAGTTTGGAACGTCCCAACTTTCCTTTGGCTGTGTTCAATGTATGAATTTTGTCGTCGACCCCTAGAATAATGTATGCGGGGTCGCCCTTTGCAATGCATTCCTTGTCGACCATTGCATACCCTTCTACGCAGTGGCACAGTGAAGCCTTGCCTGGTTTTTCCACACACTTTTGTGAGCATGTCATTATGTCACATAACTGTAAAATAAAATTAAAAATCCTTTATTTAATGAAGGCCAGTTTGTTTTTCTTTTTTTTCGATTAGTGTTAATCCAATTTAAATAACTGTTTTAATTTTATAGGCAATATTTTAATAATGATTTTTTTTAATGTTAATAAGTTAAGTAAAGTTAAAGTGCTTTTAGACTCTATCAGGAATCTTATAGAATTCTTGATAAATAGTTAATTTGGGCTTAAATTATATTTAATTTAGAGCTACAAATGCACTATAATTACCCTAGTGCAAGTATAATAAATATTTTTTTTACGATTGAACCTCAACTTACCACAGTATGGCAGTTCTCCTCATCGCTTCCATCTGGGCAGTCCCTTAATGAATTGCATGTCAAGTTGCTGCTGATACAGTGTCCGCTTCTGCATTGGAACCCATTCGAAGGGCAATGCTTCTTAGTCTGGCAGCTTAGAGCGTTTTCATCCGAATAGTCGCCGCAGTCATTTGCCTCGTCGCACATTTTGAAAATCGGTACGCAACGATGATTGTCACAGCGGAAGCGGCTAGGCGGGCAGCTCCTACGTTCACACACTTTAACAGATTCGTCATTCCCATTGCTGCAATCCTCTTCGCCGTCACAAAGCCACTTCGAGGGTATGCAAAAATGACCGCAAGAAAATTCTTCTGATGGACATGTGACTGCTTGAGTGCAGTTCTTCTCATCGGAATGGTCTGGACAGTCTAAATCTCCATCACAAACCCAATCCCTACATTTAAAAAAAAGTTAACAGTTAAATTATTTTACATATTAATCTTTTGATAAAGGAAAAAGGTTGTAAGAAAAGACTTACTTAAAAATGCATACTGCGTTAGTAGCACAGTGGAACTCCTGTTCAGAACACTTAGTTGTACAAGCACTCTCATCAGAATGGTCCTCACAGTTGAAATTACCATCACATACTAGAGAAGAATGTATACAACGTCCGTTCTTACATCTAAACTCTGCCTCACTACAATTCCTCGGTGTACAATCTTTTTCATCACTGCCATCATCACAGTCTTCAGTACCGTCGCAACGCCAGCGGCCAGGAATGCATTGTGTACTCGTACATTTGAAATAAGTGGGGTCACATTTCATTTCGTCTACACAGGTTTTCGGCTCGTCCGAGCCGTCGCTGCAGTCTGCGCTTCCGTCGCAGAACCAGCTAGAAGGAACACAGCGTCCGTTACCACACCGGTGTTCCCTGTCTGAACACTGCCGGTTCTTACAGAACTCGACACGCTCGTCGCTCTTATCGCCACAATCGTCGGAATCGTCGCACAGCCAAACCTGTGGTATGCACTTCCCGGAATCACAGGCGAACTTGTCTCGTGCTGTACAATTAACGCGGCAATCGTACTCGTCATCACCGTTTGGGCAGTTTTTGACTCCATCGCATACAAGATTGTCAGGTATGCAATGAGCCGATGAATTTACATTCCCACTGCATTTAAATTGACTTGGAAGACATGTATACTAAAAAAAAAAATCATAGTAGACATTTATAATGACATTTTCTTAAATTTCTTTACCTTATCACAGTCCTTTTCATCACTATTGTCCCCACAGTTGTCAACACCATTGCAAATATCTGAAGGATGAGTACAATTACCATTAGCGCACTGTGATTCCCCCAGTCGGCAATTAAACGTTGGACAATCAGGCGGTTCATCTGAATTATCGCCACAATCATTCTAAAATTAAATTAAAAAATAAAATAAACAATCTTGAAATGTATTTTTGTTTAATTAATAACCTGTGTGTCGCATTGCCACCAGGAGTTGATACATTTGTAAGTTGTGGCACATTGGAATTGCGCAGTTGTACATGCTCCTACGCACTTCCCGTCCTCATTCAGTTTGAAGTTGTTGGGGCATGCACATGTCTTCCCACCTCCTGGAGTAAGAAGGCATAGAGCGCTGCAATTCCCATTGTTCTCGCAAGGATTGGGCACGACTGTAAGACAAATATTATTCAATCATATCATTAATTTTTCTTCGGCAGTTTGTTTTATTTGGTCTCGAAAATAAAAACAGGTAAATAAACAATAAATTACTCGATCAACAAGCTCAAAGCGCATAATAAAAGATACATTAAACAGGCACAGATTATTAATCAATTTTACCTGGTTTTTGTCTGAAAGGGTGGTATACATGAATGTCCATTGGTCTATGAATAGTAACATTAAGGCTCCTGCAATCGTCTTCCCCGTTCTTCTTACAAGATTCGATTGACTTCAGCTCCCAGTCAGTCCAATAGATGTAAGATTCAAAAACAGCAATGGCAAACACATGATGTAGCTTGAGATTAATATTTTTCGCTGAGAAAGAAAAAAAAAATGTTTAAGTCAATTTGTTTCATTGTTTTTAAATTACAGACACGTATATACAGAGGACATTGTCATTACAATCATAAGTAAATTTGACCAGTGTTTATTTGAACTTACACAAAATGCCTTAAACTTAATAATGAATAAGGGTTTAAATATAAGCCCCTCAAAGACAAGTATTGTTCCATTAACCAGGAAAAAGAAGTTTCTAACAATTTAAATCCTGCGAAATCAAAAATATAAGGCATTCCAAAGAAGTGACGAACCTAGGAATAAGGTTAACTGGAATGTTCACCTTAGGGCGAAGTGCACACAGAGCAATTTTTGTCAACTCGACAGATCGTTCTAAGCTGAAAGCTTGAAGCCTGTTGGCTCAATTCATGGTTTTACTGACAAGCAAGCAACACAGAGGTCATTTTGACCCGTCGTTCTGTTTTACCTGGTGTAGTTTAGACAGTATTTTGCTCTCCAGTCATACTTTGTAGTGGCCTGAGAAGCTTTAAGGCTTTGGGTAAAATAAGTGATGTTAGCAATGTTCTTCGTGCTTTTTAAATTTAATTTTGTTAATTGTACAGGCCAGATAAAATAAATAATACAGGCCTCAACAGTCAATTGAAGAAAAGCCAGCAGTTTGTGACAAAAAGTTTGTTGTTTGGTTTTATCTTTCCATTTTGCCCTCTTTTCAATAATTTTGTTGAATTGCTTTCAAAGTGCCACATTCAGTGATAGGTCAGAGAATAGATTTTTAACTATGTCGAAAAATTTTATGTAGCCAGCATTTGTTGGATGCTTTATTTCAACTGTCTGATGAATTTTTAATTTCTCCGTTTCCATTTTATTTTATTTTTTTCCCATACATCATAATTATCGCCTTCAAAAATTAATATTGTCAGCATTTGATTACGACAGATCAAGAGATTATGTCTAGAAGAAATAGAACTGACAGAGCATATCCCATGCAACTGCACTGTAATAGCTAGGGAAAGATTTTGGTACCTGGAAAAACCGTTCTTGAACCATATAAATTTTGAACCTATCTCTGAGAAGAATTCTTTACATCATTAAACAAAACAAATAACTTCCAGGAATCCATCTGCAGAGATTGGCACAATAGACTAAAGTTTAAGCGCTAAAGGAACAAATCCTACAACTCCATAAGTAAAAGGAGGAAAATGAAGAAAATTCATAGTCTCACCTCTGCTGTACAAAATCCTTATGTTTTTTCCATCGTAATCGGACTTAGCGATGTAATCTTGACGAGCATCAGCCCAATATAGGGCATGTGCTTCATAATCGAGTGTGAGAGCATTTGGCCAGCCAAGTCCTTCTTCAATGATTAATGTGCTTTGACTCCCATCCATTCCAGCTTTCCCGATGTGGGGTTTTTCAGACCAGTCGCTCCAAAATAAATACCTGGACATAAAATTGATAAAATCCATGCTTATTAAATGAAGGGTTTGACTTACCCTTCTTCTGGTAGAAGGACTATTGCTCTTGGATCACGAAGGCCTTCGGAGATCAATGTCTTTCTATAATTTCCATCTAGTTTGGAGACCTCAATTGTATCTGTACCTTTGTCGCACCAATAAAGGTTTCCGCCTACCCAATCAACTGCGATTCCATCTGGGCTTTGTAGTGTATTTGAATGGAGTTTCTGATGAAAAAATATAAAAATTAAAAAAATATATATATACAGGGTGTCCCAGTTCCTTCTGACAAAACTCAGGAAATCGATTCTACTCTTCGTATGGAGCAAGAAAATGCCCAGGAGAAAATTTTTGGAAAGTTCTCTATTTTGAAGATATTCGTCAATTTAGGTTTTTTCAACTTTTCACTACCTTACCACATAAAAACGCTTACAACTTCCAAAATGTTGAGACTACAACAAATCCAATTACACCATTTGAAAGAACGCTAAATTTGCTGTAAGATACTTCTTTGCAATAATCTGAATGACATAAAATGTTAGCCAATATCAGTTGGAACATGTCAAAATTACAAAATTTAAAATTTTGGTCATGATTGCACGTTCTACTGAGGTTACAAAAAAATACCTACAACTTGTCAAATTTCACAAAAACTTCTTCATCTAATATGCTTTACGTTGATATATCCAGGTTTTTAAATAACGTTCTAGTAGAGTTGAAAAATAACAATTGAATGTTCGAAAACGTGAGCTAAGGTAAATTTGAAGGGGGGTAGAAATAAATCAATTAGAACTCGCTTTGTAAAATAATATTAATATTAATTAATATTATTATCTTTCAGTAACACACCCTACCTGATACATTCTGTGATGATTATTGTTTAAACTTCGATCCCATCCAGCATTTTTCATTCAACCGGTCAAACAAGTGTCATTTTTATTTTACAAAGCGAGTTCTAATTGATTTATTTCTCCCCCCCTTCAAATTTACCTTAGCTCACGTTTTCGAACATTCAATTGTTATTTTTCAACTCTACTAGAACGTTATTTAAAAACCTGGATATATCAACGTAAAGCATATTAGATGAAGAAGTTTTTGTGAAATTTGACAAGTTGTAGGTATTTTTTTGTAACCTCAGTAGAACGTGCAATCATGACCAAAATTTTAAATTTTGTAATTTTGACATGTTCCAACTGATATTGGCTAACATTTTATGTCATTCAGATTATTGCAAATAGAAGTATCTTACAGCAAATTTAGCGTTCTTTCAAATGCTGTAATTGGATTTGTTGTAGTCTCAACATTTTGGAAGTTGTAAGCGTTTTTACGTGGTAAGGTAGTGAAAAGTTGAAAAAACCTAAATTGATGAATATCTTCAAAATAGAGAACTTTCCGAAAACTTTTCTCCTGGGCATTTTTTGCTCCAAACGAAGAGTAGAATCGATTCCCTGAGTTTCGTCAGAAGGAACTGGGACACCCCGTATAAGAAGAAGAATGTGAGCAGAATTAAAATTGATTTAATAATCTCTCACCTCAGTCTCATTTTTTCCTTCACATTTTCTTTGTATCTTTGAATTAATAGTTGTAACATCGCTCCAATACACACACTTATTCGCCCAATCAAAATCGAGAGCGACAGCATTAATCAAAGAATTGGTAAGGATGCTCATGTTTCCTCTCAAATCTAGCAACCGGATGTAGAATTTGTTGGTGAAGATGAGTTGCATCGGAATCGACGAATTAGCCTTGCAAGTATGACGGTCTGGACGGAGTATATAATCCTCTGCACAGGCACAGCTAAAGTTGCCGTGTTTATTAATGCACAACTGGTCGCAAAGTTGAACAACGTTCGGATCGTTACATTCATCAATGTCGATACAAGAATCTGGGTTCAAAGGGTGCACTGAATATCCTGGCCTGCACGAACATTTGTAACCGACAGGGAGGTCAGTGCAAATATGGGCGCAAGGCGGATTCAACCACGAACACTCGTTAACATCTAGAAATAAACAAATAAACGACAAAATTGAAAAAAAAAATTTAAAGGTAAATCCTCTGGAGATACTTACTACAACTGTCCTCATCGCTAAAATCACCACAGTTATTTTCACCATCGCAGAGAAGAGTGGTATTGATGCAAAGGCCATTCTTACATTCAAATACGTCTGTACCTGTGCAGCTTGTATTTTCTACAGAAAGTCCAAAAGTAAGAATTATTTTTAAATTGAAAAAAAATACCTTTCAATATTTGTGTAATTTTGTACAGTGATCATCTCTGATCATCAATTATCACATATTTTGTCTATATTTCAAACACCACAATATAAATGAGATCAAATTAAAATATTGGTGTGTGCATTTTTTTTTTAAATACATTATTACCTGCAAGCCCTGTTAGCTCCAGAATATGAAAAGCCCTATTGAAAGAGACTGATAATAAGGGATAGTTGATCCTAAAAATCTCTTTAGAATAAAATACAACACATATGGAAACAAATAAAATTCATTTGAGATAGTGCTTATACAATGAGTTCGATCTCTGGCATACCCTGTTGCAATTTATGTGGAATTTATGATAATAACATAGCAGCTATCATATCCATATCACAGATCAATCATTTGTTCTGACTCCATGACCGCTCTGCTTTCCATTCAAATGCTAGATCACTGCACTGTGGAAACAACCATCTGATTTATCAGATATTGAGACTCTCATATAAGTTGAAGTTTGAAGGAAAAATGGTTAATTTTTCTGGGTCAAAGCTCACGCAGGCTTCGTACACAACGAGCATGTCTATAAATTGGCTAAAGATGCGACCATTCATGGCGACTACCTCAATGCTTTAGTTCCCTATACGGATCTGCATCCTCATATTTCTACGAGAATAAATATATTCTGGCAAATGAAATGTTTCCACTCTGACAAGGGTGCGTTTTACGCCTATTTCCATGTCAGCCATCGTCCATGGTTTAGGAAGTATGATTTCCCGTGGGCTCAAATAACATCAATATGCCGCTTAAGAACGGGCCATGTCATTTGCGGAGCATATCTTCATCGATTTGAACTTAAGAATAATCCTAATTGTTTACTACGCAAAGAACCAGAAGATACCAAACATATCTTTGAGGTCTGCCCAAAGTACAAGTTCTCACGTAGACGATTACTTCAGGCAATTCAATATATTTGAACGAAAAACATCCAAGAAGTATCACTCAATGTGTGTCTGACCAAAGAGTCATATCACACAATCCAAATTTTGAGTTACATGGTGAAACGGAAAAAGTTGGGAACTCATGAATCATCCCTCAGAACAAGAAAGACTGCATGGCTAGTTGCATTTAGTACCGAATAAGAATGAATTAGAAGGGATTATTTCCTGTTTGTTCACTGGGGATGAGAAGTGAGTCTTTTACAAAAATATTAAACGCCATAGGACCACTTGCAAGAAGAATGAAATGCTGCCGTCAATGACAAGAGCAAGATTGTACCCTCTTAAGGTCTGTCTGTTTGGTGGATTACTCGAGGAATAAATTATTGGGATCTGTTATCACACAATCACCAAACCCTTACAACAGGGGTATACTGTGCCCGGAGCTATGTAGTGCAAATGGGGGGGGGAGTTCAGGCTGGCAACAAATGCCCCCACTCTCCAGACCTAGCCACGATTTTTACTTGTTCCACTCCCTAGACAACCTCTTAAAAGGTAGGCAATTTTTGAACAAAAATACTCTGAAAATCAGATTTGTCTCATCTAAGACTTTGACAAAAAGGTGATATTTTTGCGACCAGAATGTTGGAAATATGTTGACAAAAACCGAGTTTGACCTTTTTTTCTGAAAAAATTTATACACACACCCTATAACAGTCAATTTCATCCATTGATAACTCACTGCATTCCTTGTTGTCAATATCCTCATCAGAATTGTCACCACAATCATCAACGCCATTGCAGACCAGAGCAGAATTGACACACCGTCCGTTTCTGCATGCAAATTCCACATCAGCACAGTCTACGTCGATTGGACAAGTACTGGGTTCGTCTGACGCATCGTCACAATCGGTTTCACCATCGCAGAAATATTCATGGTCTATACACTTTCCGTTATTACACAGAAACTTAAGCGGAGGCAAGCATTCAGTGTCTTTGTGATTGCGTAGGCATTCTTCTTCGTCGCTGCCGCCACCGCAATCGTCAGAACCATCGCAGACCCAAGATGAAGGAATACACTTCCCAGTTCCGTTGCACTTGAATTCCGATTCAATGCATGATCTTTGAACTAAAAATATAATTTAAAACAGAATGTGAAATTGTTTTATTTCATTTCACTGGGCTTACTGCAAAACTCTTGCTCGTCGCTCCCATCCTGACAATCTTTTGTTCCATCGCAAGACCAGGCAATAGGGATGCAATCATTGTTCCCACAATTAAATTGATCATACTTACAAGGTATGTCTAAAAAATTGAAAATAATATTGACGATACAGATTTAGAAATATTTCTTTGAGCACTTACGGCAATCGTTTTCATCGCTTTTATCATCGCAATCTGGATCTCCGTCACAGACCCAATCCTTTTTGACACATCCTTTTCCATTCACACAGAGAAACATTAGCTCTTGATTACAATCCTGTTCTGCCTTGGGTACAATAGGTACATCTGTGCAATTCAACTCATCTGAATAGTCCCAACAGTCGTTCTGACCGTCGCAAATCCACGAAGGATGAATGCAAGCGGTTGTATTGGCACAATGAGTAAGAGGGATGTCCTTCGAGGAGACCACAACACAGGAAGTCTTAGCTGAAAACAATATAAAATATGACAACGATCATCGATAATATATTATTTATTACTTACGACAACCAATTTCATCAGATGCATCATCACAATCCGGATCGCGATCACAGCGTGAATGCATAGGGATGCATCTATCCGTACACTTGAAGTGTGTCACTAAAATTACAAATTTGAAAAGTGTTAACTGTGTTGTTTTAATCGGTTAAATAAAACAATAACATACCTGGATCACAAGGACAATTCGCTTCATCAGATCTATCTTCACAGTTATTAACACCATTGCAAACAAATTCATTCATAATGCAACGTCCGCTGGGGCACTGGAAATATCCTTCCTTGCAAGTCCTGCTTTCTGCAATAGCAAATACAACGATTACAATTATGACGCTAAAGTTGACCACGGATTTAATTAAATACCACAATAGTTATCAGCTTCATCGGCAAAATTTGGACAATTCTGAATGCCATCGCAAGTAAGGTTGTATGGAATACAAGCGTTATCACCGCAGTTGAATTGGTGTTCTGTACAGTTGCTGCTAGATTCTTCAATACACATTTTGCCTAAGAAGAAATACATCTTAACATATCAAGAAATAATTTAAACATAGTAAATGTTTCATCTAAATATAAAACAATTACCTCCTTTATCAAGTACATATCCTTTATCACAAAAGCAATGGATATTATTGTCATCGTTTAGCCTACAATGACTCGAGCAACCTCCGTTCAAAACTCTACATGGATTATGATAGCCTAAAATACAATAATAAATTAATAAAAATGGGCTATTATGTTATGTAAGTTTTGAAAATGTTGAAAATGTATATACAGTCATAACTGGTGTTCGAAACAGCAGCAATGCCCATTGGTCTTGAATCATACTTCCTCATCATAACACGATTTGCACCGGTCAATTTGTCGGCCCTGAATATGGCCTGGACAGACCAATCACTCCAGAAGACGTAATCACCATGTACTGCCATTGCAAATGGATGTTGCGTGTTTGCCAAGGATAGTACTATACGGTGCATCCCGTTGTAATCACAACGCTCGATCTTATCTAGACGAGCATCAGCCCAATACAGCCGTTGAGCATAGTGGTCCAAAGCAATCGCATTTGGCATTCGAATTTCAGTCGTTATAATCGATTCCTTCATTCGACCGTTTGTAAACGCGCGTTGGATGCTCGGACGATTGTTGTTCCAATTAGTCCAGTACAGTCGTCTAAAATTATTGCAAAAATAAAAAAAAAATTAATATTGGATGGTTCACAAATTTACATACTCTCAGACAGTCAGGAGACCATAAAGGTACTAAATGTTTATGCTTTCAACTTTAAACATATCTGGCAGTGCTTAAATTGCCTAATGGCTCTAGGAAAATACAACAAGATTACTTTAAAGTGGGTTCCTGGACATGAAGGTTGGAAATGAACTAGTCGAAAAAAGGGGTAGCTGTCTCACCCAAGGGACCAGAAAAAGGTCCACTAAAGTGTGTTTTAAGTTGGCTCGAGAAAGAAAAACTCAAGCATTGGACCAAAGCACTAGGTGAGGCTAAGTTATTTATATAAATCTCTCAAAAAGGAATGGGAAAGAACTCTTCACGCATGAATATTTGAACATGCCATCATCAGTAGGAACCAGAGACATCAGCATATATCCTTTGTGAAGGTGAATCACTTTGGTAAAGCAATGCTCATACCAAAAGAGGTAGGTACGTGAAGAGGAAAATGCTTATGCTTAAAGGAATAAATTGCACTTTCTAATGTATGGTTATAATTTATAAGGGTTTCCACAATAAATCTATATATGTCACAGCAGATGAAAGGATTTTTAAAATATTTATTCAACCCTCCCAAACCTTAAAAAAATAAAAAATAAAAAAATGGATTGTTTATAATACTTACAAGCTACAAGGGTCAACTGCAATTCCTCTGGGCTTGTCATCTTTCAAAAGAGTGATGATCACTTCTTCCTTTTTGTTTTCATCTTGTTTCATCAGCGACTTCTTTAAAATAGAAGAAACGGCTGTATTGCAGGTCCAGTAAAGAGTATTTTCAACAGGATTGTAAGCTATTCCCTCTACACTGCCCTGACCGCTCGCTATCGTCCTCTGGTTGGTACCGTTGAAGAAAACCGCATTTATGATACCCTTTTGAATGTCCGAGTAAAAAAGTGTGGATGTCTCGTAGTCGAAAGCAAGCCCGATAGTGTTGCGCATCATCAAGGTGGATTTGATAGGTGGGATCGGCGAGTTGTGATCCGGGTCACCTACCATGTGTAACGATTCAATCCGGTTTACAAGTGAAAACACCAAAAATTCTTTATACTCTGAAAAAAAAATCAATAACAAAACGCCAATTAAAAATAAATTGCATAACGCAGGGAAAACAAATCTCACCATAGCACTTATATCTGAAAGAGAGGCCATGTGAACACACACAAACAGCATCGTGGCCATTAAACAGGCATAGTTCTTCACAATGGTGTTTACCACGCTCGCAAGGGTTCGTACCGTTGTACTTTGGCTCCTTCGACACGACTACCAAATCTCTAAGCGAATCAGTAAGGTTTGCTCTGATAGTTTTTGGCGGCTCTTCCATCGTCAAGTCCAGCATCTTTATACTTCCATTCTCAAAACCTGAACTGTAATAAATGTTATTAATTACACAACACATTATTTTTTATTTTAAACATTAAAACTCACGGTTCAATCCAATAAATTTTTCCAGCATGGTAGGTAAGAGCAAGTGGTGCTGATATATTAGAAATTACTGTTATTCTCAGTTCATTATCATAGCTGATACCATGGATTGCATTTGTATTCGATTCGCAGTAATAGATCATGCGATGCTGCAAAACAATTTTCAAATTTTTTTAAACTATTACTATTTTTCACTAAACTTCATTTTAAACGTTAAAAGCGTCAAATTTACCTCGATATCGAGTGTGATGCCATGGACGTGCCTGAACTGCAATGTAGCGACTACACGCTGGTCTTCCCCGTCGAGTTGGGCCTGGCATATAAGGCCGGTTTTCCCGTTGTCAGCCCAAAAAAGTTTTCCGGCATAAGGGTCGACCCTCAGCGATCTGGGTGACTCAAGGTACCGTTGTATAACAACTCGGCGATGCGTTCCATTCGACGCCACTGAGGCTACAAATATCACTTTGAACTTCGGGTCAATCCAGTAGATATTTCCAGCTACCCAGTCTACTGCTATGCCTATTTTAAATTTAAATAAATTATAATTAAATTACATTCGTCTTTTTAAGGAAGAATTTTGAACAAAATATCACACAATTTAATAAAAATTCAGTTTTAACTATTAACTGTATTATAAAAATTTTAAAAAATTAATTTTTCATTTAATTTATTGAGGGGAACGTAGTTTTTTTTTTTTACTTTAAATTCAAACAGATAATTTTTAACAAGTTTTTATTTTTAATCAATGATGTAATCACCCTCGTTATCATCAACCTTTTGCCATCTAGTATGCAAATTTTCAATGCCAGACTGTTTTCGAGCAAAATATCTAGAAGTGACATTTTAGACATCATCCAAATTTTCAAATTTTTTGCCACTTAAAAATTATTGTAGCGATCAGAATAAATGGAAATCAGGCAAGTATGAAGGGTGAAGCAATACTCCTACCCCAATTCATTAATTTTTCCAGGGGTCATCTTGCACAGTACAATGTTGCACTACCCTGCGGATACTCCACCAATACACGAAAGCGCCTTTTTGGGATGTAAACCTGGCTTAAGTGTACTGTGTGGCGATTTATTCATAGAGAACCACTGCCATTTCTGTTTTTGGATTAATGTAGAAGACCCATTTTTCATCTCCAATGATCAAGCGAACAAAAAATGCTTCTGTACTGTGCCGCTGAACCAATAAGTTGTATGCGGTGTCCTTTGGACCCTAACACCTGCTCTGCTTACTTTACCAATCTGATGCAAATGTTCTTGGATGGTCGACCAAGGTTGGTTATGAGTGTCTGATAATTCCTCAAGTATCTGACCCAGATTTGTTTCCACTTTCACCCTTAACATGTCAATGTCTAAAATCGTTGGTCTTTCTGATCGATACGAATTAAAAATATCAAAATTACCGGATTTAAACTTAGAAAACCACCTTTGCATTTACAAACGACTAATGCACTTGAATAACATCTTGAGTGTTTTTGGTAGCAACTGTTGCGTTGAGAAACTCAAAAAGCAAACAATACCGGACATGTACTTCTTCTCTTATTTGGCTGACCATTTCACCATAAATTTTGAAAAAAATTTAAGATTTAATTATTTATGAGTAAATGAAGTCGTTCTAACCTTAAAATATCTTTGCATGCCTTTGAAGTACACAATCAGCTGATAAATGACAAGCAAATACTGACATGGACAGAAACGACATTACTTTCTGGTCCCCCCCAATACATTGAATTACTATTTTCAATAATTGATTTTTAAGTTACCTGAAAGCAAGTCTGTTGCCATCGAATCAGGAATTTCTTGATTTCCTACTAAGACATTCCTTCCTGTGCCATCCCTCTTTATCCTAGTGATTGTTCCATGATCTGAGTCTGTCCAGTATATGTAATCATCGACTGAAAAATATTTTCAAAATAATTATCATTCAAACTGATGATCGTCGATGATTACTAACTTGGATCATAATCGATGCTAGATGCCATGGACACCCTTGAAATAGGAGGAAGGACTTCTTTATCTTGTTCTCCACTCTTGAGAGAAACGCCCTGTATTTCGTAGTTGATAGAATAAATGACAACATCATCTATAGATGAGCAGCTGACTGGTTCTGATTCATTTTTGACAAATCCCACAGCGCACGGGCAGACTCTTGAAGTAGGCGAAACAGGAAGGCAGAGCTGCTGGCACTTACCATTTTTGTCCGAGCATGCATTTTTCCCTGTCTGTGTATATGGGTTGAATATTTTTATTGATGTCGCATTTCCTAAAAATCAGTTTATGTTTAAAAAATCACATTTCCACTAAAAGAAGATTGTACTTTAAAAACTAACCGGTATTATTAACTAAGACATTCTGTATAGCACCATCAGCCCAGACAGCGACACTATCGTTAATAAGAAGATAGAGTTTCCCTATGTAAAATGTTACTGCTTTTGGTACGCTGTTTTCAGGCAGCGTAATGTTGCTCAGTTTTCTCGTCGAGAGGTCGACCATTTGCACTGTCTTTGTTGCTGTATTCACCCAGTACATTTGATTTGCATTGAGATCTATTGTGAGGGACCTGGCACCTCCAATCAAATTATGATTATCCATATGATCACTGACCACATATTTTCCCGTTGCGTCCATATTCGCACCGTAAATATAGCATTCGGTATGGTTTAACTGCTCTATCCAGTATATTTTTCCATTGATCGGATGAACACATATAGAAGTTATCATCTAAACAAAAGGAATTTTTCATATGCACAGATTGAACGAAACATTTTTTCAGAAAAATTAGGTTTAGAATACTACTTGCAAATTATTCTACTTACGTCATCAACAGTCCCTTGATTTGGTGAAGTGTATATTCTAGTGAAGTACTCCCCTTGAAGGTTTGTCGCGACTATTTTGAGTCTGTTGTCCTCACGGGAGGATATAAACATGTTCTTCGAAATCCAATCGATTGCGAAGCCATACGGGGTAGTGATTCCAGTATCGACGACTGTTTTAGATACGTGTTTAGAAAGCTGAGATGATCGTATAATCCCAGAAGGAGATTCAGCCCAGTAAATGACTCTTGGCTCGGCGACAAAATCCACTTCCGAAGGATTAGTGAGAAGTGGGAGAGTTATAGTTGGTATTGTGCTGTGATAAGGAGTTATTAAATCTAACCCTCGTATCTCGGAGGAACTCACAACAAGAAGGATGACATCGTTATCTAGAAAAACAAAAAAATTTATATATATTGTAGAATTAGACAAACAAGAATAACACTTACCTACACATGTGACATTATCTTTATCAAGACGCATGACATGAGGACAAGCACAGCTTCTTGTAAGATTAAGCCCGATAAGACACAAGTGGGAACAGTTCCCATTGTTCGTTCCGCAGGGGTTAAACTTCGGCTTGGGCTGCCGGTCCGGGTGAACTGTCTGGATGTCAAACGGCTGTGTGAGCGTCCGTTGTACGACCATTATTTCACTGCCATCCTCCTTCGGCCCGCGTAACACGGAATTGGACCGCCAATCAGTCCAGTAGACGTGGTCGCGGAATAAAGTGATAGCAAATGGGTGTGAGAGCAGTTCATGGCCTCTTACCACCTCATGGTGTCCAGTGCCATCATAGTTCACCCGATGGATTGAATCAGATCTATATACATATTCAAATTTAATATATTGTGAAAAAGTACTTCAAAAATCAATTGCATTACCTAGCATCTACCCAGTAAACCCGCATTTCATCATAGTCTAGGGTAAGTCCATTCGGCCAAGCCCCACCATGATATAACTCTTGAATTTTTACAATAACCTTTCTGTGTTCTCCTGTCATGGCGCATGATTCTATACGGGGATATTTAGAATCCCAATCAGTCCAGAAAAGTAAGCTAAACAAATATATCTGTAATTTTAAGTCATAAATTATTTAAACTGCTTGATAATTACCCATATCTAGGATCGAGAGCAATTGCTCTCGGGCTTTCCATGTTTCCTGCGATAAGTGCACGTCTGTAACTTCCATTCAATTTGGCAACTTCTATCTGGTCTAAATTACTCTCGACCCAGTAAAGATTTTCACCGACCCAATCAACGGCGAGGCCTTCTGCGGTCTTCAGCCCAGTGTGTACCACAACTTCAATGCTCCCGATTGCTATAACAATAAAAGGTTTTAAATTTCCAAATTGAAATACATATTTTGTGATCGCAAAGCAAAACAAAAACTTACTTCCAGAAATTATTGAACCTCGATAAATCTTATCGTCAATTACATCCGTCCAATAAATAGTGTCACCTTTTTCACCATGGAAAAAATCTAAGGCGATTGTATTTTTTAGACTGGAAATAAGAGGGCGGACTGAAAGAGTTATCAAATCCAGACTGCGTATCTCATGACGATTGCTGAATATCAAATATGGCTTTACAGTTTCTGAGGGCATATTTATTCAATTATTAATACATGTAAAAGAGTATTTAAAATGTATGAAATCAAATTGTACCGTGTTTATTTAGGAAGCAGAAAATTGAGTCACACCCTGCACTTTCAGTACAGTAAGGACCAGTAGGAGTCGGGAAGCAAGGTGCTTTACCACATCGCCCTGGGCATTGGTTTTCACCTTAAAACATAAAGAAATTATTTATTAAAGGGAACTGCTGGCTTGAGAAGAGAGAATAAAAACGAGACAGGGAGGGAGAGAGAGAGAGAAAGAAGATTGCAACAATTTTTTTTTTAAATTAAAGTTTAATAACACAAGTTTTCTTAAAGTTTGTGAAATTTTATCCCTTTTTGATATAAAAAAATCTATTCTTTTATCTGTCTCTATTAATATCTGTTAACAATATTCAGCAAGAAGTAGCTTAGTAAAAACGTAAAAATTAGCTGAGTTGTCAAATTTGAGAGATTTGAATTTCAGTTGGTTTCACATGGTCAGACAATATTTCATTCATGTCGTGATCCTTTTTAAACAGGAAAAACGTTCCACTGGAAAGTGAAATTTGACAGAAGCAGTGCACGGTTGGTTAAAAATGGTGGAAAAAAATAGAGATGGATTTAATTATTACCCCAAAGATGGACAGTGTTAGAAAATAGATCCAGGTATTAAATTAACATTTACAAATACCTTGAAAACTCTTTTGTTACAACATAGCATGGCTGCGAGAAAGAAATTGGATTTAAAGGAATGAAAAATGCTTATAAATTTGTTACTCTTCTTTGTCAGTTATTGACTTTAGATTTCTTTTCAGGAATTATTGACTTCAATAAAAGAAACCCAAGAAATATGAAAAAATCCTTAGTTATAATATTGAAAAATATATATACCACATAAGAGTGATTCATCGCTCTTATCCATACAATCGTAACGCCCATCACATTGTAGTTTCAACTCAACACAGCGTGTTTTGTTGTCACAAATCCAATCAGTTTGATTGCACATCACCATTTCCGTTTCATTCAGCTTTGCTTCAAACTCTAAAAGAATACCCGCATGAAGTATCCGCTTTTCAGGTTAACATATCGAGTACTTACCACATACGATTTCATCATAGCCGTCAGGGCAGTCGACATGTTTGTCGCATTTTTTATTGATATCAATGCATGTGCCATTGCCACAGAGGAAGCCGTGTGTACAGAATGGATCAGAGCAGGAACGTTCATCCCACCCGCTCTCGCAATCCTGCCAGCCATTACAGGCCTTGTTGTTTGGAATACATTTATCTTCAGGTACACAGTAAAACTAAAAAACAAAAAAGAAACTTTCAACTTTCGTGTATCGCTTTTTTTTAATACATTAACACATACATCATTTTTTCCACACTTTTCATTGCATCCTTTTTCGTCCGAGCTGTCCCCGCAATCATTTTCACCATCGCAATAGTATTGGGGTGATATACAAACACCATTGGCGCATGTGAACATAATAGGAGGACAAGTTCTGTTGCAATCCACTTCATCGCTATTGTCACCCGGCCCACAGTCAAATTGACCATCACAGAACCATTCCTTAAAGATACATCTTCAAAAAAAAATTATATTACTAGAAATTTAGGAGATTGTTAATTTTCATTTCAAACATATTTGAACATATCATATCATGCAGTGTAGCTACTTTTGCTTTAATACTCATCATAGCCAGTGTTGAGAAACAAAGCATGTGGAATTTGCATCAAAACTTATTAAACACACAGGAAATAAACAAATTTTTATTCAAGCTATGGATCGACAAACACATAGTTGCAGATTTTACGTTTTTTTTTTTCCTCAAACCACAATTGTTTTGTGAGAATTCTTCATAAGCCCTGTAAGGTATTGAACCTGTAGTTTGGTCGCTTCCGATCATTCTTGATCTACCTATCCTCACTGTTTTGGTCTGTCAGATATATTTACATATATATTTTCTTTAGTCGGGCCCCTTTTATATGTACATCATGAGATGTATTATCTTGAAGCATTAAGTCTGGGCTTTTATGCAAAACTGAAGGCAATAGTTTAGAAAAAAAACTTTTTATCAAAATCTTGAATAAAATTTGGTATAGCACAGAATGCCTGTCATAAATGCAGAAATGTTAATTTGATGCTAATGAGTAACTAGTGTTTAAAATTTGTTTAAAATATTAATTTTAAAAACTAGTTTTAATTTAGCTAAATAAAAAATTTCAGTAGAATTGCAATTTCCAAAATTTATAACTTGGTCGTCTTTGAATATATTATTTGCCAACTTTAGTGGTTGTGTCAACACAGAAAATTACATAATGGTGTGTTTCTTAAAAACAAAATTAAAGATCACATGCAGATCAGGATCATCTGAGAAGCTACAGGTACTTTACAGCTACTTTTCAGACCTTAACACATATGATACGGAAATCAATGTCATACAAAGATTTCAATTATTTTCATTTTAAGATTCCACTCACCTTCCGCTCTTGCATTTTTTAAAATCACTGTTCTTACAACTAGAATTGTTATTAGGAACAGTGGCTGTTTCAATTGTTTCAATGGGCTTAGTGCAGTTTGGGCCTTCAAATCCATCAAAGCATGCACATGTGGCCGTTCTAGTGCCGGTGAGGAGACACAGGTGTGGACAGTCGGTACAAGGTGACACGGCGGGTGTACTGGACGGGCTGAATGCTTTGATCTCGTAAAGCGGTGAATTTTGTACCGTTAGTGTGCTAGTAGTCTTGCTCTTAAAGTCGTACGACTGAACGGTACCATTTTGCGTCTCCGTCCAGAAAAGCCGGTTGTCCATGTAGGTCAAGCCGTATGGGTGGTCGAGCTGGGAACCGTCCAAAACCACTCCCCTGACTGCAGGGTTGTTCAATAAGACGTACTCAATCTGATTGAGCTTCGCGTCGCACCAATATAACCGACTCCATAGCTCATCGATGGTTAGCCCGGATGGCAGCATCAGGCCACCTTTTACAAACACACTGCGATGCGAGCCATCCATATTGGCAAACATAATGCTAGCATCGTTAGTCATATTGACATCCCATTCTGACCAGTACATCGCACTGAAAAAAAAAATAAAAAAGTATTTAATTATTAAATATGAGTAATTAAACTTTTTAAAAAACATAAAAACAGCTAAGATAAATATAGTAACATGACCTATATATTGTTATTTATTTATAGTCCAACAATACATTATTCTCATACATATTTTTATCTTCTGTTTGCAATTTACTCCAGTTAATATTTAATTAAAATAAAACAATATTTGAAGGTATTTATATCAATTCAATACTAAAATTAATAGGGTGAGATAAAAATTTGATATTTTTTGAATTTTTAAAAAACATTTACATTAAGTCCATTATGTTTAGTGGTCTAATTGACCGAATTACTTTTTCAATTAATTATTCTTTTTATGTAAAGTCTTGGTTGAAATGAAAAAGTTAGTGTGGGATTCGAATTGAAATTCAATTGAAAAAAGGCAAAAAGGAGGGAAAATTCAAAAAGTTGTAGATTGAGATGGGGAGTTGGTGTCCAAGTGGATCAAAGTCATGATATCTTAAGTGTTAAGAGCAGCGGCATATTGATCTGAAGGTCGTGGGTTTGAATCCTGCTCGTGAAACTAACTTTTTAATTTCAACCAAGACCTTACATAAAAAGAATAATTAATTGATATTAGCATTAAGTTTAAATAATATTTCAACCATTTTCCTTTGAGACCAACCATCGAACTAAGATTTCTTTGAACTTTGCCCCATTTACTGGTGTGTATCGACACTTTTAGATTATTCAAATCACACCTGAACAGCTCTTTAATTGAACCCTCATCTTCAAAATTTGTGTACCCGATGCAAATTCTTTCACAATTAACATTGCACCAGAATGCATAAGCAAAATTTTTGTTAAGAGAAATTACAGCATTGACTTTACTAGTTAATTTAATATGATAAAAAATGATAAATTGTAACTTAGAGTAGGAAACAGTAATGATTACAAATTTAAAAAGTTGAATTTTTTTCTTGACTCCCACTTTTATTCATGTATTTAAAACATATACTCACGCTTCAGAAATATGCAGTACGATGGAGATGGGATTTTTCAGATCGTTGAAGAGGGTCTTATGCTTTTTCGGATTTGACAGAGGGGCCACACAGAGTGAATTGTTACCCTCATCAGTCCAATAGATATTACGTGCGAGCACGTCAATTGCTATACCTTCGCATTTTTTAATCCCCTCGCTTATGAAAACCTCTTTCTCGCCAAATCCGGTAATCTTCTGGCGCGAAATGACTGTCGATTGTTTGTGGATATGATTGACATAATATATGTACTGTGTATTCGGGTCGTAGTCCAAAGATGACGGTTCATTCAAATCTGTCACGGGTATCGTAGATTCGGTCTCCCCGGAAGCGATGAGTGTAATTCCTTTTATCATTCCAGGCTCACCTTTCCCATAAAGCAGGAATGTGCTGTATTGGATCTCTGTAAAAAAATCCTGTTTTATTTAACTGGGTTGTGTATAAGAGCATAAAAGTCAAATTTTCAAAATACAAATTTATTTTATTTTTAACCCAAAACATAATTTCTTTCATTTTCGATAACATACTCCCAACGTTCTGGTAGAAGAAATATCTCATTTTCGTAAAAGTCTGATGACTTAGATGAGGTGAAATCTAAATTCGATTTTCAAAGCATTTTCGTTCGAAAATTCTTTACCTTTTAAGTGTTTGTCTAGGTAGTGGAACTAGTGAAAATCAGAAGTGGCAAGGAAATTTTCGGCAAATTTACTCTGAGTAAGTGCAGCTGTGAGAGACTTGGCGTAATCATGGTGAAAGGAGACGATCTGTCTATTCATCAGGGCTGGACATTTTTCCTTCAACAATGCCCCAAGATGCTCTAGCACATAGCTCTGGGCACAGTATACTCTGCTGTAAGAGTTTGATTGCGTGGTAATAGTTCATAATAAATTATTCCTTGAGTATCCCACCAACAATAGGACCTTATGAGGTTGAATCCTGCTCTAGACATCGACGATGGCATTTCATTCTTCTCGCAAATTCCTTTGGTGTTACCATTTTTTTAAAGGGCCCACTTATCCCTGGACTGGGCGCCACGCGACTAGCCATGTGTTCTTCCTTGTTCTGAAGGATTCATGGGTTCCCAACGTTTTCAGTTCGGATTCTTCTTTCTAGTGTTGTGTAATGTACCTGAAACCTCTCTGATACCTCTGCTGTATTTAATTTATCTTAATCCGCCAATACGTAATCGTTTTTATGCTCATTAAGCCTTCTATAACGAGGCTGATTTTTTATTTGTCTTTCTTCATTATGCGGAACCATTGTTGATTCACATGTTTAGTTGCTATGTTATCACCGTAAATTCCGAGATCAAACTCGTACAGCACGCAATGCCAATTTAAATGCACATTGCAATTTATTACAGACAGAATTTGGGGATCAACTACTTTCTTATTTCTTTCAATAGGGGCTTTTCCCACCCTAGAGATACGAGGTAGCAGGTAATAAATGACAGTTTTTGTTGATAGATGTATGATGATTCTTTTTTATAGAACAGTCATATATCAATAATTGAAAATTAAAAGATAAATTGAAAATGAAAACATATCACATTGCTCTGTTATGCCAACCATACAATTACTACATATACTATAGAGCAACCATAAGATCTGTCATTGACTTTGGATAAATTGTTTATGGACAAATGTCTAGATCCAGAAAAGATTAGATATCTCATAGATAGATCATAAACCAGCCATAATATTTCGGCTCTTTAATGCTTTGCTAATTCTCTTAGGATTGTTTATATCAAAATTCTCACCAATCCCAGAAAATACCAAAATCAAACAAATCGCGATGAATTATGTCTACTCAATTCTCAAGTCTTTAAAGGCTACGTTGGATGCCATGGTTGCTATGTCAAATCTACTTACCTTAACTTTTACCAAGGGATTAAACATTTTAGCTAGTAAATCAACAATTTATATTTTCACAAGATTATTATGAATGTGTCTAGATCCAAATTAAAAATATTAGATATCTTACAAAATAAATCTCTAAGAACATGCATGGGATCTATTAAACCTCTACTACCACAATATTAGATTGCAATTTATTTATTTATTTTTATGACAGTATTTCAACTATGAGGTAGTATCAACCCTCGGGGTGTCAGTGTATTTGAAAAAGCCTATTTATAAGTATGTATATTTATGTGTATGTGAAGACCGCTGGATTCGAACCCGGGACCTTTATCTCACAGTGATGAGCTCCATGTCTTCGCCTAAACCATTGCAACCAATGGCGCCACTTAATTTGCCTTTGTAATGGTGCAAGTCAAAATTTGAAGAAATAAAATCCATCCCTAACCCAACAATTTACTGTGACAAAAACTCACCAACACATTTTCCATTTTTTATGAGCCTGTATCCTGCTTTACAAGCGCATTTTACAGACGCTGACGTTTTCTTCCAGAACGGAATACAAATATGCTCACATCCTCCATTATGCTTTCCTTTGCAAGGATGTGCCACTGTAAAATACAAAAGTTAATTGAGAGACAATATAGATGAGAAATAAAATAGACAATTACCATCAGGCTGCCGCTGCCTATGATATACATGGATTGAAAAGGGCTTCGATTCATTTGTGAGGACTTCAAAATTGCTGGAATTAAACTTGTTTATACGCATCACATTGTGATTACGCCAAGAAGTAACATATAGATTATTCTCAAAAACTGTTACATCGAACAAGTTTTGCACCTTTTAACAAAAAATAACACGTTTAAAAATCTGAATTAGATTTAAGCATAGTATAACTTACTGGGGATCCTTTGCGAATAGTTTTTCTATTTTTCCCGTCGTAGTCGATTCTTTCAACTAGATCAAGGTAGGTGTCGACCCAATAAATGTGCTGGAGAGGGTAATCAGCTGTGAGGCCAAATGGATAAACGATTCTCTCGTTAACAAGAATTTTTCGGCTCGAGCCATCTAATAAAGCGCGTTCAAGTGTAGGAGATATCGTACCCCATTTTGTAAAGAACATGTAGCTAAAAACATCCAAATTCAATTAAGTTCAAATCAAATAATTGAAAAATAAGTACTCACCCTTTTGTTGGATCGAGTGTTATGCCACGGGGTTTGTTCAAAGAAACGTCAACAAGTATCATACAATATTTGAGTTCGTATGTACATAGATAAATTATTTCCCTGCTGTCATCGAGAAAGTACCAGTTTTCAGAGACCCAGTCCAGAGCCATGTGTATGATAGCTTAGGGGGAAAAAAATATTTAAACATAAACCACATTATGTACCAACATTCTACTCTTGAAACACTTACAATTGATATTAATAAGTGGAGGATTGGGTATTTCCTTAGAATCACTCATTCCATCAATGGGTGAGCACGTGATCCCTGCTGGATTGCTTGGTTGGCGTATAAAACATATTTGTTGAGCACGGTGATTAAAAGATATTGCTATGGTATGCCCTTCTTTCCTTTCAGAATCGCCTTTGTACAGCTTCCCTTTCAGGTCAACTCTACGTATTGCAGTAGCACTACTGAAAATTAGAGTCGGTTCCTCGTCTTCCGGCACGTTGATGGCTTTGCATTTATTTTGACCTTCTTGCCTATAACCGGAAACACAACTGCACCAAAAGGTGCCTACAATATTGTTACATAGCTGGTCGCAGCTCCCATCTATTTCACACTCGTCTTCATCCACACAGCTGACAGTGTTCGAAACACGAAAGCCAGGAGCGCAAAAACATCTCGGGCCGAATGGAGTAGGACGGCACTGGTGTTCACAGCCCATCGCTGTGCAATTTGCAACATCTGAATAATAATACACAACAAGTTAATTAAAAACAAAAATTAAAAAACAAATGAATATGAAAATATAACTCACGACAAAATTTGCCCTCGTCAAACGAATCTGCACAATCTTCTACACCATCGCAGAACTTTTCAATATGTAGCCACTTACGTTCGACTGGACACATAATCGTGTTTGACTTGAATTTTTCAGCAGGTGAACCTGAAAAAAATGTGTTAAAATTCATTCTTGCGTTAATCAAATTTCAAGCTGATTTTCTAAATACATTTTATCGGATCTTCATCCGAAGCGTCCTCTAAGCAGTCGACTTCACCGTCACACATCCACGACAATGGGAGGCATCGCCGCGATTTTGCACAACTGAATTGATCCTCCTTGCAGTGAACAGTGTCACGACAATTATCGGCCTCATCCGAGTCGTCTGGGCAGTCAGGAGTACCATCACAGACCAGCTCTCTTGAAATGCAAGAGCCAGTCGATTTACATTTGAACATTCCTTCGCACTGACCATCTAAAAAGAGAATATAATTTCAGTACAAAGTTAAGTTAAGAAATATGCATTAATTAAATTTGCCAAGTGCTGTCAACAATGTTTTCATCATAGTTTTCTTTTAATCAAATGGTTTTATTAAAATCAAAATTGTATTTTATTACGCTTATTTAAGTGATATCAATTATATAATGTAACAGTTGTCCCACAAAGGTCCAAGTACATTAAGTAAGCAACCCACAGAACATTTTTTTTTTAATTTAATTGTACAGTCGAATGAAGAAAAGGAATTATCATTTTTACAATAATTTTCGTTTTTCAATTTTATTTGATTGATGGGTAAAATTAATTAAAATAACAAATTATATACGCAGAAAATTAAATTAAAAGTTTTCACAGAATAAATTTAAAAAATTACTTCCAGTTGAAAAAAAAAAATCTAAATGAAAAATGTGTGTCACAGACAGGATTCGAACCCATGACCTTCAGCTAAATACGCAGCTGATCGAACCACTTGAGCTTCTGTGACATCTATTGCCCATGCCACAAACTTCTCATTTCAACTTCCCATTTTATTCCAATTGTAAGCAAATCGCATATTGAGCCGAAGGTCATGGGTTTTAATCCCGCCTGTGACAAATTTTTCAATCACAAAAAATCGTGTATAATTAATTAATTGAGTATTTGTATAATTCAAAATAACATGATAAAAAATAATAAAAGATACCCATAAAATTTATTGAGATGGCTTGTAAAAGAAAAGTATTCCGTCGTTTAGAAATCTTTTATTCAAGTTGGACCTTTCAGCCTCATTGGGCTACCAGCAGCTTGGACAAATCAACCCAAAAACATTTATATATAAAGTCCGTTTTTAAAACGAGACTTTTTTAAACAATATTTATCTCAGTACTTAGGAATGTGTGGACTCAACAATTGCCCCTTCTTTCCATTGTTCCCTTTAGATAAGCTTGTCATTCATAGTTAGTTACAGGAGTAAAGATCCGAATATTTAATTGTTATAGAATAATCTGTACCATGAATAGGAAAGTTATTCTCTGTAACCATTGTGTGTTATTTGGCAATAAAGATTCTTTTTTACAAAGTCTTTCGTCTAAATCTCACACATAACTGGCGTAGTCAGTAGGAGACACTTTTCGGGTTCGGTGAATACAAACTTTATTGTATTAGTTAGAAAATCCTAAACCACGTTCATCGGGAACATCCAAATCAAGAAAATCAGTGACTACTCAGAAATGATTGCAATTTTGTGAGTAAATAACTTGTATCGCATGTTTTAAAACTCTTGGTTTCACAATTTAATATAGCAATTATATTTTTATTGTTATTGTAAAATTGTTTAAAATTTTTAAAATAATATTATTATTGTTATTCTTAACACTAACATGGCTAACTTGGCAGAATTAAGATTTATTTTGGATGCCATCCCCACTTATGATGGCAACCCAAAAACACTAACACAGTTTATTATGAATGTTGAAGGGGCGCAACATATCATTTCCGAATTAGTACCTCCAATATCAGACCCTAGAAAACTATATGCTTTATGCATATTAAAGGTAAACTAGGTAAATAAGGCCAACGAACATTTAAGAAATTTAAATTTCCAAGATTGGTCAACATTAAAATCACATTTATTGACTGAATTTGGAGACAGGCAGGGTCCAACTAGTATCTTGGTTGACCTGTTGAAATTAAATGTAATATCCCCTTTGCGAACATTAAATGAAATTAAGGAAAGGTTTGATTTATTCCGAGCTAAAATACGGTACAGACAACGAAAAATTATATTTGATAAGGTTTCAGGAGCAAATAGTGGCCACCAATTTTATAAGTAGTCTTAGAGACCCTTTAAGAAATAACCTAGCCACTATGAATCCTAAAACATTGTCAGACATTGAAAAGTTAATGTTAAACGACTTCCAGTATATGCAGAGAATAGACCAACAACCGATCCCACAACATAGACAAAACACAAATCAAAAACATAATTTCAAACCACATGAATTTACACAAAGGCCCATGCAATTCAACAAACCATCACAAATTAAACAAAATTTCACTCCATTTTCACAAAGCAACTAAGAAACCCCCATGAGCATCTCAACAAGAAACTCTTTTCAAAAACCACGAGTTTTCCAGATGTATGCTAGGGAACAACCACCCAAAAATTCCTTAGATGAATCCTTTAACCTAAGTAAATTGAACCAAAACGCGGATGTTTTATCTAGAGTGCAAATAAATATGGCTACAGTAAAAGGTAAATATCCCAATAATTCCAAGGTTGATGAAGAAATAGATACCCTGCTAGATGAATTCTATGAAGAATTTCCAGAGCTAAAGGGAGGAAAACCTTGCAAATTCAATTTTAGATTCTCCTGAAAGAGAAATCTTAAATTGGCCTGACACCATAGATAATGATTCCACATTCGTGAATATAGATGAAGATAATTTAAATGAAAACAGAATTATTATCGACGAAGATTCACAACAAATGAGACACTCAAATTTGGAAGGAAATACAGGATTATCAATCCCAATTACCGAAGGCCCGGTCAATCATTGTGAATCAAATTCAAATATCTCTTGTTAAATGTAACCCGAAGAAGACAAAAGTTATTAATCACAAAGAAACACTAAAATTGTTGTATTCTAAAATTAGTGAACGTAGTAAAACAAATAAAGCTTCTTTAATTGAAAATTTAAATAAAAATAGAGAACTTCTGCCAGAAATCCCTGAAGGCGTTTTTGTTAAAAATAAGCAGATACAAACAAAAACAAAAAATAAGTATAAGAAGGAAAAAATAAGATCCGTTGATAAAAATTTAAAAACGGCAGAAATAGTCCCACCAACTCATTATTACATGGTAGGAAAAATACACTTGTCAAATATTAAAAGACCAAGAAAACTAATGCGAAACGAAAACGTTGCAGGCCCTTCCTCCTTTTCTTTGGAATTAACGCATCAGGAGCCGATATAATAGATATCTCGCAAAATCCTGGCATAATAGCCATAAATCTTGGTCCAGTCAGGTTGGAAATGTCAAAACATACTTTCATTCATTATATTAAATTTGACCTATTGTTTCAACAATTACACAACTTGGATAAAATTTATGATGAAGTATATATCTGTATTAATAATAAGAATATTAGCTATAAAAATAATATAGAATATGTAACTGATAACAGTAGACATTGTAACTTATTTAGCATTAATAAATAATACTAGAAGAATAATGATTAGGATCCATCATAAAATTTATTACAGGTAATCTAGATTCTTACGATGGAGCTCAATTTAATAAAGATATTGAAAATCTAAAAGGTAGTCAAGTTAATTTTAAAAAACAAATAAATTTGCAAAATTCAATAATCAATGAACTCATTGAGGAATTTAATAAATCATTAACAGTAGTTGAAGAAAATACAGCCGAACTAAAATCAAAAATTTTAGCAGTAAATAAAAAATTAAACAATTATGTTGAATTAGAGAAATTAAGAGATACAACAAATTTATTACATATCACTTATGAAATACTATTAAATGTAGTACAGGATATCGAAAACTCATTAACATTTTGTAAACTACATACTTTACACCCTAGTATTATATCTCCTCACGAATTGTTTAAGGAAATTACTAGAATTTCTACTTATTATGAGGATCAATTACCACTTGAAGTAAGTTTAAAGAACATTTTTGAATTTGAAAATTTAATTAGTGTACAATGTAAAATTGTAAACAATCAAATTATTTATCTTTTACAATTACCCTTAGTAAGAAAACAAATGTATGATTTATATAAACTAATTCCAGTACCAACAACACATAACTCTAATTTTATAACAATTGTTCCAAATGTAAAATATTTATTGAAACCAAGAGCGAATTCAAATAAACTAAATATTGAACCTTTAGACAATAATTGTAAAAAATTTCAATCAATATCTGTATGCTCAACGCAATCGATTAATCATGAAGAGAACAACTGCGAGAAAGAAATCGTATTAACAGGAGACACAACGTCCTGAACAATACACTAGCATCAATTTAGACAACTATGAAACCTGGATAGCTGAACTAAATCAATATTTAGCCAGTTATCCCAAAGAAGAAATCGTCACAATAACGAAACATGGGGACACAATATCTAGAAGTCTACACGGAATATTCTTAATAAATACTACATCAAGTAATTTAACATTTCGAAATAAACTGCTTCTTCATTCTTCACATACTTCTGGACATCCAAAGTTCCTCAACGAAGTTAAACTTAGTTTGAAAGAGGAACAACAGCTACGATTTACAGTCAATGTAAAGCACGTCAAATTGAACCGACTAGAAAGTCAACATTTGTCTCCAGCTATTGAAAAACCGATCATCACTACATCGATAAGTATATGGACGATCCTCCTGTATGGACTCATTCTACTACTATCTGGGTATGGTATCACCCGGTATATCTTCGCACGACAGCAACTTCCAGCAGCTGCCGCCTCCGAATGTTTCATCTAGGGGTGGAGGAGTTACGTCTGCGTTTTAATAACGAGACTTCTTTTAAACAATACTTATCTCAGTACTTAGGAATGGTGGACTCAACAATTTCCCCTTCTTTTAATTGTTCCCTTTAGATAAGCTTGTTATTCGTAGTTAGTTACAGGACAGTTAACGGACAGTAAAGATCCGAATATTTAATTGTTATAGAATTATCTGTACCGTGAATAGGAAAGTTATTCTCTGTAACCATTGTGTGTTATTTGGCAATAAAGATTCTTTTTTAAAAAGTCTTTCGTCTAGACCTCGCACATATATATATATATATATATATAGTAATTAAATTAATTGTTTACTTTTGCTATATAAAATAGATAAAATACAGAATAGATTTTTTTTTAAATTCATGGACCACTTGGTTTTACCTTTCTTCAACCATCAACATTATTAAACCATGGAAAATATATGGAAATTTTGTATAATTATGAAAAATAATAACTCGAATAAAATTTATTGAAGTACTGTGCTATTCGACTGTTAAAACTATACTTTTTTTTAAGCATTTGATCTATTTAATTGTGTAAAGGCCAAGAATAATAAAAGGAGGCTTCCAAGAGATAAACGATACGGGGCCAATTACCTGATTAAAGCCAAGTGAATTGGAAGATTGCTTCCAATTCTTCCCTCACTATCTACACGTCCCTTGTCGGAAATAAACAAATGTATAAAACAGAAAATGAGAAAGAAAAAAAATGAAGGAAATCAACATTTAAAAATGAAAGAGAAAACTGACGTGATCCTCATGGATAAATTGTAAATTAAAATTGTCAGCCTTTGAATATATTAATAATTTATCAATTTATACACTTTTCTAAGCTGTTTTCTTGGCTCCTGAAAAAGAAAATGAACAAAAACTTTGATGTCATTTTTTTCTATAGTAATGTGTAGAGATTAGTGACCATTAATTGATAGTTATTCAGATATCGTGAGATGCGGTCAGGTGTGATGTAGGTTTCAGAAAAACATTTTCTTTATCGTGCCAACGTTTCAATCTTTTATTGAGATCATCTTCAGGGCTCAAAGTGTTTGTCTTCTGTGTAATTGTGCCATCCTTGCGTGTCGTGTTGAGAGTGGGCACTCTCAACACGACACGCAAGGATGGCCCTGAAGATGATCTCAATAAAAGATCGAAACGTTGGCACGATAAAGAAAATGTTTTTCTGAAACCTACATCACACCTGACCGCATCTCACGATATCTGAATAACTTTTTTTATAGTATTTCCCAAACTTGTTAATTATATTTATGCATTTTTGTTCCCAACCTAATGAGGTTTTATTTTTATACATAATAATAGAACAAAAACTTTGATGTCATTTTTTTCTATAGTATTTCCCAAACTTGTTGATTATATTTATGCATTTTTGTTCCCAACCTAATGAGGTTTTATTTTTAACATAATAATAGAACAAAATTTTGTAGAAAAATAAAATGACCAGCAACCACTCAATTTGATTTTATTTATTTATTTTTTTTTAAGTTAGGCTAAACATTTTAACGGGTTTTAAAAAATTATTAAAAATAAATTTTAACTCATTTCAGTGTGATTTGATACTTATAAAAAATTTTCCTCTCGTGGTGATCCTGACTTTCCAGTTTATATTTATCTAAAAGTTCATAGAATAATGAAGATTTTTTTTTAAACCATGAGAAAAATATCAAATGAAAAATAAAATTGAATCTAATTGGAAAAGTTATAAATTCCAAAATTTCCTTAAAATAATATTATGCATGTTTATTGCACTCTTTTAATGTGAACAACACAAAAAAATTGACTGAGTAAATTTGAATAACTGTACTTGGTACGATTCATTTAAACCAAATAAAAATTATTATTTTAAGTAGTTTAAAGAGTTAAAACAGCAGCAAACCATTTCACATATTATCCTTCAAGATCAAGTTCACCAATCTTTATCCATTATTTTTTATTTTTATGCATAACTATTTTCTTTATTCCAAATGGTAAGAAAAAACGCTAACTCCTACCAATATTCAGTAATAATTTGCATGTGATTCTGTAACCAGTTCTCAAAATCAATTTAAAAAACCAGAAGCCTTTCTCGGAAAAATGTTCTGCACCTGACAGGAGAAATATTAATAGTTTTATTACTGTCTCATTATTATTGTATTAATTGACAGTTTTTATAAATAACCCAGAAGAAATATATGAAAATATATGCTGAAATATGTTAAAAACAATTTGACATTAGAGCGGAGGTCATTTGATAAATATAGATTATCTAATCAAACTTGTTTATCTGTCTTATATCTTTTTTCTTTTTTTAAGGAAGTCACACATCTCCCAGTATTTCTTCTAGTGTATTAATCAAGGCCAGGGTTTCCCCACACAAGTCCAATTGACTTGCAAAACAACTTTACCAAAAAAAACTTTAAAAACAATTGTATTGCTTATTTATACAAACTTACATCAGATTTTCATTCGCACAAGTCGCAAATTTTCTGTTAACAGGCGATATTAAATATTGACATGCAGATGAAATGAAATGCTTCATAGGTGACATTTACTTGAAAAACCGGTTCCAATTGTGCAATCATAGTTTATTAAAGCAAAAATAAAATTGGATTTACATATGATAAGAAAATTAATTGATTAATTAAGATTAATATTTGTAAATTAACTTAGATGCTTTGTTTATATATTATAATGCCATACTTTTGTTGTGAAATATAGGTCTGGCAACCTAGTCTGGCATAGTTTTTTCATTAATCAAAAACCACAATATTCTGTATTTCTGCACAAACACAATTAAAAGAAAAGAAAAGATAAAGCATTGATATCTCTTAGCATTATCATGAGTGAGTTATGTTCCGATAAAACCACACATATACTCAATGCCAGCATAATAATAAGAAAATAATGTACACAATAGGACAAAATTTATTGTATGAAACAAAATTATATTGTACTAATTATATCTATACAATTGTGTAATTATGCTTCATGCAACATAATTCATTCTATTACTTCAAAATTCAATCACATAAGACATTGTTCATTGGTAAAAATTTATTTATTTTTTAACATCAAGCATAAGTGCAGGCAAAAATTCGATTGCATTCATTGATCAAACAACCGTAGATTTTTCACTGAAATGCACTTTAGTTTACACAAATTAAAGAAGTTTAGTTCTCAAATTATACTGTACATGTACATTATGTACTGAAGTATATCCTTGCTTTTTGATAAAATTGTTAGTGAATCGTTGATAGCATGCATAAGTGCGAACAGGCTCCGGCAGTACTAAGTAATTCAACAAACCCAAGAGTAAAGACAAATCCAATAAATAACCCAGTGCCGGTTCAACATGAGTTCACCTACTAGTAGACCAACACCCAGCATGAAATGTCAACTGATAATAAATGACGTAACGTCTTCAACCCGAGACAAAGTCCCACGGCTCCAGCAATGATTTAAAACACTGAGTGTATGGTATGGGAATGTACCGAACTTTAGCACTGCCAGGATAATGATTAGTCTCTGAAGTCCATGATCCATAGACTGGGAAATTAATAAAAGATGTAAAGTTCGTATAATATTTATCCTGCCTCTTGAAGAATCTCGCGAGTAGATGAGAACGATGACATATCGGGCATAAAACATGAAAAGGCATGCGATTCTTTCCATCCAAGGGATACAGTACGTGATATTCCTTACCAGATCCTTCGACCCAGCTCGTCCCCAGGGACAGGAGCCCCAGGGAGGCGAGGAACAGCGCACCCCTCAGGGCGAGCATACCAGGAACAGCGAGACACCGGTAACAAGAAAGAATACCGAATGAACAACAATTTGAGAGGAAAAAAAAAGAAGATCTCCGGGGAAAAAAGGAACCTAAATGTGTCTACGTTTCCCCTCTTTACATCACGTTTATTATTTAATCGACACCTCGATTTCCTCTCACTGGGGGCTTTTCCATCGATTCCACCTAGGAAAATTAGTTAAAAACGCGTTTTCCGCTTAACGGGCAGCACACCCGGGTTCTAATCACAAACTGTAAACAAAAAGCCGAATCCCAGCCCCTTCCACACGCGCCGCAACCAGCGGGAGAAATCGGACAACAACCCATTATACAATCCCCCGATTCATTACATGAAATTCTTTAAATTACCTCATGTGCACTTCCATTCAAATAAAAATAAACAAAAACAATCGTAGAATATATCAAACAGGAAGAAATCATCAGTTAAATAAATTTAAACTCGTTTCATTTTATACAAAAATTATATGGTTTCCTTGGCACGTGGTGGGGGTGTTAACATCTTATGAAAATACTTGACATAAATTCTTCAAGAATATTCAACAGACCACTAAAAATCTATGCTTAAGGATTGCTTCCCTTATTTTCACAATCCCATAAAATGTCAAGACGTTTTAAAAACAGACCCATTAATGCCCTCAAAGCTTAATGTTATGAAGAACACTTTCTCTTCAGAGGAACAAATTAGCAGGGCCCTGCTAATTCTCTTCACATCGAACAGTCATATATCAACTATTGAAAATTAAAACATAAGATTGCAAAGCATAACATGCTCTGAAATGCATTTCAAATGGCAGTGCCAACCCTAGCATTAATGCATATACTATGAAGCACCCATAAGATCTATCATTGACATTGGATAAATTTATGTTAGGCAAGTGTTTAGATATGAAAGATTAGATATCTTACAAAATAAATCTCCAAGAAGCTGTATGGGATCTATTAAGAGCACCCTCATTGATGCCCTCAAAGCCGAATAATTTAAATGAGATTAAAACTTCAAGAATATTCAACAGATCCTTATATCTGTGCTTAAGCATTTTTTCACTTGTTTGCACAATCCTCATCAATACCAAAAAAAGTCAATCTCAAGATGTTTTAAGAGGAGACCCATTAATGCCCTTAAACTTGAATGTACATTTTCCCTTCAACTATGCTGCTAATTTTCTGCTCATAGAACAGTCATTTATCAAAACTTGAAAATGAAAAGGTATATTGGTCTAAAATGTATCATCAGACCGCAATCTCACGATTTCTGAATAATTATCTAAAATGTATTTCAAACAGTCAGGCTAATCCTACCTTCTTTTTTTTTAATTATATGGTTTCCTTGACATGTGAGGGTGTTAACACCTTATGAAAATATTTGACATAAATGACATTAAATCTTCAATAAAGCCTTAAATCTAGGCTTGAGGATTGTTTAGCTTATTTTCACAATCCTCACCAATCCCAGATAATGCCCAAATCTCAAGTTGTTTTAAGAGGAGACCCATTAATGCCCTTAAAGTTAAAAGTACATTTTCCCTTCAACTATGCTGCTAATTTTCTGCTCATAAAACAGTCATTTATCAAAATTTGAAAATGAAAAGGTATATTGGTCTAAAATGTATTTCAAACAGCAGGCTAATCCTACCTTCTTTTTTTTTCTCTTTTTTTTAATTATATGGTTTCCTTGACATGTGAGGGTGTTAACACCTTACGAAACTTGAAAATGAAAAGGTATATTGGTCTAAAATGTATCACCAGACCGCATCTCATGATTTCTGAATAATTATCTAAAATGTATTTCAAACAGTCAGGCTAACCCTACCTTTTTTTTTAATTATATGGTTTCCTTGACATGTGGTGAGGGTGTTAACATCTTACGAAAATATTTGACATAAATGACATTAAATCTTCAAGAATATTCAATAAATCCTTAAATCTGGGCTTGATGATTGTTTAGCTTATTTTCACAATCCTCACCAATCCCAGATAATGCCCAAATCTCCAGATGTTTTAAGAGAAGACCAATTAATGCCCTTAAAGCTGAAATTAATGAAGAACATTTTCCCTCCAGAGGAGCAAATTAGCTAATTCTCTTTTCATCAAAGAGTCATATATCATAAATTGAAAATTAAATGATATCACATTGCTTTGAAATGTATTTGAAATGGTCATGCCAAGCCTAACATTTTTTGTTAATTATATGGTTTCCTTGGCATTTGGTGAGGATGTTAACATCTTATGAAAATACTTGAGATAAATGAAATAAAATCATAAAAATGTTTTAATAGCAAACCCATTAATGCACTCAAAGCTGAAGGTAAGGATGAGCACTTCAAAAGCCCTGCTAATTCTCTGCTCATCGAACAGCCATATATAAAAAAATTAAAATTTAACAGATAAATTGAAAATGAAAAGATATCCCACTGCTCTGAAATTTATTTCAAATGGCTATGCCAACCATAGGACCATCTTTATTATTATAGAATAAAGAAACCATAGGATCTGTCATTGAATGAAGTTTTCTCTGTGTTTGACCTCTTCCGTAGATCCTCCGAAAAGGCTTCATGTTTCCAGCAGGCCGATAATCTAGTTCATCGTTACTTGAGGTAAATGAAATAAAAACATAAAGATGTTTTAATAGCAGACCATTAATGCACTCAAAGCTGAATGTAAGGATGAACACTTTCTCTTCAAAAAACTGCTAATTCTCTCCTCATCGAAGAGTCATATATCAAAAATTAAAACAACAGATAAATTGAAAATGAAAAGATATCCCACTGCTCTGAAATTTATTTCAAATGGCCAACCCTAGCATTATTACATATACTATGAAGCACCCATAAGATCATGGATTTACGTTTGATAAATTTCTTTTGGGCAACTGTCTAGATCCAAAAAGATTAGATATCTTAACAAAATAAATATCTAAGAACATGCATGAACACTTTCCCTCCAAAGGGATAAATTAGCAAAGCCCTGCATATATCAAAAATTTAAAATTAAAAGATATCACATTGCTCTGAAATGTTTGTCAAACGGTCATGCCTTACTGCGGGTACTACAAAGCAATCATAAGATTTTGGCTCTTTAAGTAATTCTTAGCTCATCAAACATTAATTGATTAAAAAAGAAAGATTAAATTAAATTTAAAAGATTAAATTTCAATGTGTTGGTAATTTCACTTTGAATGGTAATGTCTAATCATCAGCTAAAAAGTCAACTATGAGATAAAAGCTTAAATTGTAATTGTGTAAATAGCATTTACAAAAACTGGTAGCTATGTTGATCTATGATGTTTGTTGGTAAATATCAAGGTAAAATTCATACAAACGTTGGAACAATTGGCCGTGAATAGTCAACAATACAGTTGTCTAAACAAGTAATTCTAACTGTTTAGTAACACTCAAAATGTAGAATTAGTAAGTTGAATAATTAAATAATACAGTGAATTACTTTATATAATTAAATATATATCTGGAAAAAAGTCTTATGTAATCTAAAAGAAAGAAATGAAGATGTAAATACATCTCAGCCATGTGCAATATATTCTGAGAATTTAAAATTTGCCATTTCATTGAAAACTCTAATTGATAGTTATTCAGATATCGATTAACGATCACTAATCTCTACATAGAAAACTCTAATTTGTAGTTTGCTCATTTATGTCATGTCACATTTATCTAAATTAGTGTAAGTTGGCTATTTCACTGGAAGAAAGAAACCAGCTTTCAAAGAGGAAAATCTTTTGCCAAATTAGGTACTTACCCTTTTTTAAATTTTGTGCTCACTACCAAGTTGTCTACTGCTGTCAACAACAGTGTGAAATAGCTGAAAAACTAGTAAATATTTTCTTTAATTATTTGAAAAAATATTAACATTTATTGACTCAATTTGCATATTTATGATCTCTATACAGTTTCATTTATTTATTGGCAGATAAAAGTGTGACTCATCAACTTTCAACGTGATCTGCCTGTTTGTGATGGGTTGTCTTTCAGAAACATTTCACTATGTTGTCATCTTCAGTGGTTGGTCTGTGTGTTCAGTTTTGTCCTTTTCATAAGTTTGTTTTTAAGTATAGATACAACGTTCATTTCCATGCAAATACTACCATTGTATTTTTCAAAGATGTTTAAATTAGTGAATATTTAATTAAAATATTTTGTAATAAATTACTTGGAATTTGTCATTATGAAGTTCAATTTCAATAATAACCATCTTAGGCATATACAAAATTTAATTAAGGCAAATTTTAAAATTTATTTAACTTTAAGTAAGCCAATATTTTTAAACTAAACAAACTTCCTTCAAAATCGCAAACTTTTTTTAAAAAGTAAGATCAACGTAAATTTCACATAAGACGACTACATATTTACACTGATATTTTAAACATCCACATTTGTCTTAAACACTTTATTGTAGTTATCTGAAGAAAAAAAGCTCCAGTTTTAGAAGAGGAGAGACATGTTCACTCATAAAAGTTTTATTTTTTGTTGATTTTCTTTTTATTGATGGACAATTTTGCAATAAAACATTTTTTTTTATCTTCTATTACCAAAGAGTTGATAAGAACAACCACAAAAGAACAAAACGTGATTATAAAATTTTGCAATAAATAAATGGAAAAATGTTTATCATTCACTCTATTGAGTAATTATAATCAAAGCTGTAAAAAATAATTATATTGGTTGCATGAGAAATGTCAAGCTTCAACTTTTGATGGCAAATGATCAGAAAAAGTGTCTAAGCCAATTTTGCACTTTGTTTTCTCTCCTCTAGGATTAGTTAAAAAAAGGGGGCTTATTTTTTATGACAATAGTAGGAAAGTCGATGAATATAAACTCAGCAAGTATTAAAGAAAATACTTTTCAAAATGGTCACCAAATAAGTTGGATGTCAAAAAAAGTTTATTAAATCCGTCACAATCTCAATTAGTTAAAAGCCTAACTAATTGGAAATTTGGCCGTTTTCATTTGTCAAGGTTTAAAAGTGAACTTATGAAAGGACACAATTCATTACTGAACTGAGAAACCACCGAAGATGGCAAAAATACCAGGATGCGTCTGACAAACAAAATCAGCAAAAATAAGCAGATTTCTCTATCATTATTTTGTAGAACACTACTCTTCTGGCAGGCAAAGATGATCGGAAACGACCAAACTACAGAACGTTGATCCACAGACCGAACAATAAAAATGCCCAATCTAATAAATAGTTTATAAAAATTATCGTTGAGTATAGTATCGGCCTTCATGATAAATAGTAAAGTAAAGAGATCAGAGATGAAACCATGTAGGTGAAAGAACCAACTTGTTTTTCTGCTGTCAAGATTTGATGCCTTCCTCATCTACAATTGATCCTAATTGTAATCCTAACTATAAATGATTGTGATTAAGAGTCCTGAGGAAGGCTCAAATACATCCAAAAGCTACAGAAAAACAAGTTGGTTCTTTCACCACATGGCTTCATCCCTGATCTCTTTACTTTACTATAAAAAAATATAATTAAAGTATAATCTTTAGAAGATTTTGTCCTTTGATTATTTTTAAATTGTACCTGCTGAACGGTTCTGTTGTATCTGTCCAGGAACAGGATTATATTACTAACTATATCATTCATAGAATTAGGCAGTAGTACTGCTAGTACTACAGTACTCAGTAGTACTAGCCAACTTCTTGAAAAAAGGCTTAGTAATTTTAAATTAGATGTAAAAAAATTAAAATTAATAAATTAAAAACAGCAAATATCTTTTAGTAGTCAGCAGCTTGCAACTAGTATTTATTTGTCAACCACAAATTCTGTATTTGTGTTCAAAATTAAATTACAATAGTTGAAGTTGAGAGCTACAGTTACAGTTGTAGGGACAGCAAATACCAGATAGTTCGAAAGTTACAAATACTGTTATTGTGGTAGACAAATGGTAAGAGTGGTCTGCCTACTACTGACTACAAAATATAATTATAGTTGCAACAACTGACTAACCACGGAACTTTTAATTTGTATTCGAACTGATCATTAGAAAGCATTATGGCCCATTTCTTATCACAATAAACACTGCCAATATTCCCACCCATTCAGGTATTGCGTGATTGCCCTTGATCATTACGGTCTGTCTCTTTTGCCCTTTTCCTTTTTTTCAACAGTGGTTATTGGCATTTCTGTCAGTCTTTGAAGAATAACACTTTTCAACCACTGAAGACTGAAAAGACTGACTGAGGAAGATCATATTGTGTAAAAAAATATGCTTAGACTCCTTTCTTAACAAATACATTTAAATACAAGTACAAAGATTAAATTAATTTAGTTTGTAATTTAATTGGACAATTATTAAGTGCTGAATTTCTAGGCTTTTCTTTTTCTTTCTAAGCAATCGGCTTTTTGTTCATAATTTTCAACCAACAGCTTTGCATTCTTTTGTTTAAAAGTGTTTAGCATTGTCTGGGGTTGGTAATTTAATTGGCTCGTATGGGAAATATAAAGGGTGAAATAAGTTCTGATTCAAATATGTATTATTTCTCGAAGAATTATGAGAAATTTGTGGTTAAAAATTACTTAGACATTTCATCTTTATCATTTAAGAGTATTAAAAAAGTAAAAGAGTAAATTGGAGGTTTATTTTGTTACTTTATTATGTATGCTGTATTGAGGCTTTAATCTTTTATGAATCTAGATTTATAAAAGATAATTCTCGATGTTTATTTTGGTTTTATCTTAAAATTTTGTCTTTTTATGAGTATGTAGAGATCACTGTATTAAAATTTCTATAAATGGAACATCTTCCTTGAGCACTTCCATACTTTCAAATAAATAAGTCAATAAATGCTTAAAGTTTTCTTTTATTTATTTGATTTTGAGATAAAAAATCCACTTTTTTCTGAAAGTAAGCTTTAATCAGAGAAAAATCAACTTTTCTTTCATTGTGCCAGATATAAAATTAGATTGAACTATGTTGCACTGAACGTTCATATAAACATAATTAATGGCAAAACAGTTAATAAACATTATCCGAAGATCCAAATAAATGTTGTCCTGAGCAATTTTTTTATATAGTCCTATTTAACAGCATTGACAAATAATATCCAGCAGGGTCATGGGGTTCTTTGCCTTTCGGCAATCAAAAACAAATGTTACCATTTATAATTACCATTTTAATGTTTGACTTATTTTAAAATAATATTTTTTTTTTTATCGTAAGGTTCTTGTTAAGGATTTATTTTACAACACGGAAATTCCGCATCCGTTACTTTATTTTTTCACATCTTATATGCCTGTCGCATCATCAGGTCAAAGTAGACGTCGGAGTCTATCGATGCAGAAATCCCACAGTAGTAGTCGAAGAACTCTTCTTTTGTTACCTGAAGAAATCAATATTTAAATAATTTTTCAACTAAATTCTCAAGATGATTTCACTTCTGACCTTCCCGTCAGTGTCGCCCTTCTCAAAATTAGCTAAGAATTTCTTGAGGATCTGCTCTTCCGTTTCTTCTCCAGAAAGATATTTTGGGTTTCTCTGGACGGAATAGACACCCTTCAGGTCGTCAATTGTAATAACACCGTCTTTCGTCTTGTCCAACTTGTTAAACGCTTCCTGTATAGATTTTTTTCTAGCTTCAGACATAGGTGGCTGGAAAATTTTTTTTGATGTGTAAGTTTATAAGGCATTCTCGTGAAGCTGAAAATCATATTTAGCACAACTGACACCTCCGAACCAAACTAGGTTTCACTTTCCACTTCATATTGCAAAAATCAGTTGGACATAAAATTTACACAATAAAGTCGTTTGAAAGCTGGCTTCTCACCCTTATCGCGAGTAGCATTTCATCGAGAGTTATGCTTCCTGAACCGTCTTTGTCGAACCTGTCGAAAAGCTCTTTCATCGACTCACCGTCCAAGTTTAAGCCTGCTTCCTTGACTCCTGGAAAATCAAAATTAACAAATAAAAACAACTTGATTTTTAGAGAAAAATTTCAAGATCTTTCTCAGATCTGCGACAGTTTCACCGCTAAATATCAGACTAAATTGGCATAAGAGGTAGTGTGTTTAACTTTTTAAATTTGACTTCCATTTTGTTTGCTACAGGTTCTTGCAAAAGTTCAGACAATAATGTGCCAAAAAAAATATATCCATTATGGAATTTATTCGGTTTTAGTTTTGAAAAGAAAAAAAGCACCTTTTGAAAATTCTTCAAAGCTGAGAGTTTTGTTGCCGTCGTCGTCCATGCGACGGAAGACCCTGAAAACAAAACGTTTTCTTTAAAAAAAAAAATTAATTGGTTTAGCTTAATAGCATTTTAAGAGGTCAGTAATAGTTTAAAACAACATCGTTTTTATGTTTTTTTTTCCAGGCCTTACCAATTAAGCTTGATTACCTTTAATTTTCCTTTTAAACCTGAAACAAGGAGGTAAGAGAGGCAATGAAATTTGTTTCTTGGATTAGATTTTAGTTAGAAATGTTTACCTATATAAAACGACTAATTTGAAAATGAAAAATTATAAGATCGCATTCCTTGGTCATATTTCGACTTCTCTTGGTTTTAAATCAGCAAACGTTGGGCGAAATTTACTTCGACCACTAATCATTTGCCGAAATTATGTTTTGAAAGATTTTATTGGTGGCCTGCGGTTGATGGACCTATATACCTATCTCCGATCATCCTGGTCCCCCTATTTTCGCTAGGACGAATTGTCAGACGCGTTTTACCATCAACTGCGTTCTATTTTGTTAGTTGCATTACTACTTTACAGCTTTATAATTAATTAGTTAAATTGATCAAATCCAAATATTCACACGTTTTTACTATTATGTCTGTCAGACGCGTTTGGTTGTCTTCAGAGGTCGGTCTGTCAGGATGTATTCATATAAATGTATAATACAAAGTATGTAGTACGAGTTTGATCATCTCAGATCATTCTGATCTGCATATAGGTCTGGCAAACGTATTAAATCATTTTGCCATCTACAGTAGTTAGTGACTTGTGTGTTATTTTATCACACTAGTCACTTGTATTATCTCCCACAGTATAAACAAAGAGTACTATCTGGTCTGTCAGTCTTGTTTCATAATTTTTCCATCTCCCTTTTTTTCTCTTTTCTTAGTGGTTCGTCTGTGTGTTATTTTGACAGACGTATAAAAAGTAAAACAGAAAGTAAAAAACTCTGCATACTTACTTTTTAAAATGTACTGTTTGTAATTGATCGTCTAAGATCTACCAATTGGTACCTGGTCTATCTATTCTCAATGTTTTATTCTGTAAGACGAATTTCGGCATTTCATCATCTTCAGTGATTAGTCTGCATGTTGCTTAGTCATTTAAGTCCCTTTACAAGGTGTTATTTATTATTTACCCGTCTGTCAAATACGTTTCGGCATTTCACCATCTTCAGTGGTTGGCCTCTGTTATTTTTGTCAGACCTGTGCATTTATAAGGTTTCGACACTTACAATTCTTTAGTGTGAGATTTTCAAACTGCTAGAACACCTCTGAAAGGCAAAAACTTGCCAAAATGGACGATGGTGGGAGTCGATATTGCAACAATCACTTGCATTTCTTACTTTTTAGATTTCTAGTATTATTTAAAACTGTAATAAATAAACAGTACGATAGAGAGATTTTTTATTGGGGTTCGCATCTGGCAGCACAAAAGCATCGAAAATAATTATCTTGGTCTACCAATTCTGAATGTTTTGTGTCGGTAAGACGCGTTTCAGCATTTCGCCATCTTCAGTGGTTGGCCTCTTTATTATTTTGTCAGACGTGACCCGTTTATAAGGTTTCGACACTTACAATTCTTTAGCTTCAGTTTTTCAAACTACTGGAACACCAAGGATTTTCAAACAACCAGGATGACTGAAGTCAATACCTTCGTTACCTCGATAACAAATCTACTTGGACTTCTAAGTTTTGACATTTCTATTATTATTGAATGCTGTAATAAATAAATTGTACGATTTTTAGTTTGATCATCTCAGGTAATCCTGGTCCGCCTATTCTCGCTGTTTTGGTCCGCCGGCGCGTCTCATAATTTCATCATCTTCAGTGATTGGTCAGATGTTAGTCATCCATGACCCTTTAGAACGTATCGACATCCAATAACTGGTTTTGTCCGTTAGATATTTTCAGCATTTTTAAATACAGCTAAAGGTTTGTAAGTGTCGATATCTTATAAAAGGTTTTAAACAATAACTCACAGGCCAACCACTGAAGATGGCGAAATGCCGAATCATACATAAACCAGGATGACAATTTTCGATGATTTTGTCAGAGGTGTTTTAGCTTTTCTAATCTCCAGCGATAGATTTTTGAGTGGTACTCTAATCATTCTGGTCTATTCTCGCTGTTTTGGTCAGAATGTGCTTCTCATAATTTCATCATCTTAGAGCGATTGGTCATTTTTAGTTGCTTAGTCATTTTTGTCAGACCTTTTATAAAGTATCGACAGCAAATCTTTAGCTGGAGATTTCAAAATGCTGAAACACCTCTCATAGATCAAAATGTGAACATTAGGATGAGGATTATCCGGAGAAGACTAAATCTACTAAGACCATATCCTTTCAATTTTTGCAATGATCGGTGATCAATCCAAATCATGCTGGCCTAAGTCGATCATATAACAAATTTACTCGAACTTTTAAGTTTTTTTATTTCTATTGTTATTTGTATATTGTACAATGAAAGAATAAACGTAAAGTTTTAATGAAATGGGCTCGTACGATAGCGATTATGTGATGGAAGGAACATGCGAAAAAGAGACACTCCCATGAGGTGTGAATATGTTGTACATTACTGAATAATTACAGCCGTAAATATGTGCAGTTATGGAGCGAAACTTAAAATATTAATTGGTGTTAATTAATTAAAAAGGGCGTTAAATCATATCGCTTTGTAAACAAATTCGCCCCCTTTTCATCTCTGCTAGGTCTAATTAAAGGATCCGTTAATTTTCTCTGTCTGTTTCTTGTTTGCCCCTCTTCAACGGGTTTTCTGTGGGAAAGTCGGTCCCTTATCCCCAAGGACGTCGAAGCTAGTCAAGGATGAAGTCGTTCGTGAATCATTTCAACACTTTTGAAAATTTAATCCCGTTTTTTCTCGGAGAACGAGGTCGGTTGAGACAATGATGAGGAAAGGGCAAACATTAAAATTCAAAAATTTTTACTGGTTCATTTTGTTTTTCGTCTCACGACAAAATTAAAACGAGATTGAGAAAAAAAAGTCTTTAACGTATTGTAAGATCGATTAAACGGTTCGTTATTTGTTAAAATATAATACAAACCGTGAAGGGATGCTGGAAAATTTCCAAAACTAGGCCGGTAGTGCATGAGGTCAAACAGAATGGGTGGAAACTTTTGAGCAAATGGCCCAGGCCCAGGGTTTTCATAAAGCCAGAGCACGTCTAAAACTTTCTGCAATGCGGTAGAAAATTCTCCCCCGACTTATAAAACGCAGGACATGAGAAAAACATCAGTTTTCTAAAACAAATTTTATAACTAACTGTCTTGTATTCATTAACATTATCAAAAATTTTATAAAGTTGAAGCAATTTAAGACAATATAATTAAGAACTTTCTATTTTTTTTTTTTTTCAATGTAATACATTGAAAACAATATCTGAGTTTTTTAAACTTAAAATTGACAATAATGCGCAGGTCAGAAAAAAAAATTACTTCATGTTCCTCATATTATCGCTGATTTTTGTCGGTCAGACCCATTTCACCTTTTAGCCAAGTTTAGTGGTTTGTCTGCCGGTTGTCCTATAAATCGTATCTTTTTTAAAACAAAAACAACTGAAATGGGTACAATTCACGAGGAAGAACACATTTAGAACGTTTTATGGTAGATTTATACAGAAAAATAGTTGGATAGATTTGTAGATGTTGGTTCCTTACAAAAGTCTAACAAAATAACACTCGGACCAACCACTGAGTATGGTAAAATGCCCACACAATGAGACACTACAATAATGATATTGTATTATCACTGGTTTGACAGGCTATCTATCCATCTCCTGTCTCTTTTTATCTCACCCCTCTCTTTCTCTCTCCGTCTCTCTTCTTTCTCTGTCTCTCACACTGTCTTTCTCCCCTCTCACTCACCCTCTCTCTCTCTTTCTCTCTCTATCTGTCAATCTATCTACCTCACTGTCTCTCTCCTTTTTATCACTCCCCTCTCTTTCGCTCTCTGTTTCTCTTCTTTTTATCTCTCTCACTCTCTCTGTCTATCTATCTATCTATCTATCTATCTATATATCTCTATCAATCTATCTACCTCACTGTGTCTCTCCTTTATATCACACCCCTCTCTTTCTCTCTCTCTCTCTCTCTCTTTCTCGTCTTTTTATCTCTCTGTCTCCTTCTCTCTCTATCTATCAATCTATCTACCTCGCTGTCTCTCTCCTTTGCCACTCCCCTCTCTTTCTCTCTCTGTTTCTCTTCTTTTTATCTCATTCCTCTCTCTCTCTCTCTCTCTCTCTCTCTCTCTCTCTCTCTCTCTCTCTCTCTCTCTCTCTCTATCTATCTATCTACTTATCTAACTATCTCTATCTATCTACCTCACTGTCTCTCTCCTTTTTATCACTCCCCACTCTTTCTCACTCTGTCTCTCTTCTTTTTATCTCACTTTTCTCTCTCTCTCTCTCTCTCTTTTCATCTGGCTTTCTATACATTGTTTCTCTCATCTCTTGTTATTTATTTTTAATAATTGTTTCAATCATTTTGATCTATGTTTATAAGAGGAACATTGTGGCCTCCACCTGATGGTATATGCTTGAATATGCGGCTGTTCTGAGCCGATCAAGTAAATGGTAAATGTAACCAAAAATGTAGGGAGGACGATTAGTTGATATGGTTTTTTAGTCAAATGACAATAAAAATCATTGATCAGTCATCGATAATTGAAACATTTTTTTCTATCCAAGAAACAGTTTTTCTCATAAAATCATCACTCACAGGCCAAATCTGTTAGGATGAAAGGTCTTCTGTTCGAAGGATTCAAACAACATTCAAAGCGATTTGAAGCAAGAGGGTTTTCTTTTTGTTTAACTCACCTTCCGAATTCCAGTATTCCCGCGGTGCCCCGAGCCAGGCAGAGCAGCCTGAGCTTTTCCAGAGGATCTCCAGTGACGGCAGCATCCCTTTTGGCCTTGTTCATCATCTCGGCCTCTTGGCGACTCGACGCCGATTGTGGTCGCATCGCCTCGTCGTCTGCAAGCGAGACCAGATATGATATCGAGTTGATCATTCGGCTTTGAGGGGAAAAAGAGAAAAATAGCTTTTACGCCCTGGGTTGGTAAACGAACCCAAAAAAGGACGGCCACGATCTAATCGACAAAGACATTCTAATTCACCTTTACATTACAGAACAAATCCTCTTTCAACACGATCTAAGTTTAACTACAATAGAACAAAGTAAAAACTGTTGCGTGATTAGCCATTACTGTTTTTTTTTCTTCACCCCCGAATTAATCGTTTTGTTATACGATAAAAGCAATCGAAGGTGCGTGTGATACCGATCATAGCATGCTTTTGGTGTTTCAGCCAATTCGTTTTGTCCTTTGTACAGGCATAACTCTTTTACGGGTTTGCCTTTGGCCGAATTAACAAGAAATCGATTTGTTTTCATTTTTAATACGGTATTTAATGAAATATTCACGAATACCCCTAAGTCAAGGACTGATTGCACAATTACCGGACTCTTCGATAAAAAAAAGAAGGTAAATCGCTCTAAATCCCATTCAAGCACATCTGCAACCCCTGAAGAAGTTAGAGGACAAACAGCCAAGTTATAGCGATTCATAAACATCTTAAACTTTGACGAAGTCAATTTCCTCTTCCTCTCTTTTTTTCTATAAATAAGCAATGTTCAATTTTAAGATAAATATAACCATTTTCAATATTGCAATGACACCAAATAATATAGACGTTAACCTCTTGATCGATGACAGAAAAGGTATGAATTAGATTCATTAATCATTAACAAAGCAAACAAACCGGTTTTCTCGTTTTTTTATGTTAAACCCCACTTTCTTGGTCATTGGTGTGTATTTTTGATCGTGGATACTGGAATTTACTGTGAATTTCACCCAACCAAAATTTGGACCATGGATCAAATTAATTAACAAATCTCTAGTTTTAAATTTCATATTAATTTATATTAAATCAATTATATTTAGTGGTCTGATTGACCAAATTACTTCTTTTAATTAATTAATCTTTTTTTTTAATGTGTGGTGATTAGTGACCGTTAATCGATAATTATTCAGAAATCGTGAGATGCGGTCTGGAACCTACATAACACCAGACCGCATCTCACGATTTCTGAATAATTTTTTTTTTGTAAAGTTTTGGTCATGATCCATAAATTATTTAAAGTGTGTAGAGTCCCTCTCGTGCCACTGATTTTTCATCTCAATCAATTTACATAAAAATAATACATCAATTTAAATTTTATCATTTAAGTTCTTTGGGAGAAACTTGCGTTTGAAAGCTATTTAACGATTACCTTTTTTATTTCAGACCCCATGCAAATTCGCAAAATAGAGATCCAACCTGATGGTTGTTCATTTATTACTTAACAATAAACCATAAATTAAATATATGAAGCTAAAAACATCAGACCCCATGAACACAAGCTTTAAAATAAAAATATTGTTGTTCGTATTCAACCAAACCGGATTAAAACTGAAAAATAGGTTTGTAAACAATATTCAAGCACATGATTAATTTTCAATACGGTTTCCAACGTGCTTAGAAGTGATTTTTTATGTAGAGAACATGTTAGAATTTGATTGACCGTATTTAAACATCATCAAGTTAAAAATTGGCAATTTTAAAAAAAAAATATTGTTCAAGATAAGTTAAAAACTAATAATATATAGCCATTTGATTAATAAATTTTTTTAAATGATTAATTTAATAAAAAGATGCCGCACCCTAAAAAAGTAATTAAGCTAGCCGTGCTGAAAAATACAATCACACGAACATGTCATGCAGAATAGTAAAATCTTCTCGTGTGTGTATGTTTTTTTTTTATAGTTTGCGTGGGTGAAAGCGTGCAGTAGTCACGGTTCCGGAGCATATGCGTGCTTTGTAAGCCAGGCGTGGATTTACCTCTCTCTCCTGTGTTCACGAGGGCAATGACGACTGCGGGCCGGAGCCGAATCGCTGACAGTCCTTGGAGATATGCTGGCTGGAGGGGGCCATACAACAGCATATCGATTTTATCCTCTCGATTTATAAAACCAGGTCGAATTGGGCGTGTTTTGCACGATTATCTCTTATAAATCGGTATTATTTTTTTTTTAATTAGAAAGCATGCGTGCAAGTATGTATATGTGTGTAAAACACGAAGAAAGTTTTTTTTTTTTTAAATCATCAAATCATAATGTTATGAAATAATGATTCATTTTGTACTGAAATTTCCATATTTTACACTTCCTTGACGACAGAATACATTGCGAAATTATTGTAGAAGAAAATGTAAATTTAGTAAATTTTAACTTAGGCACACTTAATAAGTGGTCTGATCCTAGGTGGTTTGACTTACGTAAAAGTGGACACTTAAGTTCAATAAAAGGACGAAATACACACTGCCAAAGCGCATTAGACTAATCCCAACTATTTTCCAAACAGAAGTCTATGCTAAACCATTCTTTCACAGGAGTTAGTAAAGAAAAATATAAAGGGTGCACAGGCTTTCTTACTCCCAGAAAGCCCGGCAGCATATGCTTTCAAAACTTGACTGGGAGTGCCTAAATTGTCTAACTCGAGGAAAACAAAACAAGATCACCTTAAAGTGAATTACCGGCATGAAGGAGTAGAAAGAAATGATCAGGCTGACTAACTAGCCAAAAAAAGGGCAGCCCTCGCACCCATCGACCAGAACTAGATCCATCGGAGTGTGCGCTTATGTTGGAACAGGAAACATGGCTTGAGAAAAAAACACTGTACAAAAGCACCAAGGATAAGACAAGGTAAGACCCATAAATCTCTCAAAAAGGAAGGTGAAAGAACACCTCTCTCTCAGTAAGCAGGAATTGAGAAGAATTATAGGCCTGTACACCGGCCATGCTCTCTTAACTGTCATCTACAGAAGATGGGGAGGAATTGACAGACAGCCTTTAGGCTATTTTCTAGGATGTTTTATGTACTGTATGTTTTCTGAATAATTTTTATTGTAAATAAACATAATTATCTATCTATCTATCTACAGAAGATGGGCATAACACAAACATGCCGACTCTGTCAGGAGGACCAGAGACATCAGCACATATCCATTGTGATCGTGAAACATTTGCCAGGTTACAGTACAGCCACTTCGGTAGGACATTTCTCACACCAAAACAGGTCTGCGCAGAGGCACCAAGGGAAGTGCTTATCTTATGGGAAAAAGTGCACTTCCCACTATATCTATAATATATAGAGGTTCCACAATACATCTATTTAGTTCGCAAAAGAGGATTGTCAAAAAAATCTGAACAGGGCGAGACTCCACGGACCGACAAAACCACTCAGAAAACATGATTGCCAAGATAGGTGAAAAGATGATGGGTAGGAAATAAATTGTCTTTTCCAATTCATTTCCTACTCATAAACTTATTATGGAGTTTCACAAAATTAGGATGGTCAGTATCAAAAAATTATATGATTTTATCACACTGAAAGCTCAATAAAATACAAAACTCTGATAAAAATTTGAAAATCTTTAAATTTAATTTAAATTAAAAAAATTGTACATAATTTCAGTAAACCTCCAGCACAAAAAATATTTACACTTCAATACTGACTAATTTTTTAAAAGGAAAACATTGAGTAAACCCATAAAATCGCATGATAGTTTATGTTATCACAGTTTTGCTATCATTTTTTCTATATATATTTTTTTTCTATATTTTTTAAAGACGTTTAAGAAGACTTATCTTCGCTTCAGCTGAACCTAAAATTTATATTTTTCATTCAATTTTAATAACAGATAAAAATCATCCCATTCCCTAGAGCCAACTCAGATTTATGTGCGATGAAAATGTAGTAAATGGAAGTTTATCTCGGCCTTTTCTAATAAATCAACTTTACAAAAACATTAGCCTTGTGACTTTTCGGTGGAGCAGCGAGGCTGAAGGAGCCGCAACTTCCACCGAAACTACAAAAGTCAACTCAAACAAACGACCCAGGTTTATCATAGCCCTGTGAAAATTGACGGTTGAAAAGTAAGCTAAATTAGGGAATGTGAAAAACCGGTTTAGGGAGGTTCCAAAAGACTAAAATTCAAGTGATGAAACGATTCAACAATTTCAACCTTGTGACAATAGAAACTGACGCATAGCGAAGTCAATTCAAACAAAAAACGAACGTATTCTCAGGTTGAAATTTGAAAGATGTTATCTAATGTGAGTTTGCTGCAATGTTAGCTCCATGAGACCTAACTTTGCGTCGTTAAATAAAACGTTTAATCAATCAATCAATCTCACTCATTCACGTTCTCCCCCCCCCCTCTCTCTCTCTCTCTCTCTCTCTCTCTCTCTCTCTCTCTCTCTCTCTCTCTCTCTCTCTCTTTTTCTCTCTCTCTAAAAGACTTGGAAAATTCAAAACCAAAAGCTTCCTATTGTTCCGTCATCAGGATCATGTGAAGAGGATCAAACTGAAAATTAATGTGTGGTGTTTAGTTTTTTTCACGTCCTACATGTATGTGTAAAATTTAAACAATGTTTATAAATCCCAGGCCCTGAAGATGATCTCAATAAAGATCGAAACGTTGGCACGATAAAGAAATCTTTTTTCTAAAACCTACGTCACACCAGACCGCATCTGACGATCTCCGAATAATCACTAAAAATTAAGTTTTGCTGTTATACAAACATTTTCCTATGGGCCATCACAGACCAGAAGAGAGGTAATGAACGCATCAAGACCTGGGTTGACAAAAAATAGACAGACAACCGGAATATCTGTAAAAATATCTTACTTTCTTGAAATATGAAGCTTATAAGTTAAAGTTCTTAGTTGAAATAAGTATGTTGCCTGTACTTAGCCTAATTGTAGGCAAATTTAAGTTAGATACTCTGAAACACCTGTAACATCGTTAATCAGGTTCCTTTAGTATATGGGGCAAGTTGAATTATAGTCGCGTGATGATGCATAATCGTTTAACAAGCCGAAGGGATCAGCTTTATTTGGATTTTTCAAACTTGCAGGCAAAAAAACAATACCAACACAAATTCTTCTATCAACAAAATACAAACGGCGTTCTTACCAATATGATAAAGTGTTTTTTCTCCCATGCCGACTAGCCTCCGCGCCTTTTATCGATACAGTCTCGTGTCGGATAGGGAAGATAATACTACTTACCACATTATTTCCACGGATCCGAGCCGGAAGGAATTTCCGTGCACGAAGACCGATAATAAAAGAAAGGAAAATGAAACACTTGGCACGCCACGTGCTGATGAATTCTGACCTGTTGATACCAGATTATATACTAATTCGGTCAATTCACAATGATAGTCCATACGATTGTAACGGATAATCTTACGATTGTCCAGTAAGAAAATCAATTAAGATCAAAAAATATAAAAAGATAATGTCTTTCACAGTTGAACATTTTTATAGCTTTTTTTTATTGCTTTGTTTACCTGGGTTCAATATTATAAAGATATGTTCTTTTTTATTGAGGAAGCGAGAAATAATATACGCGAAGCGCAATATGTTGCATATATAACCAGATAACAAATACAAGGGAAAAAACGAAAAGGCATCGAGTGGAGAAGCTATCCAGTGACAACACTCCTAAATGAGAAATCATTACTTATCATTTTCACCCTCTGATAACTGGTTTCGGAGCCACTGCCTTTTTAGACGTCGAGGAGGATTGTTAGGAAGAGATCGAGAGGAAAGTTGTGGAGATTAAAATGAGATTAGAGGTTAGTGTAGAACCTTTTTTTCTTGCTGCATTTTCCAACGTTTTTTAAAAACGGATGGTGCGATGGTAGAATGGACAGTAGTAAAGATAGAACATGGAGTTCACCCCTTAAATTATTGGATTAAAATATTCGTGATGTAAGATTGTCACTAATTTCATAAGGACTTTTACTACATAGATGTTACAACGCTACTCAGTTGTTGTAGAACAATTGGCTGCGGATGGTGATCGAAAAGCATCCACTGCAACGCATCCCACATGTGCTCAATGCGGTTGAGGTCTGGAGACAATGGTGGAAGGGGCAGATGGGAAGGGGACACGTTTTCTAAATATTGATGAACAACTCTGCCTATATGAGTTCTGGCATTGTCATCCACAAATCGAAAATCCCTGCCAATGAGGTTTGAAGGATGTATTCCTCGATAATTTTTTTGGACGTAACGGACTGCGGTGAGGTTGCCTTCAACAATATAAAGTCCATTTCGTCCTCCGGTATAAATCCCTGCCCAGACCGTTACACCGCATCCTCCAAACTGCACTGAAAAGAGCATGAACTGGGGCATTGTACACATCCTCTCTCCGTAGACGCTTCGGCGCCTGCTGTGACTATTCAGACAGAAACGCGACTCGTCTGTAAACATAACTCCATTCCAATTGGTATTCTAGGCGCTTGCTGCACCATTTTCTACACGGCAGCGAAAAATCGTTCCAGTCCAAGTCCAGCTGCGTGGAAATGGACTCGTAGTGGCTTAGTGGTGAGTCTACTGGTGAGTACTTAGAGAAGAGCCTGTTGTTCGGTGATGCCCGCATAGACGTCCTTTTCCGAAGGCAGATTTCTCTAGGGAATGGTTAGAAATTCCACTTTAAACGAAACCGCGACCGGAGAGGACCCGGTAGCTTCAACGCTGGCGAGGCCCCTATACTCAGGAGATAGAGTTATCGTCTCTATCTAGAGAGCGCGTTGGGGGACCGGCTGATGCCTTATAGCCCTTTGGGTATCACTTTACACGCGGCACACGGTTAAGTGCACGATATTGATATTGTTCTTCGGACGGGGCAAGCGGGAGAAGTTAGCATGATTGTGGATATGGCGGCTTCTACACCGAACCTCACGGTTCACACTATTGTGAGTGGAGGTGAGTCGCTTCTAACTTGACAAACTAAACATGCGATAAGGCCTATGTGCCAAGTGCGCACGTTAAAGAACCTCATTGTATAAGACATTATGCCCCCCAATGAGAAACATACATGCACCATATTCTCCTGAGCTGCTGCTGGCGGGTTGTTTCTGCAGGTCGTCTCAAAAGGGCATACGATGTGAGGCCAACGATTATAAATCGTTTGTAGTGGTAAAGGTCTTGCCAAAACATCTTGTACTTCATTTAGGATTTGGCGGGCATTGGTTATATTCTTGCAGCAATAACAATATTTCTGTCCTCCCTTAGCGTCGTAATGCGCTGAGTTCCACTACCCGGTCTCCTATGGGCACTTCCAGTCTCTCGGAATCGGGCCAAAGCCCGGGAGACCACACTCTGAGAAACGCTAACTGCCTTGCGATGACGACCGGTGACCACTTTGACTTATTCTCATAATAATATCGCGAACGTCTAGTTAAAGATTATGTCTTTCCATGATTAAAGAGAATACAACTGGATTAAAATGGAGAAAAATGGAAGGTGTTTGTTCACATCTTCATGTTTACTATTCTTAAGTTAGAAATTTCTAACTAGTCTAATCCCTTATAAAAAATTAGGATTAACATTTTTTTTGGTTTGTATTTTCTATTTTGCTCTACCCGACTAACAAAAATATTTCAGCAGTTTATATGCCTCAGCCTTAGGGTTTTTTTTTTAATGATTTTTACCTTAAACTGACTTTTGTTTTGGCTTGTTGAAACACTTTCTTAAAAATAAAATTCTGAAGCAGGACGTTATAGCACAAACTAGCACTCCTATGTAAATATGTGTAAACTGTTGGAAATAATTTGAATAAAGATTCTATTCTCTAATGGTGAAGGCAAAACATATAGCATTGGCTTGTTGGACATTTGAAATATTCAATATAAAATTTAATTGATCAACTTCGCTATGGTATTTAAAACATTATTAGTAAAATCGTCTAGATGCTACATAAATTGGACATAACTGAAAAAAAATGTTTCACTGTTTCTTGCCTGTTATTTTCATTTAATTTATTACCTTTGAAATATATTATGATTAAACTAGTAAAATCGTCGTGCTACATAAATTGGACATAACTGAAAAAAAATGTTTCACTGTTTCTTGCCTGTTATTTTCATTTAATTTATTACCTTTGAAATGTATTATGATTAAACTAGTAAAATCGTCTACATGCTACATAAATTGGACATAACTGAAAAACAATGTTTCACTGTTTCTTGCATGTTATTTTCATTTAATTTATTACCTTTGAAATATATTATGATTAAACTAGTAAAATCGTCTACATGCTACAGAAATTGGACATTACCGAAAAAAAATGTTTCACTGTTTCTTGCCTGTTATTTTCATTTAATTTATTACCTTTGAAATATATTATGATTAAACTCTTTATTGGCTAATTTCAATTGCATACTCTGTTATACATTGGGATAAAATTTGAGTTTAGATAGTGGTATTTGATTTCGATAAAATCCGTTGTATTTCGAGTTGATTACCCGGGCTATGTCCAGAGATGAAATATGATTTTCTCCATCTATCAATAATAACAGCAATTATCTTTTTTGAGTTCTTCTTTATTATTAAATTTCAGATTCAACCCTACAGTTATCAGGATCACCTGCATCTGAGGTAACTTGGATACTAAGAAGTTGTGAACCAGCATCTGATAAAACCGATTCTGCGGATTTCTACAAATTATTAACTTATCCAGAATTAGATAATTTGCCATAAATGATCGAACGACAAGGCTTTTCGTAGAGCGTGATAAAACCGAAAGCCACCCACCGTCTCAATACTCTCTCCATGGCCATTAATTTGATTGATATCTGACCTCTTTCTAGCCTGATAAAATGATTAGAGGGTGTTCATTTTCAAGTAGAATAAGTTTTTAATCAACCTAGTACTATGTCAATCTCATCGAGGTGGTTTATTCCCCAAATTTAGGAGGACAAAACAATCGCAGCTGTTATGGATTCAAATAGTTTAAATTTTTTAAAAGACTAACTATGCTTTCTAATTAATGTTTCTTTTATTTGCCCCAATGCAAACTGCAGCCAAACCGAAGCGGCCATTCATCGTAAAGGGCACCTCAAGATTCGTATATCTATTGGCAATAAGTTGATAAGACAATAGTTCAAAAAAATTGGATTGTAAAAATTAAAATTTAACAGAAACATATTTTTGTATATTTATCAACTAGTTAACTTGCTATATATTATTGATACACTTTTTTTAAATTTATTAATGCAAAGGATTTAGCTATTTCTAACTTCAACCTGAAATCGAATCTGACGGAAACTTCAAAATATTAAGTATGTAAAAAGTTTAAAGTCGATTTTCGTTGAACTTGTACACGTTTGTTTTAGGTTTATAGGGCAGGATATAAATGCGAGTAATCGATTTTCGATTATTGACACAGGAAAAAAATACACTTCACAACACCTTAGTTTACTTTTATCTTATCACCTAGATAGTTTATCTCTCTGTGTTATTACCGTATACAACGATTCTTTTATGAAACATGAATGTATGTCTGTTTTTTTTTTTTAATGTACAAAATTTGATTATTTCAAATATAGATTATTTTTTCTCATAGTCTGTTTTTCCGAAAGTAGTTTCGCCGAAGGAAACTTTTTATTGGGACTTATAAGTTCGCCGTGGAAATTTCAACAAATGAGTTGAACTTTGTTACTTACTGGCCGTCAATATCTCGCCGGTTGGGGCTTTGCCAGGGAAACCGTTCTAAATAAACTGGGGGAGAAGTGCAATTCGTCAGACAGTGGGACTTAGACAAACAGTAGATCAAAACGATCCAATAAAATAGAAAACGGATAATCACAGAAAAACTTACTTTTATACTTACTCAGTTTACGCAGAAGAAATTGTTTAAATTTCTCATGATCTTTGCCGCTCTAGCGGCTATGATCGCATTCCAAGATAAAATGGACAAATAAAATGTTTTTTTTGTTTTTTTTTAATTTTTAACGCTACATAGTATTAAAATATTGCAAGTTGATTTTGTGTGGCAATGAAAGTAATAAATTGATTATTTAATATGACACTTACCGTACATTAAAATTTCCTTTACACCCATTCTCGCTGAGGACGGTCAAATTTCAAATGTCTTCAGCCAGCAAGTCTTTGTATATTATATATATAGATAAACGCGTCTATAAAGATACAAATATAAATAAAAATGAGATAAAACAATAAAAAGAAAGTTAAATGTTTGCGTTTGCCCAATCTATTGCGAAATGTAGAGAGCGAGGTCTTCCTCAGCCTTATTCCGAGAATCAGAGCGTGGTTATTGAGCGCCAATTTTTCCATGCAGAACAAATTTTCTCTCAAATTTTACTAATCAAAAAATTTTCAGTGCCAATTGACCAATGACCTCGGATTGGTCCCTGAGCATTCAAGGCAGAGGCAATGAAAAAAGAGCCAATATGAATTCCCCGGATCCTATTGTGCAGCACCTTGCGACAAAAAAGATACATCCAAAAATGGAACATTAATGAGTCCAAAACCAGGTGGAACAAACCGTAGGTATGAAGCACGCAAAAAGGTTCAAAGAAATGACATCCGCAAGACTTACAAGAATTACTGGATGATAACCACAACAGAATTCCAATTCTGGTTGGACACCTGACAGGGCCGTCTAAGAAGGCACATTCACTGGATAGGAGTTCCTACGGAAGAAACACTGTGCAGATACTGCCAGGAAGACCGCAGAATACGTTTTATATTTCTGTAAGGGTCAGTTGGTGTAGATTCTTGCAACTAGGAGAGGACAAGCCGCAAGCAAGATCCTTCATTCGTAAGGAGCAGTTGGCAAAGCTATGGAGGTTGTTTAACAACCTGAAGTGATTTTTAAAATTAGAGTAGCATGATAGATCTATCCAGATCGAGGTACAGAAGGCCTTGTGGCCACCTTTTTTCCCTATCCCTAGGGTGCCAATTATAAAATTTTTCTTACTTTCGCTGGAGGATACCGCAATTTTGTCTTCTAACTCTGACACCTACACCAAGCTACCTTCAACATCTAATAACACCTTCAGCTTGTAAAAAATTGGTGCAAAAAGACAAGTCGGAATGAAGAAAAATGTACTCAGTGTACGTTCGCGTTGAAAAAACAGCTCCACTGTACATCAGCTACACATGTAATAGCAAGAAGATATCGATTTCCATTCAAGTCAAATTCTTCCCATACAAGACTTAAAAGACAACAGAAGACTTGGCCAAGTACAAAGACTTCTAGTAGCGAAATCCGTCTGATCACTAAACGAACATTATACAAAACTTTGCTGCTACAAAGTCCTCTGTTGCCAACTCTACGCACCATTCTAGGTCACTAACTAAACCATCCACAAAGACCTAGACATCCCGTACGTGACGGATATGACCCGAACACAATTCCACAACCCTATTCCAGCAATCTTAAGTACTGTGAGGGCAATGGACCTGAGACAAATCGTCAAAGTTCTTTACACGCCACTATCCAAAACCACCTCCACATCCCTTGTATCAACGAACTGATCCGTTCCCAATTCCCAAAGTTTCACACTTACCTTTCGATCTTAACATTTGCTGCTCAAGCCCTCTTAACCCAACATTATCCCGAAATCCCGCCACATTGACTTAATCGAGATGGCCTCGAAACCTCTTTGTCCCTTAATCCCTCAAATTTTCTGATTTCATATGACATATGTCCACCAGGATCAGCGTTGGCCTTAATGTTATGTTGCGACTTCTTGAAAAAACGTATTGTGGTCACATTTATAATGTATTAAAGTGTGAGTAAAATATGTTAAAATTACATTTTTTAAGACATTCACTGTGGAGAAATAAGTATGCAAAATACAATAAAATTATTCGTTTTATTAATCCCCAATTGAAATAGTAATAATAATAGTCAAATCACTCATTTTATACATAGGTTTAAGAAGCAAAGTAATAAAATATAAATATATAGTTTGATGACAATTTTTTAGAATCAGTCGACTTCCAGTTTTCTGAAACTTCCCGAAATTCCGTTCAAGTCCTCGAAATCCTCGGTGACTTTGGATTTGGCCAAATCGATTTCGAGCTTGTCTAGAGCTAGGAGGGCTTCCCTTTTCGTCAGTAGCTCCTTCTTAAACTTGGCTACAAGGAGAAAAAATCTATAATAAACTAAAATTCAATCAATAATATCTGTACTTACAGATCATTTCGGCCATTGGCGTCTTTCCGCCATACTCTGCGGGAAGGATATCCACGCTGATGTCCTTCTTTAGTTCGTCCAAGTTTTTGTGTACCTTGAATAAAAAAATATCGTGTGTTTTATTTATTTTAATGATTTAACAAGGATACTCACCACAAGCCTTTTCTTAAGCTTATCGCTCAAGAGAGCGGTGAAGAACTCGAAAATTTTCCCCGCCGAAGGAGGGAGGTTGATAAGCTGAGTGGATTTATGCCTCATAGGTAGAGAATTCTGAAATAATCAAGATTTTTTTTCTAATATTCAAAGACCTGCAATCTCGATGCTTATCCGACAGTACCTGTATGCATTTAATGATGTTTCTGATGTCTATGAGCGACCAGATCGACAGGTGGGCCATCGTGAGCCCCGACTCGTCGTAGATCTGGGTGTAGCCCCTGATTTGGTTTTCTTCCTCGTCCAGAAGAGATTCGACGACTAAGCTGTGCATGCGGACCATGTCCTCGGACGTGTATTTCGACGGGTCGAACGCCCCGGTGTTCGTCAGGATCACCCTGCGTCCGAGCTCGTCACGCTCTGGGAGAGGTATGCAGTATCTGTTGGAATAAAATTAATGTTATTTATAAAAGCAGGCAAAAAGGAGGGAAAATTCAAAAGGTGGGGTTGAGATGAGAAGTTAGTGTCCGAGTAGATCGAGGTGATAGCCACGATAGCTCAAGTGGTAGAGCAGCGGCGTATCTAGCCGAAGATTGTGGGTTCGAATCCCGCTCGTGCCATTGACTTTTTTATCTCAACTAAAAAACCTTAATTAATTGTAATATATTAATTGGTCAAGCGGACCACGAAATTAGTGAAGTTATTTATAACATGATTTCGTCTGTTGGAGTTTCCGTTTCCTCAAATCGTTCAGGCCTTTCAAGCGTGCATCTCTCTGTTGGAATTTCACACTCGAACAACCCGCATTGCTTATTTTATCTTTAAGCTTTTTACTATATGGAAAAGCTTGACAAACGACATAATCATTAATTATTACAACTGCTTATAAATTAACGTTCCCTGAGAGATGGCATCATTATTTCACTAGCTGTTCACTGAGCTACTGTATTTTGAATGATTTTGTCCACTTTGGTCGTCTCACTCTGGCTATATCTGGCCTTGTCGTTGCGATGCTCTTCTAGTTTCATTTGTTCTTCCTTGCCTTACGTTGAATCTTTGGGTATAGAAGGCATGATTTCTCTCGGTCGATGATGAAGGTTCATATTTCTAGCCATGGCGTACCATATTCCACGAGGGAAATCATTGGGATGTTTATATAAAGGAGTTAAGAGATCTTGATGAAAATCCATGTTTCCAACCATGAACTATATTCCACAGCTGGACGACTCGTTGGAATGCTTGTCTATTCCTGTTTAATGATTTCTTGCGTAACTCCTCATTGAAGCCGTGCTAATATCAAAGCACTCTTTTTTAGATTTACCGCATTCCACAGATGGAAAGCTTCCTCGTTGGAACGACTGTCTATTCTCGCTTCGTCTTCCGTGCTGCCTTTGAATCTCGCCGGATACTTATGGCATCTCGTTGAAGATCAAGCCAATACCAAAGCCTCTATGGCAGCTTTATATCAGCAAATGGACAAAGTCCGTCAGTCTGACTTTGTCCACCTTTATATCTGAGCTTGCTCATGGTATTCAGAAGTCTCGTTGACGGATATGCCAATAACAAAGAAACTATGACAGATTTATCATATTTCACAGTCGGGTAGCTTCCTAGTACGACCGTTTAGTTTCTCTTTAATACATAAAGCCTTCGGAGATATTGAAGTTCATGCCAATGCTATGTAACCATGGCAGTTTTACCATATTCTGTTGATGAGCTTCCAAGTGTAGCTTTTTTCGCATAATGTCTAGTTTCGTTTGCTTTACCTTACTTACCTTTGGATCTAGCAAATACGTAAGCCGTTCCGAGGTCTTATTGAAAGTCCATATCTTTAAACATGGCGTGCCATATTCTGCAGCTGAAGTATCACTTCATTGGAATACTCGTTTAGTCCGATTCTTGCTTGAGTACGTTTGGAACTGACCAGATACTTAAGGAATTCAAAGGACTTGTGAAGTCGTCGAAGTGAAGTTGTCGTCTACCGTATCGAATTGTGGTGCTCCTGCTTTCAATTTCTTTCAAGTCTTACTATTTAAATCAAGTCCTTCCTGTTAAATAGACGCGAGAAATTCCGACTGGTTTCTATTCGACTTGTACAAACAATTCTTCGTGCCAGATTGTCAACCGGATCGATATCCATTTCAGTTGTTCTCCACAGTACACAGCAAAATAATTTGAAGTTGTAAATAACTTAAATACGTACGTGCAAATGTTTGAGTTTTTTCGATGAACAGAAAAGTAATGAACAATATATTATATATATTTGTATCATTTATCTCTGCCTATTCTATAATTGACAACCGAGAGGCGAGCGTTTTAGGATATCGACGTAACACGTACGCAGATAAAACCTGAGAGTCAGTAACTAAATCAAGACTCAAAATGGCTGCAATTTAAAACAAAATACTCGAGAAAAACCACGATAAGAAGGAAAACACAGGAAAGGGCCAGAGATGACCTCAGCAGTTTGTCAGCCAGTAAAATTCTCACTTTATATACATATATATTTCATTTAAAGTATAAGTTTTACTTTAATTTAAAACTAAGGAAAATTCGTTCTTGACCAATTGCATTTTTTGATCGAGATTTTCAAGGTAAAAAAATGATAACTATAACAATACCATGACGTGACATTTATCATCAATCATTCGCATTTGGAACAATCAGATTTCATTTTATGATTTTCCATTGGATCGAAGCAGTTCAATAAAGAATATACGAAGCCTGACATTTTCACAACTAATTCGAAATTTTGTCCATTTTGTTTTTAATTTAAAAAAGCCCATAGAGATGCAAGCAAGCCTTTTCAAATAAAAATAACTTACCCGGCATCTATGAGTCCCATCATCTTTTCGTCCTGGGGATCCAACTTCTGGAACCAGTTTGGATACAGCTGACGGATGGCTATGTAACGTTCGATCATAGCTTGGGTGAGCGGTACACTGAACTTTTTCGTCCTGAGGAACCTCAGAAGAAACGGAGTATCTGAAAAACAAAATATATATATATATATTTATTTTAAGGCCGTTTCTTTACATTTTAGAATTATTTACCTGTTCGGCAATACTTAATGTCGGGGTTTTTCTCGATCCAGTCTTTGATCTGACGCAGGCTCTCTTCCCTGACGGTGTCATCCTCGCGGAGGTCCTTGAACGCCAGCTCCTTCAGCTCACCACTCAACATTTGGTCGGGCATGTCAAAAGCTATTAAAATTAATTTATTGGGCAATTTAAAAACCGTACATCTTGTGGAAATAGGCTGTTTGTTCAGTTCCTGGTGAAAGGGAAAGTGGGAAAGTTCATCGACTAGCTGATTTCCACTGGAGATGGCGTCGAAGCGAAACGCGCCTGGACGAACTACGAGCTTTTTACGGCAAATTTTCACTTTTTTATTCTTCCTTGTGAATTTTAAACTTAAACACGATTTTTAAAACTACACGGCTTTACTTCTCAAATTTATTATTCAAAAATTCTCCAATTAAATTGTAGAAGCGCCTGAACATTATAAAAGAATTCTACAAAAGAAAATTTTAGCATAAATTATTTAACATTATCTTTGAGATTTTGAATTGAATCGTTATTTTACGGTAATAGAATTAATAATTGAACAAACTTTCTATGCTATCTCTGTATAGTATCTGCACGTAATATAATTTTTTTAACAAGACGAAAGAAACGACTAATCCTCAAAATATTCAGAAATAAATTTTGTGAATAATTTTCATATTTTGATCTCAAGATTATACGCGATCTCCAAGTTGTCAAGATCCATTTCTTTCCTAACTTGAGGATGATATTCTACATCTTTGAAACTGTTTGTACTTCAATTGTTCTCCTTCTGCCAATCCCTTCTGTTTCGTGTTTCCTCGATAGGTATACTGGAGCGACTCACCTTTCGATCTGTATCTCTGGATCTCAGTCTCGACCCGACGACTCCGTTGAAGTCCTCTGAACGAACCACGGCAAACTGAAGTCTTGAGGACCGACGAGTGTCTATTTCAAGTGGGAATTTACTCGAGCGAAGAAGGGAGAAAGTTATGAAAGTCTCTTCTTCTCCGAGGTGCGGAACTGCTTTCACTTTCTTCCAATTCGATATAAACGTGAGAAGCCGCCTGTCGACGGCCAATTGAGAAACGTCCGTCGATGGCGAAAAACAGCAAACGCCAACCGATTATGAACACAATTTTAAAACTGGACCAATTCGATCAATAAAAACAATACTTCTTTCTAATGAGACATCGGCTAGACCAATTGCCGACAATTTCATCGATTTTGACCATTCACTTTGTGCGGTGAATATAAATATTGAAAAAGCAAAGCTTTACACCACATTCTTACAACTTACATTGATTGGTTCGTCTCCCGCACGACTGTTCTTTCAATTTTGCCACTTTTCCAAAAATATTTTTACCTGATGTCATTCTCTGTTCACCGCATCAAAAAACATTTCAAAAAAATAAAAGCCAATAGAAGAAAATTTATAAGCATTAACAAATGTGGTTTCTAAAGAACATGTGGTTTCTGTACCAATTTTTCCAATTGGGGAAATGAATAACTATCGTTGGTGCTAGGGCGTAACCAAAATTACCTCTGAACATCCGGCGTTGCCAAATCCTGGGATTGTTCTAATTGGGATGACAAATATTTCACGCTCCGTTAAACAACAAGGAGAGTTACGCTACAAGGACTTTGTTCTGAAGAATTTCAAGCCAGCTTAGCAGACGAACATTAACCCTTTATATCGTTTAATTTCCGTTTTAAATTACCTACATATCCATTCATAGAAAAGTAATGTTTGACATGAATTTTCACTTATTTTCACTTTATTTTAACTCCTTTAAGTCTGAACTTTTGCGTTTTATTATATTCCGTAAGTTAAATTGTGTTTTAGTGTCAGTATACAGGGTGTACCAACTTCTATAGTTCACCCATTTAATTCGGAAAGAATTAATTTTAGCAAAAAATGGTCTTATACAAACCCCAAGTTAATTTTGGCTTGGAATCGCGTGGTGGTAACAAATTTAACACAACTTTCTCATCTAGTGATTATTCGGAGATCGTGAGATGCGGTCTGGTGTAACGTAATTTTAGAAAAACTCTTTATCGTTCCAACTTTTCGACCTTTGTTGAGATCATCTTCAGGGCTCAAAGTGTTTGTTTTCCGTGTACATGTGTCATTCTTCTCTGTCGTGCTGAGGCCTGAGGATGAACTCAATAAATATCGAAACGTTGGCACGATAAAGAGAATGTTTTTCTAAAACCAGACCGCATCTCACGATTTCCGAATAATCATTAACTAAAGGTCACCAAACACCACATATTTCTCATCTAGTTTGGAATTGACATTAACTTTGCTATTTTAAATAAGAATAGCACATTTTTATTATACAGTTCGATTCTAGCGCTTATTTTATGCCACTTTTACTGAGAGGAAAATTTTGATAGGATCGACCATTTCTGAGTTATGCGCGACGGAAGACGCATGAGGGAGTATGCTTCTTATAACAAGATGGCCCTCCCCTTTTATGTCATGGAGTAGCGTTACGCTTAGCTATTTAATTTTTGACAAAAAAAAGGATTTTTGTCATCATCGAGTTTTATTTTTAAAATGACGCAGCTGTTATTTTGACCAGATTTGACCATTTATTAAAATTTAGGTTTATAATAAATGCTCAAATACGCTCCCTGCGGAAAAAGGCACAGTGTAAAACTCTTGCAATTTAAATCTAAAACGGGGAACCCTGTATAGCGTCCTGTATACAAAAACTAGGAGGATTGTAAATTGTAAAACAAAGGCATACTTTGCTAGGATTTATAGTCCTCTAATACTATTACTACTACACGACTAGCTATACTTGGGCCTGGGTATTATTTTTAACTACATTCAATTTTAAATTTTAAAATACCTCAGCACTCTTGTCTGATCGAAGGACTGCCTGCTGTAAGCTTCCAGTCCTACTCTCCCTATGGAGAAAGGATCTCGGCTGAAGCTTCACAAGGGGTCGACCATCACCAGTCGGAAAATTCAGACTCCTTCCTGAAGAATTGTCCAAGCACACTGTTTCAGAAGCACTAAGTACACCAATTTCAATATAAGCTGCCTTAGAAAGTTTGTAATTTCAATCTTGCGTTACCACTTACCCGTTGGGTGTCGCGGACGAGAGGTCAAACTACTTTACGATACATTTTCGTCTAAATCGTCGATATAAGCGACGTACAGCCGCAGCTACCCTTTTTGGAGGAAAAAAACGGGAATGTGATAGGAACAAACTGTATGTATGAGTGAGTGTATTTATTAAAGTGAATGGGAAGGGGCTGATGGTGGAATAGCATCCCCATCGCCCCTCGAGCTGAGTATGTGACTTGGGTCGATTTATAAAAGTACCCCATCGACCCCAATTAGATTAGTTTGATATTGTATGCAGGGTGATGGAGGAATATTGAGTACTCCATCTACTACATACTACATAGTACTACTATATAGGTGAAAATGTATTTATTTGTGTAAAAAAATATATAAAAAATTTTTCATTTCCTACGCTTATAAATACAAACGCCTTGGAGGTGACAATCAAATCTACGAGATTTTTTATAATGGCTAAGTTTGTCAAATAATAAGTGAGTGCTTGTATTTATGAGTGCGAGTGATGAAGGTCTGATGATGAAATGTAGCGCAACCGCTCCAGCAGTTGTTTTGGGCCAATGGTGGAATATTTATAAAAGTATCCCATCGAACCCAATTTAGATTAGATTATTAATATTATCTGTTGGTCTATGGCGGAATATCGAGTACTCCACCGATTAATTAGAATGAGTGGAATGTACACAGATGTGAATGTATTTATTTGTGCGACTGTATTGTAGAAGTTAGTTTTAGGCTAAATTATATATTGCATGCATACATCGAGGCGTGACAACCATCCGGGGTAAAAAAAAGTTCAATAATACAATTACAAAAAGAAATATTGTGGAGTATACCATTTAGCCAAATATTTGTATTTTCAAAAGTTATTTATTTCATTATTTATGAAAGTATCCATCGACCCCGGTAGATTAGTTTGTTATTGTATGCAGGTCGATGGAGGAATATTGAGCACTCCATCTACTAAATAGAATAAATGCAATGTGTATAGGTGTGAATGTATTTATTTGTGTGAATGCGTATTGAATGTGTGTTGTTATATTTTGCATGCGCTCGGGGCTGAAATGACCAAGCTGATGGATGCCCCTTAAAAAAAAGATTTATAATAATTATAATACATGGGTGGAAATTATGTTCGTTCCATCATCCTGCTGGCTACATTTTACGACAAACAGTGTCGAAAATTTTCATCTAATGGAACAAAAACTTACCTACGCTCACACCATTGAAGTCAAGCTTTATGTGATCTAGATCGTTAATAACCCTAGGTCGTTTGATATTGGTACTACTTTGGTTTATATAGAACACAGTACACACGTATTATATTATTGCTCAAATCAACGGTTAAGGCGTTGTGGAGCTCATCACGGTAAAGTAAAGACACCACCAGCACACCGAGGGTTCATTAAGTTAAAATATCCTCATGGAATAACCTCCGTTTTGAATGTTTAAATAACTCGAAATTGCAACTATTTCAATTTAATGCAGTTCTTACGACATATTTGGCCAGCTGGCATAAGGACAGACTATTCGCCGGGTTGGCAAATATGTCCATCCCGGCTGGCATGATGTCAGGACCTTGCCGATTGACGTCTGACCAAGGGTCCAACAAACTCTGAATGAGCCAGTGTCACGATTGGCCCCGAATGAAAATGAACGAGTGCTGGAATCTGGATATGATCATCGATGCCTTCAAGAAAGGTATGAAAGAATAATTAAGAATTCTAGATGTTACGACACGGCAAATTTTTAGTAGGAATTTCAGAATTTTCGAGGGAATGTAAACGTTGGAAATCGGTCAAATATGGTCTAAAAATATTTTTAAAATTACGGGAACTATTCGATATACCTATAAGTTAAATTTTGTTGGAGCAATGATGAGGTTTGAATGTACAAACTCGAAGAATAACTAGTTAATTAAATTATTATTTCTTCATTATTTCAAAACAGACTGTATTTTTACCTTTCAATGCATAATTTTATTTTTATTTATTGTTCCTTTCTGTTTTCGAAATAATTTTGATTCTTGGGGAATGAGCACTTCTGAAACTGGACTTCAAAACTTCAGAACTTACTATATATCCTTATTCTTTATTAAAAGTTAAAAAAGTGCCTGTGTACTTGTATTTTCTAAGGGAACAAACTGCAGCAACAGCAATCAGCGAACAATAAAAATAAAATGAAAAAAAAATCCGTTGTCTTTTTCTCTTGATTCGAGAGGAATAGATTTTAAAATCAGAATGTCTGAAATTTATTGATATTTTTCAGGAGATGTACACGAAACGATAGAGTTGCATTCACTCTCCAATTCTACTTACTTACTCTGGCCCAAGCCGAAGATGGAAGACTTCGATTTTTTGAAGGATGCCCTCAACGACCTCGAAGTGGTCGAGGTACTCAGTATAGGTGCTGGTAGCGGGCTGTTCGAGTGGGCCTTGGAAAAAATTTCAGGTTGTGACGTTTTAAATTATGCCTAAGAACCACAGTTGAGTGGATTTATTCGTTTCAGGCATACCAGTACTGGCGGTGGAGTTGGACAGGATCTACTGGAAGAACACCCCGCGACCCAATTTCAAAGCGCACATCTTTGCCGATGAAGAACTCCTCCGTTGCCGCCTGGAATCTGGGAACGCCGCTTTACTTTTCTCATATTTCAACGATTATAAGCATTTCCTAAGATACCTAAGCCTTTTCACCGGGAGTGTCCTCATCCTCATAGGGCCTGAGTGCCATGGGAGGTAAGACAAACCGGTTTTCTTCGCAGACAAGAAAGAAGACAGGAGGTAATCCCGTCTGACTTCATCTTAAAATCCTTTTGTTTTGGTTTCGCTGGGTTGTGTCAGTCATTCTTCGCTATGTCGACATATTCTAGTATGGTCTGTGCGTTTTGTTGTCAGCTGTGTCAAGTAAGGTAACAGCTACACTTAGCTTTTATTTCACTACGCTCATAAAGTATGGTCTTTTATGAAACTACCAGCTAGTAGTTGGTAATCTTCCAGGTCGATTTGCGCTTTGTTTGTTAGACTCTTTTCACCATATCTTCACTGGTTGGTCTGTGCGTTGTTTTGCCAGCTTTATTCATTAGGTTCTATTATATTTGGGATTTGTGACCAACCTCCAGGTAGCTATAGTACTGCTACTCGACCAGAGATGGTTACATAGACTACCTATTTACCAACTAATCGTCCTAGACTGTCTATTCTCCCGGTATCGGCTGTCGATCGCCATCATTTCGCCAAATTCACAGATTGATCTGTGCGTTATATTTCCAGCAATATATGGATTCATTTAGAAGATTCCATTGCAATTGGATCTATCCCGCAATGAGATGTACGTACTCAGTAAAGATTTAAAAAATTATAGAGCGAGAAATAATTGGGATATTTTAGGAGCTATTTAATGGATTCCAGGTCACAGGCATGGGAAAAGTTCCTTAAAGAACCATCACAGAAATTAACGGCACAACAACTAAGCCTAGGACATTGACACTACATAGTCCTGAGGCATATGAATAGACTGTGCAGATATTGCCAGGAAGAAGAATAGCGGAACTATCCTCTGTTGGTGCAGCCTATCCACACTGAAATTCCTAATCCCGAGAGAAGCCAAGTCCCTTAACAAAGCTTTGGGATCTGGTAAACAGCGCTAAGAATAACGAAGAGTTCTAGAGTATGATGGAGGTTAAACAATAGACCGCCATTGGTCTCATTGTGCAAGGTTGTTTGAGGTGGAGTCCTTTTTACCATCTATCATTAGGGTCTGCCTATTTTCGCTGGTTGCGTTTGGGGGGCATTTTGCTATTTTTAGACGTTGGTCCGGTCATTTTATCTGTTGGGTTCAAGGTAACTACTAAATCTACGAAATGGACACTGTAAACTCATGGGGCATATGTACAGAGTCGGATCAGCAGTAACAAGCCTGTGCAGATATTGCCCGAAAAAAGAAAAAACAGCGGAACATATTCTCTATCGGACTTTCACTTCCCGATGTGCTGATCTTAGTGTCTATACATCAGGGAGTTCACCCAACCCGTTATACAGCTGGGTCGCTAGCATCCCCTTGCCAATTCCCCGGAGATCGTCGCTTTTCTACCAATGGGATTAGGCTACGACGGGGGCTATCGACAGGTCATTTCAGCCCAAACGCATGCAAACTATAATCTAGCCTAATACTCCTGGGAGAGGAAAAGCCAAGGCCTGGTAGATTCAGGAGACCTTAAAAAAGCTTTGGGACCTGGTAAAAAGATTTAAGCATAATGGAGAACTCTAGACGAATATTGGTCCTAGTGCACAAGGTTGCTATGAACTCCTTATAACCTTTTATCTATCTTTCATCCTAGCCTATTTTCGCTGGTACCGACAGCCATATCGTTTGGGCGTTTTGCCGTCTTCAGTGGTTGGTTCGTCCATGTGTTATTTTGTCTGTTGTGTCTAAGGTACCGACAACCAACAAACGACCGCTGGCCAGCAAGATTAGGTGCAAGGTTGCAGATGCTCTGTAGTCCTGTTTTTCACCTACTTGAACAGAGATTTTTTGTAACTACTAGCATCTGTTACTTGACCTGTTGATTACCTTGGACTATCGTCAATTTGGCCTGTCATTAGTCAGAAGCGTTTCAGTGGTTGGCCTGTATGTATTTTGTCATTTATCACAAGTTATCAACACCTACAATTCTATCATTTGGAATTGGCATATGCTAAAATACATCAGACAGACATTACCAGCAGATTAGGTGCTAGGTTCTTCGGTAGTACTTACAGGACCTCTATCACCGACTTAACTTTAAAAATTACACATCTAAACAGAGCTGTTTTTGCAACTATAAACTATCTTGATCATTTATCATTTTGGTATTTTGGTAAGGTTCTCGCTGGTTCTGGCGGACAAATGCTTTTCAATCTATCTGGTCAATCTACAGTGGTTGGTCTATGCGTTTCTTTGTCAAATTTTCCCTTTTTAAAAAAAACCCTTAGAGAGATTATTTAATCACAGCTTACTGTTTAGCTAATGTAACTTGAATTAAAATTTCTGGTCGAAAAATGAAAAATTGGATTGATGGTTAAAGACAAAACTTTTGATTCAATTGTAACAACATTTTTTTACAAATTAAACCCGTATAAATCGTAAAGAAAAATTCATAATAAATGAATTTTTGTGTAGGTTTCTTGTCTATTGCTGATCGACATAAATGTCAAATGTAATATATAAAAATTGAAAGATTGTACAATGACATTTTTCTTTCTAAATATTTTTTTTTATAAATCATTTAAAATTTGTAACATAAGTTAACATTGAAACGAAATGTGGATTGTAGGTTTATTAAAACAAATATTTGAGATATCCCTTATCTGTAGGCAATTAAGATTTTAATTTTGGACCACTTCTAAATTGTCTAAATCTAGCCTTTGTAAAAATGTGAGAACACGCTAGAGAAAAAATTATGATGACTGTACTACTTTGTAAATTTTAATTTGCTATTGTTTTTCGAAACAGGTACTCAATGCCGACCCCGTTTGACTCGAACATACCGAAAGAATGGAAACTGTGGTGCTCAAAGGAAATCTCGTCCACAAAAGATTTCATAACAGTGTACACAAAATAAATACAATTTTCCAAACTGATGTCTTTCAACCTAACTTACATATATGGGATATACTTCGACGCACTCTTTCAAATATATGTATAAATTATTATTATTGTTAATATCTCGGAAAAGTTTATTATTTCTGATTTTTTTTTTAGTTCAGTCCAATTGTTTGGGGGGCTTTTCAGTCGGTTTAGTAGAATTTGGAAACCTAATATCGAAATCTGAGATACACTTCATGGCACCGTCAGGGTAATCCGTGCTCGGCACGTAGAACTCTAGAGGATCCGCTTTAAGATTCGCCTTAAAAAAAATAAATAAATTGAAATAAGTTAACAAAACAAAAATGCATAAGTCCTCTTACTTTGTTTTTGACCGATCTGAACAGATTCGCGAAGTTTGTATATGCGATCAATTTCAGATCTTCAAAGCTGAACTTTGGACCTTTAGAATGGAGCGAATCAAAAAGTGCTGAAAACGACGTCGCGCCGGTGACAGCGAAGCTGAAAAAAGTTCAGTTCGATAAATCAAACCAAAATAAAAACATTGATAATTTTATAAACTTTAAGATCAGATTCTCCATTTCCATTTTTGGGCTAACAAAAGTATATTTATAATAATAAGCCCAAATCTTGCGGTTGTATCTAGTCAAAATCAGACCAAAAATCCTTTCGGGAGTACAATAAAATGGATGGAGTTATAAACAACAAATCCTCACAAAAAGTTTGCTTTACCCCTTTCCATCGTATCCGAATCCTCCTCCAATTCCCAGATTTTTCGCCTCGACATGGGTCTTCAAGGCGGCGAACATGGCTACAATGAAAAGAATGGTAACTTTAGACAGATTCTCAACAAGAAATCTACTCACCGACCACCTGATCAACGTTGCACGTTTGGTCCTTGGTGCAAATCTGTTCTTCGGACAATGAGATCATGAGCAAACTGTTCGTTTTTTTCTGAAATATAAAAACAAATCAAACAAGTACGTGTAAGTAGTCGTTCTGTAAGGATTGATGGCTTCAATGCCCTACGCCCTTGGCAGTTCGAGGTAAATTTCAGCTTAATCCATTAATACAGATTCTATCCCAGCTCTACCTTTAAAACTCCTACAAAACCTCCCAGACCTACTAGAAACTCCTAGAGACATCAGACCATACCATGGTACTGTCAGACCCTAAAAGAAAAACATTCACTTACTATTAGATCGAGGGTCTCGTTTCCAACATTCAGACTGTTTTTGACCAAATCGTTGTAATTGGAAGCCGTGAATACGACCGGAGACCTCGAGACGTTCATAACCGCCAGCTGCAACTCCTTGCTCGTCCCGGTGAGATCGATCATGACTCCGAGGTTGTTCGCCTCTTCCACGACCGCTTTTGCGAAAGGGCTCAACACGTTTGGACCGGCCATCTTGGTCCAGGGAGTTTCGCAAATGTTGGCCAGCGAGATGACGCGGACCCCTAGCTCGTGATATGTGCGGAGCATCGCCGGGCGAGAGTCGAGCACGTATGCGCCGTCCAGTCCCACCAGACCCACCACACTCCCAGGTTTTGCGGTATTCAAATCTATAAAAAAATTTCTTTCAATGTATAATCAATTCTTCAATTATTAATAGTAAAGCTAATAAAATTAGAGCCATATATAATTTTTAAAATCGATCTTCTCAGTACGTTTCGTTAAGTGACCTGGTTTTCTCATTTGTCTGAACAAAGATTTTTAACGCCAATTAAATCCCATTAAGGTCGGATTTTCCATTCATGTCCTTTTTGTAAATATTTATATAAATCGTTCAATAATTTATTAAAAGTAATTGTATGTGATGACCTAGATTAACCGAATCCCTTCAAATGGAAAATCTTATTAATTCGAAATGATGGTTTAGGATTATAACATTAATCCGAAGAGAAACAGAAGATAAATTTGGTTTTTTTCTGTCCCTGCCTGGGTTTGTTGAAAAACTGTTCTGTGAGTACTTTGTTCCCATTTTTGGGAGCAATACATCTTCTATTGTAAAATGCAAAATAATAGCTTATTGTGTTCCACTGTCGTAAGTTATCTTTTACCCAGGTGTCCGATTCGATGCTAGCACCTGAGTCCGACCAGATTTTGAGATGGCAGTCGATAAACTGCTTCTGCTTCATAAAGCTTCTCCAAAATTTTAACGATAAATCGAAACTAGATCTGGACAATAAGGTAAACGTGATAGGAATCCGATGAAAACCTTCGAACTTCCGAGCGACTTGACGGAACGGAACTCTCTCATAGTTGACTCAAGATTGTAACATGACAATTTGTCGTAAATCCATATCGAAAAGAAATTTTAATTGTGTGATTAGATATGTAGAAGAGAGCGTTCACGATTTTTCGTAGGATTTTGGATTGGGAAATCGGGATGCGATGATAGTTGTAATGTTTAGCTAAACTCGACAGTTCAATGCCGTATGTCCAAATGGATTTAATTATCGTCTCGTATATCAGTCGTTTGATGTGAAGCTCCTGCTTTTTATTCTTGTCTGTGGATTCTAAGTCAGTCTTTTGAATATATACAGCCTGAGGTACGTGATGTGATTAACCATACGAAGAGGTGTATGATTTAAGTATAGTGGTGGAGAGTAAACGTTATATGCTGGCTTTTGTCTAAATTTATTTTTCTAGGTTCTATCTCGATTAGGTGAACCTGTAAGAGCGATGTGAGAGGACGAGATCTTTATTAGAGAATAGAATAAGCAGTATCAACCTCAGAAGTGTGACTGGATGTGTCGGGATGGGTAGGGAGTAGTATAAGAATAAAGATGGAATAAAGTATGGAAACAAGAGTACTCCCCTGTGGGACGCCAGCCTTAACAGGATAGTAATCAGAGAAAGATGTTCCCTGCTAACCTAACAGAAGGGGTCAATCAGGTATGATCGGAAGTTGGTGAAGGGAAGGATGCTCTTGAGCTTCCACAGCAAATCCGGATGCCAGACCCTATCAAAAGCTCTTCCAAACGAACAGCAACATTGTTTTCATAATATTACCTTAAAACAGGGAGAAAATCCATCTGCCCAAGATCTTGCTTTTGACCTTAGATATCAATCATCATCGCCTAATTTTCAATACAATATTCGGTAAAATCTCATACTTCATGGATTTTTTAAGAGATTGACTTAAGTTTCTTCCCTAAATACTGCATATACGAGACTACATAATGATGAATTTGATTCTACTGTCTGTTATAGGACCTCATTCCAGATCGATATTTTATGTACAAGTGCTAAACACAGTTGTCCTTTTTAGGGTCAGTAATAATGGAATATCTAGAACTACTGGAGTGAATGGTAAAGAATTATGCTTAGCTTTTATATTTCATCCTATGGGATATGAAGATAAACCGTCAATGACCCGGGATGGTCAAGGTCTAACCCGAGACGAATAATACTCTTATGTGATAAATCTAATCAACAAATAAAATAATAAACAGTTGTGTTTAAATATTAAAAAAATGGATTTTGTTTGGTTTACCTGTCGGTTCTGTGGCAATCGTGAAGTTCATGATCTTCGTGTACCTCTTGAGTACGTCGATTTGTTCGAGAATCTGCGGAATTGTGTCTTTGTACTGTGTCGCAGTGCAGTTGACACCGACCGTCCAGATCTGTACGCCGACATGACCGGTTCGCATCGCTGACGGATCGCCATCGGGTAGACGTTGGCTGAAGTTGACGTTCTTGAGCTGGTCGTTCAACTTCGTCTTGAGCTGGTAAGGAAGTCCGTTCCGCCTTTGAAGAGAAATTCCAATCAATACATCATATAATTTCAAATATAAACCATGTTTTCATGTTTTCACATAAACAAAAGTCGGACCAGCCTTCGCAGTAAGACAAACCTCTATGACATTTAAGTTTAGAAGTTCTTACAAGAAATGCTTATTTACAGCAAAATCATCATTTTATTCATTCAACTGGACCAAATAAACTGAGTCATTGATTTAAACATATATTAGTTAATCATTAGTTTAAACATATTAAACAACAACAAAAACGAAGAAATTGAGTCCTCAGACCCTTACCCGACGACGAGTGGGACTTTCAATATAACGTCACCTCCCGTTTTGAATTGGGGACTTCCTCCTCCTCCTCCGTCGTCGCCGCCCGACAAAGTAGCGATGAGGATTATGATGAATATGATGAGGAAGACTATGATGCCTCCTAGCACCATCATTTTCTTCCGCGTCAAGGGTGCAGACATACCTACAAAAATCGGTTTACTTATTTGCAGTTGTTCCATTATGGGCATTCAGATGTGTGACACATATTTGAAATAGGCTTTATGCATATATTTTTAATTGAAAAAATTTTCAGTGTAATTTGATCATCAACAACTTTCTGGTTTAGTAATTTGTTGAAGTCGTGAGGAGCAGTCAAGAATGAGATAGTTTAGAAAAATACCTTTTTCATTTTTTTGCCAACGTTTCGACCTTTATACGGGTCATCTTCGGGGCATAAAGTGTGCTATTCTTGTGGTGTAATATTTGTTTTGTGACACAACACTTTCACACAACACCAATATGACACTAAAAGAATAGCACCACACTTTATGCCCTGACGATGACCCGAATGAAGGTCGAAACGTCGACAAACAAATGAAAAAGGTGTTTTTCTAAACTACCTCATTCTTGACCGCTCCTCACGACTTCAACAAATTATGAACGACAAGTCACTGAGAAACATACGTTTCTGGTTTTGTCTACCAGACGCGTTTTGGAATATTGTCTTTGTATTGGTTGGTTTGTGTTTCATTTTGTCAGAAGTGTCCTTTTACAACGTATGCATAACAAATCTTTCGATGAATATTACCAAATCCTGAAACACTTCTGAAAGACCAAAACAGTTAGAAAATACAGACCATAATGAACAGAATTGACGCGCTTTGGATTTTCGCCATCTTCAGTGGTAGGTCTGTTTATTAAGTCAGTTGGGTCCATTGACAAGGTATCATCAGTACCCACCTCTGGAGTAAAACAAATGCTGACATACTTCTAACAGACCAAACCAGCAGAATTTTCCTCCTGGTATGCCTTTTCTGATATTTTTGGTCTGTCAGACGCATTTTAGCAATTTTGCCATCTTCAGTGGTTGATCTGTATGTTGTGGTATCAGTTGTGTCCTTTGACAAGGAATCCATACCAAGAAAACTTCCACTGGAGCTTACCAAATGCTGAAACACTTCTGAAAAAGCAAAAAATGAGAACATACAGATCAAGATGATCATTCTCGCTGGTTTTGATCTGACGGATGCACTTGAGATTTTTGCCATCTTCAGTGGTTGGTCTGCGCATTATTATGTCAGTTTGGTCTTTTGACAAGGTATCGACACCCACTTACCCACCTCTGGAGAAAACCAAATGCTGAAACACTTCTAACAGACCAACTCCTTATATGCCTTTTCTCACAGGTTTAATATGTCAGAGTGTTTAACATGTGGTAATCTCCAGCAGAAGGTTTGATACCTTGTAAAAGGGCCCATCTGACACAATAACAAACAGACCAACCACTGAAGATGGCAAAAATCTCAAGCGCATCCGTCCGACCAAAACCAGCGAGAATGATCATCTTGATCTTTATGTTCTCATTTTTTGCTTTTTCAGATGTGTTTCAGCATTTGGTAAGCTCTAGTGGAAGGTTTCTTGGTGATTTCCTTGTCAAAGGACACAACTGAAGCAATAACACACAGACCAACCACTGAAGATGGCAAAATGTGACACCCACTAATACAACTCTGGAGACTACAAAATGTTGAAACACTTCTGACAGACCAAAACCAGCCAAAATGATCATCCTGGACTACCTATTCTTGCTGTTTTGGACTGTTAGATGCTTTCGTCAGTTCACTGTCTTTAGTGGTCGGTCTGTGTGTTTCTATGCCAGTTGTGTCCCTTAACAGGGTATTACTCAATACCCATTAATCCAAGACTGGAAATTACCAAATGTTGAAACACTTCTGACAGATAAACTCAGCGAGATTAGATGAACCAGGATGATAAGAGAAAATTAAACAACAAATTTATCTGTGACACTTAAATACAATTGCATAATTAAATAATACAAAAAGGTAGTTTGATCATCTCTGACAATCCTGTTCTGAGTATTAATATTCTCGGACTTTTCATATCAGATGTATTATACTGTACCGCCATCGTCATTGGTTGGTTTGTACATTAGCTTGCCAGGCTTGTTCTTTTTAAAACAATTGTACAAACGCAGTTTAGTCCTAGAGAAATTGTTTTATCCAACTATTGTAACATTCTGAAAAAAAATTTTAAGAAGTATATATAGAAAGACATGGATGTCAGAATAATACACAGACCAACCATTGATGATGTCAATTTGGCGAACCTAGCTAACTAGCTACCTAGTACCTAGCATCTCACCTCACAAAGTTTTAAAAGTACATTAATATCATTATATTTGATCAATTTCAGCCCCAAACTGAATGTTGATATTTCGTCAACAGAGTTTAGTATTTGGCCATTTTCAACGCTTTGTCCAAGAGTTGTTTTTGTTTTATTTTTTTCAGTAGAGTCCTTTTGTAAGTTTCTCCAATCATTTTGGTCTCTCTCTATTCTCACTGGTTTAATCTGTCTCGTAGGTTCTTCACAATTTAGTTTTTACAATGGCTAGATTGATATAAATTTTCAAGATTTAATTATTGTACTTTTTCTAGGTTTGACCTGCTTAATTTCATCTTTTTTTAAAATAAAAAATTAAGAATTCAATTGCCTTACAAATCAAGTATTATGCATTATAAATACCAATTGAATTATTTAAAATTATCTAAAGTTGTTCTGTCTAAATAAGAGGTTTCATAATAAATAAACTTGCAGTAAGCAAGAAAAATATTTCCTTCGGCAAAGTATACTGAACACAATAGTTTTGCTTACGCAAAAATGTAAAAAGTTTTTTACTTACATTCTCTTGTGCTGGCGAGCAAGCCCTGACATAAATCGGAACAGAAGGGCATTTTTTTCCCTTGTAAGGCTGAAAGTGTGACGTGTAAAATCTAGCAAAGGAAAAAACTCAGTCCTTTAAAACCAACAAGGGAGGAGCTAATCTTATCTCAGGTGTGATGTGTAAGTACGGCTTGCGGTTGTATGACCCTTATCGCGACGATTCCGAATTGATTTTGTGCCCAATTTCAAACCGGGCTCGCTTAACTTTGCTAATAGGCGGAATTTACAAAATTCAGTGAAAATTGTGATTGTAAGAAAAAAAAGGCAGACATGCTTGAATAAGCGTTTTGTTTTTTGTCCACTAATACTTCATTGGTTGATATTTTGGGTCAATGTCCATAATTTTTTCTCTGTTTAAAATTATTGTCACATATACATAGTTAAAATTCAGGGTGTATTGGGAAAGTTTAAAAACAAAAAACAAAGAAAATCACAAATACAAACTGTTCAAAATTTTCTTTATTGAACCATATTTTTTTGGATATTTTTTTTAATTTTACTCTTGGGTTGTTATGTATATAAATTAATCATCATCGATTAAATATAATTAATGTTCAATAATCGATATTTTACAATTGAAATACAAATCTTGAACACATCACATGTTTATTAAATTTTCCCAATTGAGAAAACACAAGACCTAAAAAGGTTCGACCAAAATTTTTTTCGCATCTATTTACATATTTATAATGATATATAAACTGTTTTATTTCATTTTTTCTTCATTAATATAATATGTATACATATATATTTTATGTATAAATGCAGGTATATATTGTATAAATTTATAATTAATAATAGTCACTTATCTATAATAATTACAAGTCAATCAGGATAAATTAATTATAAATAAAAGAATAAATAAATCATATCAAATTAATGAAAATTATCCTTTTTTTCTAAAAAAAAAAATTAAATTAATGTTAAAGGAATGTTTTGCATTTATTTTCCTTTATTGTGGGTTCAAAGGGACATTAAATACAATGAATTTAATGAGCTACAAAAATAATTAAATAAAAAACTAATTTTCTGGGGGGGGAAGAAAAGTGAATTATCTTTAGTTACGAAAGGCTTTGGTTTTTATTATTATTATTTTTTTAATAGTATATTTACATAAATAATAAGCTATTACCACTAAATCAAAATTCAATGGTGAAATTAATTATAAAATAAGGAAAGTTGATAAATGGTAACTTTATCTTATTTTAGAAAAATTAAAATTTTAAAAAATAATCCATAATGGTCAACAAAAGGAATATTTTCCTCCCGAAAGGCTTGCCATTTTTCTTTCATCGCTTTTTGTCAGAATTGATATCAACCGTCAAAAAGTATGCAGTGTAAGGTTGATCAGTTTAACGCTTCAAAAAACATCGTGAAAATGTAAGACATTAAACAGTTTCGATTTCAACGTAAAATCTCTAGAAATACATGATATAAAATTTAGAGTAGAGCGGAGAGCACACTTACCCGATGCAACGCAACACGACATGACCTGACGCTCGTTTTGACGTTTTGATAAGGTGTGCACTTCTGTTCAACATCAAGCGCACGCCACATACAGTCGCACAGCGTGTATCACAACACTACACCATTTTTGCTCTTAATGCATTATTATGAGTGAAACCTTGTAATAAATTGTTCGTTAATCAATAAATGGTATTCCGTTATTTGGATAAATTTTTTGCCAAACATCATAATTAAATAACTTTTTTTTTACATTAAAATAAGCATGTTGAAACGATATAACAACAGAAATACATATAGTGTAAAATAACTATAAAAAATAGGAGTATCCGGTTTTTTGTCTTCTACTGTATTCAATGCTACTCGACAAAAATCTGGACAGGGGAACTTGGTTGCATCGCGTTGCGTAGAGTTGGATTGTGTTGCATGGTGTTGGGCGGATGTGCACGGGGATAATATAATTTTACGGAAAATTGGAAATTGGATTGTGTCAGGTGGCTTCGGGTCACGTCGCGTTGCGGTTACATCGGGTATGTTCCCCACTTAAAAGTGAAGATGTGGATGTGTTACAAGGTACATTTTCATTGATTTCATTTCTAACAGTACCTTTATCATCTCATTAATGATAAAATTATTTCAAGTAATTATTTTATGTAATATTTTTTAATGTAACAAGTATTTGAGAACCCAAACAAGATCAATGCATACTTTTATGACTTTTTTAAATTCAAACATGAAAGACATTAATATGGCAAAATGTAATCGATCATGTTTAACCGGTATGATGATTCATTGAACTTCTCAATGAAATAATAAAGAAATTTTTTTTTGTCGTTTTAATTAAAAGAGAAATTAAAAAGTCAATTATTAAGACTCAAGTTTCATGGCAAGGTTCCTGAGGTTCTCAATTTTCCCTTCAATATCGGCCCTTTCCGATGACAGTTTTTCTGAGAGTTGTTTGAGAGACATTCGGCGTGATTCGAGCTGTTTTGCTTCCTCCCTCAGTTTCGAATAAAAACATTCGTTCGACTCCAACTGTTTTTTTAAAATCTCCCTTTCCCTTTCTCTTTCTGGAATATATTTTAAAAAAATAGGATCAGCATAATCATATCGTAAATACCGGGAATTCACTCACCGATATCATAGTTAGCATAGGATTCTATTATCGCTTCGATTCCTTGCCATTTGACAATCTCGGTGTCTTCGAGGGGCTTATCGAAGGAATCTTGGCACGACTCGAAATAGACGAGGAGCGGGTTAATCCGCCCCTTCCGCCTTCTCTCGGAAAGAACTTCTGCCCAAATGATTTCCCTTTCTGCTTAAAAAATAAAACATTAAACATTTTAAAAACGACAATTGGTAAAATACAAATTGAAATTTATATCACCTTGAGCACGTTCCTTCTCAAAGAACGCAAGTCCTAGATTGTTGAGAAAATCCACCTTATGCCTGATATCACCCAGGTCTTCGGCCATTGGACGGGGTATGGGGAGGTCTACAGGCGACTCTGGCCTTGCCTCCTCTGCTTCTGAAGGCTCTACTATCATCTCAGGCAGAACCCTCATTCGCAGAAGTTTGCCCAGCTCCACATCTGGAGGGGAAAAAAACCATAAACAATAAAAAATATAACAATTCTAAATATAAAATGAAACAAAATGATCAAATCAAATTATCTACCGGATTTCTCCCTGGCAGTGACAAGTCCGAATGATCTGAGGGACGTCAGTTTGTCTTCGGCAGTTTCTAAAGGTGCAGGTGGCCCGGAGAGTATAAGAGGCTCGACATCTACAAGCGGTTGCTTTTCTCCATCTAATGTTGGACCGTCAGGTGAACTCGGAGATGGTGTAGTCTGTTCTCCTCGTGCTTTCTGTTCGTCAAGCCATGAGACAACCTTGCAAAAAAAACCATTAGACTAAAATAATTTAAAAAATTCACAAGGCAAAGATTTATATTGAAAGATTACCGGAGATGAAGTACGAGCAGGCCAGATCTGTAAATATTGATCCACAATAGAAACTGCAACATCATAAGTTCTTTCCTCAACCTTTGTTATCTGTGGAGGTGGGCTCAGGCGACGTTGGGGCCCTGGGTAGTCCTCAAATGGTCTCACAAATCGAGGTGGTGGTGGTTGTTGTTGCTGTTGTTGTTGTTGTGGCTGCTGTTGTTGTTGATGTTGAGGTTGTACCTGTGGTTGCTGCAGAGCTTTTCTGGAGTCAGTGGAGTGCGAAGGAGATGCTCTCGGGCTTCTCTTACTCTTTTCACGTCTCTCCTGTTCTCGTAGCCTGTGCTCCTCTTCTATTTTGATACGCTCATGGAGAGACGCTGGTGGTAAGAGGAGTGGCGATGGCATGAGAGGGTATAAAGAAGCAGGAGCATGGTAAGGCGGATATACACCAAGCCCACAACGCTCAAGGTAAAGTTGTTCCTCTAGCCTTTAAAATAATGGACTTATTAATGAAATACTAATGAAATATAGAAGTCATTTGAAACTGAATTATCCTGTCACCTTCTTTAAAAATAAAATTAAAAATTTACCTGTAGACGTGTTGTGGATACAAGTGCTGGTAAGGGTACTCGATAGGTATGCTCAAGTGGGGCATTCTTGAATCTTGTGGCCTGTACGGTTGAAACCCGCTGCGTGGCGCAGTATCCTTTTCATGAAGTTTGTTGTTAGGTGGAGACTGAGGTCGTAGTAGTTGCGGGGGTGCTCGTTTTGGACTCGTTCTCTCTTCAATTTCCGAACTTTGCTTGCTGGCAAGGTTGCGGAGGAACGCGGCGAAGGATCGACCCTGTTGAGGATGAGGTGTGGGAGTCGAAGGGAGTTGTGCTTGGGCTGAACGCTGGCTGCTTTTCCCCTTCGGTGATGGTCCTTCGAGTTGCTTCGACACTTGTGGGACACGCTTATCAGGTGGTTTCACTTGATTTGGAATCGCTTTCTTTGGCTGTACTGATGTGGATCTGCTCGGAGGAATAGATGATGAAACCTGTTAACAAAATATATTTATTGTTATTTCAATATCCTTGTTATTAAATTAAAGGTAGGAACATAATACTAACAGAAGCATTTCCATGGCGGTGGCCCGATGGTAACCTGGCGACAAGGACATCTGGTGAATCTTCTGGTGGTGGAGGTTGTGGAATCCAGTTGTACTGTCTCTTATCCGGTGGCAGACCCCAGCGCTCATATTCAAGCGATTGTGACCTTAGTGTCTCATAACAGTCCAGACAAACTACGGCAAGATCACCATTCTCAAGAAGAAGTGATCTTTCCGGTTGCCTATGATATCGAAGAAAGGGAAAGTCTTTCACAGGGAGCGCCCGTACTCGTCTCCGATATGTTGTGATGCCGCATACGTAGCAGATATAATCATGCCAGTTGTACTGCTTAGTCTCGGGGCTTATGTTTGGACTCCTTCGCCACTGAGCTAATACAGTATGGTAACAAAATGTGCACACGAGTGCAGACCCGTCTTCTCGCAGTTGTTCGGTATTTGACTGACTTTGGTGACGAAGAAGAGCAGGAAAATACGGAGCATTTCTGCCTTGGGGTCTTGAGTATATTACTCTTGCAAGGGTCAAATCTGAATGGAGGCCACAAAGGAAGCAATAAATAGATGACCCTTGATGAAGAACCGGACTACCATTACTCACATTCCTAGGAAGCTCGTATTTTCTCGCTTCAAGAGGAACTCTTTCCGCTTCCATAAGATCCCACTGAGTGGCAAGCCTACCAAGACATTTATTGCATATTAAAACTCTCCCAGTTGAATCGACACAATCAGCAGTCGATAGCAATGGACGAAGACATGGGAAATGCATAGCATGCGAGTTTATTCCTTCCGGGGCAGTTGGTACCCAATCAGTCTCATTTCTTGGTACTAAAAGCATACAACTAGGGCACAAATAAGTGCTAGAACTTGGGTAATCTTCAGATTTAGGAGCAGGTTTCATTTCGTACGGCTTGAATCTTATATCAGATTTCTTCTTGTCCTGTTGTGGGCTTGGGTAACCTTGGTGCTTTTGTGGTATCGACTTGTAACAAATGCTACAAACTTCCACACTGCCTTGAGGCGTGATCGGCCTCGCTTTCAACGGAGTTCCAAGACCTGCTATAAATGGATAATAAATCGCCCCGTTTGAATTAGGTTGTGTGTGCATGGTCCGTGAAGAACTAGATGGGTACTCGAGACCGCAGGTATAGCACACGAAAGTCTCCTGTGCCGGTGAAGACCGTTTTCTCAGGGTGTAATGACGATCATTGTGCGCTACGTTGCTTGCCTGGTATGCATTCCACTGGTGAAGGAGATGCTGTTGGCAAGGAGCACAAGCAAGTACACGGCCTGTAGAATCCATCGGGCGTGACCTAGGTGGTCTTGAATGGAGCATCAATGATGGGAAATAAGGTTGATTCGAAAGAGGCTTGGCACCTGGAGGAAAAAATTTATTTTAAAAAATGTCTACAAAAAATAACTTATTTACTAACCAATATGAGCCAATGAACCTCTTGAGTATTCCTCACCACAGACATAGCAGACCTGAGTTTTTGAGTTCTTGTTCGGCATCGAAAGATCTAAAATATCGGTACCGCTTGAGCTTGTATAACTCCCTGAATATAGATGTTTGAAGAGGTGATTGGGAGAAGGGGAAGGCAACAAAAAAACAAAAAAGAAAAAAGAAAAAATGAAAAATAAAAACTTAAAGGAATAAAGAATATTTAAAGCAGTGTACAGTTTACTAGCATTACCTGGATTTGAGCTGCCGCCATTTGCTGCAGATATGGACGGTGATTGACGTGGGTCAAATGAGTTAGGCGTACTTTCTTCCAGACTTGATATTCCAGAATCCCTGAGAAATTAAAAATGATTAAAAAGATTAATTAAGACTGGATTAACACTATATCACACCTGAACATGTGACCCATGATGTCTGGAGAGGGGTAGTCCTGAGAACCGACTTCCGCACCAGTGTAAGGACCATTGTCGACCCTTTTGAGCCAATAGATTCGCCTCGAGTGTGGTGTATTCTCCTTCTGGTACTTCTCCCATTGCTATAAAACAATAACAATTAAAATTATAAAAGAATATTTTTTAAAATTTTTAAGTTTTGATTACCTGTGTGAGAAGACTATAGCAGAGATAACACGCTCTGAAGGTGGTTTCTCTATGAGAAGATCGTCTGTACCCTGCAGGAGGCGAGTGACCTTCGAGAAAGGGGAAAAAAGGCTCCTCGAGCTCTACACCTGCGATCAAAGTTCTTGAACCTGGAGTGGACTTCAGCTGGTACTCCTCTGAGTGCCCAGTAGACCCGCAGACAAAGCAGACTGGGAAGTGCTGTTGGAGCAGAGTGGGAACCTGCTGCTGGTGTTGGTGTTGGGAATGTTGCTGGATGTGATTGCTCGTCTCAGGGTTGTACCCACGGTTGTCCGTCATTATATTCCCTTGAAAAACAATAATAAAAACTGGTCAGTTGTTGGAAGTACATTTAACTTTATTTTATCTCTATGTTTGAATAACAGCTTTTATTATAATCAATGATGTGCTTGTGAAAATAAAGAAAAATTAAGAGGGCGTTATTTTTCATTTTTTGCCTTAGGTAAGTATAAAGTAAAGTTGTAGCTTGATCTACTGCTATCCTGGTCTACCTATCATTGGTTGGTTACTATGCCCATTTGGGTCTGTATGTTATTTTGTAAAACAGTAATAATATGATGATGATAATAGTTGATCGAGCCACAGCAAAGCACTTTCGTGTAACTTCCCTTAACTGACACTTCTAAAAAGCAGACACCTCCCTTGAACTGAAATCCTTAAATTCTCATTCCCGGCGTCTTCCGCCGTTTGTTTACATTAAAATCTTCTATAAAGTAGACACTCCCAATATAACTGTATTCTGACTAAAACTCCCAAAGAATAGAAGTTAGCATTCAAAAATGGCCGTTTCCCGTGTTTGTTTTGTTCGCCTTCAAATATTTTACCAGTATTCCTAGATTTGGATTATGCCACTTTGCAAATGTGTTTAAGTACTTCTTCAGTGAGTTTGATACTTAAAGAAAAAATTAATGTAATTAAAGTGAGTGAAAGGGAACAACTAAGTGTGCAAAACTTGGGTGTTTTCAATCGGAAAGACCCAGGCAAGTAAATTCTTTTTAAAAAATTGTATGATGGAAATGACAAATCTCGCAGATTTTTTTCCTTTGTTATTGTTCAGCCATAGAACAGGACGTATTTGAATGGTTTTGCCCTGCTCAGGTTGGTAAAATACCACTATCTCTACCTCATCCAAGAAAAGGCCTTAGAAGTTGCAAAATTTCATTTAAGGCTAACGGATTTTAAAGAATCTTCAGGTTGGCTTGACATTTAGCACATGGCATAAAATTTCTTTTAAGACGATTTGTTTAGAGAAGGTCTGAGTTTTGTACAAAACTGAATGCTGTTAAAAAATGAGCTTCGTCAGAGAGTAAAAGTTTCAAATGAGGTTTTGTTCTTATGCAAAATATGCTCAGTCAATTTGAAATCCCCCTGGTCATAGAAATAGCTGGTGTTTCAAAGGTATAGCGGACAATATTTCATTCCCCAATATTGTCCATTATCGTATGTAGTTAATACAATATTGACGCTGGAGATTCCATCACCCAGTGGATCTGCAGAAGTCCATAGGGTGCACAATGATATTCTACTCCTCTTCTATTCACTCCCACAAATAAATACAATCACTCAAAAAAGGCAAAATAATTGAATAAAACAAGACTTCCCAAACCAGTGATCATGGTTAGCTAAAAGCTAAAATATTTTTGACAGACAGAACCATGAAATAGCCAAAAACGAGGATAATCAAAGATGTTGGCTGCATCTCTTGTAAAACGGCACATCACGTTGCTTATTGTAATGCATAATTATTGTTTTAATAACATCTAGGTTTTTTTTTTTAATTTCGTTGTGAAAGATTGTATTTTTAGCATTACAAATATTAATTTTGGACTGATAAAAATTTGGCGTATTGGAAGCTGAATAGAAAATTGCCTAATTTTTTCATTGAACCTTTGAATTCTGTAGAGTGAGTTCTATTATTTTTAATAGAACTTAAGCTGTTCGATATCTTTTTATTATGTAAATCAATATGTAGAGCCCATGAAAACTTTTAAAATAAGTTGGATGTCTTGTCTGCCTATCCTCTTTTCTTTGGTCTTTTAAACATGCTCTAGAAGTGGACAATTCATGAGTTGTTGTGTGTTGTAAGTTGTGTGTGGATATCTTTACCCTCCAAAGCCCATAGTCGAAATTTAGTATTTTAATATTTTATTTTCTATTACTTTGGTACTCTACTAATACAATAAATGCATGTTGTTGTTTTTTTGTTTAGGGCAAAAATAATAAAAAATTATTATAATAACACTTTAATGTATGAATGTAGTGTTTGAAAGGGTAAGACTTAGGTGGGGGCTGAAATGATCTAGATGTCGGAAGCCCCAGTAAAAAAAACACTAATAATTATTTTAATTAATTAATATTTATATAAGGTCTTGATTGAGACAATGAAGTTAGTGTCATAAGTGGAATTTAATATTTATATAGACTGCATATTATAATGGTATTCTAAATTTGAAAAACAAGTTACGCCAGGTCCAAAATTCAGTTTCTTATGAAAATATAATTTTTTTGTCTCAAATATCAATTTAATTTATGCACCCAAAATATATTGAGCAAAAAAGATTTTTAATATTTTTTATGCTACTAATGTGCATGTAATATATCTTAGCACGAAATGTTACTTACAAATCACTAAACATGAACAAAAAACTTCAATGGTGCCAAACACATATTAAAGTAAAATTACTAAAACAGTTGACATATTACTAAAATAATATCAAACACTTCTGGTAGATAACCTTGTTATTTATAAATTGCATTATTATTGTCTATAATAAAGGGAGTTCAAATACAACTTACAAGAACACAAACAGATAATTTCTAATTTTTATTGTTTAATAATAATGCCTAGACGTGCAAAGTGTAGCCCAAGTAAAAAAGGGAATAAGATACTTTCTTTTTTCTTGTGGTGTTTGTATCGGTGCTGATGGGAATATCAGTCAATGATTGTTGGAAAGAAAACGACTTCAAATCTTTGCCGACGTTTCGATTTAATTCAAATTTTTATCAGGCTTGCTGTACATATATAGTATTATTACATTATTACTATTATTACATTATTATTTATTATTACAGAATTACATATATATTATATACAAGAAGACAAAAGAGCTTAACTTACCACTTGATCTCTGTTATCTTTTTTATTTATGTTTTATTTATTTATCAATTGGCAAATGTCCCATGTATTGTTCTACTTAACTGGGCATTTGCCAATTGATAAATAAATAAAACATAAATAAAAAAGATAACACTTAGAGATCAAGCGGTAAGTTAAGCTCTTTTGCTTTCTTGTATATAATATATATGTAATTCTGTAATAATAAATAATAATGTAATAATATACTATATATGTACAGGATGCCTTGATAAAGATTTGAATTAAATCGAAATGTTGGCAAAGATTCGAAGTCGTTTTCTTTCCAACAACCATTGACCAATATTCCCATCAACACCAATACAAACGCCACAATTATATTCAACGATCATCACAAGTTACATACTTTTTTCTATCCATTTTATAGTCAAAGATATTCAAACTCAAAAAGACAACAGAGTACGAGACCGCAATCAACATTAAAATAATTTATTACCAATTGAGGTTGATGTAGAAGGCCTGGATTTTTTTTATTTATTTTTTTTGGGGGGGGGGGGGGGTAAAATTAGGGACTTAGTTGAACACAAAAAAAAACAGTCCTGACATGTTTAGTTTATTTTTTGGCCAATTTAAATTACAGTCCCTAAGTGTTGGAGGGTTAAAACGTACACAACTGGCCAACCATCACTAAACTTGGCAAAATGGAAAGGAAAAAAAAAACAATAAGCAGACCACGATTGGTAACGGCCAAAATGTCAGGTTCTGCAGACCTCAAAAAGAATTGCCAAGACGAAGACTTTACTGGACCAGACCAGGATCTGAAATTACAAAATAAAACATTTTCCTACCTGTATAACTAATGTTCAAAACAAGACAGAAAATCTGTTGTTGAAAAATATTTAGTATTTGTAATTTCAGATAATGGTCTGCCTATCCTCGCTGTGTAAGTTTTTCATAGTTGTTTAACTGTTGGTGTGATACCCTCTTGAGGTCTACTTGGTCTACCTATTCTCGCTGTTTTGGATCAGAAATCTGAATGGATCAGAAAATGGAAAATAAAGTATTTTCCTACCCGTATATCTAATGTTCAAAGTCAAGAAATTACAGGTGAAAAAATGTTTTGCTTTGGTCATTCCCGATCCTGGCCTGTCTATAGGAGTTAGTGTATTATAAAAAATATTTAAGGTATGCATCCGACCAAACCAGCTACAATTGGTAGACCAGAATCGGAAATGGCCAAAATAATACATTTTTCTACATACATGTAATCAAGACAGAGGATTGTTGTATTTTTTTTTTTTTTTTTTTTGTGATTTCCAATCCTGGTCGTCTTCCTATGCTTATTTAGGTATTTCATCGATTTTCATGTTTGGTTTTTGTGTGATATCGCCTTGAAGTTTACTGGGTGGTGGGCCTGTAGTTTCATAATTTTTGGTCATTTTGGTCTGCCTAGTCTGTTATGGTCAGATACATGCTACCTTAACTGTCCTTTTATAAAGTACAAACCTAAACAACAAAAATATGCGGACCAGGATCAAAAATTACCAAAAAAACCTTTTCTACCTGTACTTCTATGTTCCAAAATCAAAACAATGTTTCCTTGTTTTTTGTTTTTCTTTTACCCAAGATCAAATACACCAATGTATTATAGTGTCATTTGTGAAAGATGTCAGTTGCATTGTTTTTAGACTTGAATCATTTTCAGTTTCTAATTTGATTTCATATTGAGATCGGCGGTGTGATGATCATGCACTTCGGTTGACTCCGATCGTTCTAGCCTGCCTTTCCTCCCAATACATAAAAATTGATCCGACCAAACAGGAATCACCATAGACAAGGTGGTAATAATCAAACGCTTCTCACAGAATACAACAGCAAGGATAGGCAGACTAGGGACCAAACTACAATAATACACCGGGAATACAAAAAAGCCAGAAAAAGAAATGGTTTGTGATTAACAATTAAACCTTTTGTTATACTAACTCTATTTTGTCACAATCAAGTTTAATTATTGCAAGATATGGCAAAATTAAAAGACATTTAGGTTAATATCGCTTTATTATCGTTTTTATCGTTTAATCTTCTCTTATTGTTGAAAATCAATGTTTTTTTTAATAGCGGTCGGTTTATCATGATGCTTGGAATACTGTGAAGTCATATTGGCAGAAATGTACAGATATGATTTGATTGTTGCAATGAAAACTCGCAGTATCTGAGAGAATTGTTTTGTGTAAATGCTATTGTTTTTTCTCTTTTTCTTTTTTTAATTGGGTATTGTATTTTTGTCGCTTCTGGCGTGGTTTTTGCGTGATTCTCAGTTTTGACCAAGGTGAAATGTAATAAAAAAAATTGTCTTCTCTGCAACTCACGACTCATTGTTCCAAGCGTGTACGTACAGTCCGGGAATTGGAAATGAACAGGCCAAATGTCTGCGATGAACAATTTTCTTTTGCTGGTCGAAGATAAATCGAAATGATTTTTTATTGGTTTTCAAACACGCATTTAAAAAAAAACTTTCAAGTATGTACAACAAACAAGAGATTTTGAGACGGTATAAATTGTCGGGTACTCACTTTCAAACATCAAGTCTTTCCTTTCCCGTCCTTTTTCATTTGTCCAGGTCTGATGGGACGAGACGAAAAACAAAAAAACAAATAGGCACTTTTAAAATAAATAAAAATCACTCGATATCACATCCTGTCACTTGGGTAGGTGAAGATTTCCCTTAAGACTTTTCCAAGGCGGATGGCATTTATTAAAGGTTCAGAGAGGACGTTCGTCGTGGGAAAGAGGTTTTCCGGGCATTTCTCGGGGAGTTTTCCTCGACGGTTTCGAGGATCGGAAAGAATTTTTTTTTACAAATGGGCTTTTTTTAGGATCTCCTAAGTGCTGAGCCCTTGTATCTTTTCTAGGACGGCGACCTGTCCGGGTCGAGGTGGGCTTTTCCCGGATCCCGGAGTTTTTTTCCGAGTTTTGGAGCTTTCAGTTTTCCGGCTGTCGTCGGGGAGGCTAGAAGGGGCGACTGAGAGATCCAATATGGCGCTCGGGCTCTCTACGGTTTTTATCTCTCGGAGAAAAGAGGCTTTAAAACCAAAACACCGATTTTCCACAAATCGATTATCGCCGTTATTTGGATCGTTTTGTACTTTTTTCACTCTTTTACTACAAATCAGTTTAAAAACTAAAAATATACAAAAATACGATTTGTACAAGGCGTGTATTTTCTGATTTGAAAAATTAAGAATGGACCATAATGGGGATTTTTTTCTTTCCGACATCAAATGCTGAAAACCCGGGAAAATATCAAATGAAAAAAACATCTAGGGTTTTTCTCTTTTCTATTAGCATCTCTCTATTAATTTAACATATCTTACAAAATTTAAAAATAAATACTAAAATAATCCAACATAATACATACCCTCAAAAGGTGTTCCATGTACACCTTATGTTTTTTTCCTTTTATTTATTACAACTGGCCTTGCTAGACCAACCATTATTTTGCAATGTTCTATGTACAATAAATAAATATTTACAAATTCTTATAAACCCATTGGTAAATAAGATACTTCACTATTCGCAAAATTAAAAACTATGCTAGTTCTGTTCAACCTTCTAACGTTGTTTCATTTGTGAGGAGTTTGGTCGCTTTTTCTCATGCTGGCCCAACCTGGACACAAAGGAATTTTGGGTAACAAAAAAGCAGACACATTGGCCAGAGGAGGATATGCAAGACCATATATAGGCCTTGAAGCTACTCATCTGATAAAAAAACCAAAGACATCACAGAATGAATATAAAAAAGACAAGTGGATTAACACTAGGGGTGCAAGACACGGTAAACGTATGCTAAAACAACCCTCACCAAGACTAGCAAACTCACTACTATAGTTAGAGAGGGAACTCAGAGAAATGATAGGACTATTTATCAGTCACTGACATCTGAGAAAACATCTACACAACATGGGCATATTTAATGAAGATCTCATTTTGCAGCAACTGCTCAATTGAGGCATAACCTCGGATTCGAAGGAAACCCCAAGAATGGAATTGTAGCAATGACTGTCATTGACCTCATACTCCTTAAAACAAAGATTGAATCGACAGATTGAACTGATGTACAATATGCCAGAAGGATGCAGTGCTTAGGGAAGATAAACCATCACTTCCTAGTCTACTCTCATCATCATCACTTCATACTGGCTGAGGCGAGGCTGATGTTTGGTAGCAAAATATTCTGCTGTGTCCTCTTAAGATAAGGGAACCAAAAGATAAGGTTTCATTTTGGAATGTTTCTACAATTTTGATATTATTGTGTTTGGTACAATCCCATAGTTGAATACCATATGTTCAAATAGGCTTAGGATTTGTCTGTATAACAATATTTTATTTTGTATAGATGGTTGGAGCTGCATCCTATCAGCCAGTATATCTTATACCTTAAACCTATTTCTGCCCTTTTTTATTCTGTGTTCTTTTGATCTCAGCTTGAATTCTAAGGTCATTTCCAGATATTTAACTGTATCACTGAATAATAGCATCTATGTGCAAGATGAAACATGGTCCAATTTTTTGTATTTATAATTTATTTGTATAAATTTATGCTGATTGAGCCTGATTCTCAATTTTATTTTACTTTTTTGGTCCATTTATTTATCCTGTTATACGCCTTTTGGAGGATTTTGGATGTATGGTTGATGCCCGGTCATACTGATATCACCGTTATGTCATCTGCAAACAGTGCAATTTTTGCTCATCTATTCTAGGAAAATCACTTATGTATAACAAGTAAAGTAATGGACTTAGTATGTTACCCTGTGGCACTCCATTTATTGTTTTTAGTTCTGTATATTGGTCTTCTTATTTGACTCTAAAATGCCTGTCAGGTAGGATATCTTCTTACTGCTTTGGTAGCATTCCTTTTCATTTATTGAGGAATCCTTCACGCCAGACCTTGTCAAAAGCCTGTGAGACATCAGAGAAGTATGGTATCATAGAGTTAGTTCCAGAATCAGCTGTTATTTCATACCTCAAAAGCAAAATATACTTAAAAAGGAAATAAATCAAAGCCACTACCAAAAACCATGGCTTTCTTATTTTCAAAAAACAAAAAATGAGTATTGACCAGATTGCAAGTAGGGCAAGTAGCACGTATACAGCAGAGAGACTCCCTAGTCTTGTGATGTGCAAGTAACATTGAAGTATGATCATTATTAAGCACTAAGCACAAAAATGCTCTTTGTAAAGTTATGTTGCTGATTGGGAGATAATGCAGGAATAAAAAAAAAGAAATTTTAACAATCAGCAAATTTATTAAATAAATTATCAATAGTTTCTAATTTTTTCCTGAAAAATGAGATGGTGAGGTTCAGGTGCCTCAGATCTCCCATACCAACTGTGAGCGTTTCTCTGGTCTGTATCTCTATTCTTGTAGGGTTGACACTTCCTTTTTCAAAAAAGATAGTTCTTACTCACTCATTGTTTTTTTCATTTTTACTTAATGAACTATCTGTTTTAAAAAAGGATTAACACCGCACTCACTCCAGCATTCACCATTTCTATGGGTTGACACATTTCTCCATCTTCAGTGGTTCATCTGTATGTTATTTTTATTTATTTTTTTAAATCAATTTACAGTAGAGTAAATAATCTATTTATTTCATTAATCATTACACTTGGTCTATGAGGTTATGAAAGTGAAATATGATCATCTTCAATTTATTCTGTCCTGTCTTTTCTTGTACTGTTCAGATAGTGTTGTCTGTGTGTTATTTTATTAATGATGCTTCTTTTTTTATTTTTAGTAACAAAATCGGCAGAGAGACATGGATCTGGGACAATCACCAATTTTATAAAACATTGTAATGAGGTTATGGAAGTGTAAAATGAAGCTTTCTGATTTATTTTGGTCTGTCTAGTCTCATGGGACTTATCACCATGTTGCTGGTCTGTGTTTATCAGTCCTTAAAAATTAAAAATACATTCAGACCTGAATGGTTTATGGATTTGTAAGCACTCCAGTTAGGTCTGTGAGTTGATCAATTCTTAGTATGATCATCTCTGAATTTTCATTACTGTAAGATTTTCCAACAGAGACATTTTCACAATATTGGGTAATTGGTCTGTTTTATTTTATCAAAATAAGTCTAGATGATACTGTGCAGTATGATCAGCTCTGATTTATTTTCCTGGTAGTTCTGTGTAACATTGCATTGTTTTTGTAAAATAGGATGAACCAGAATGCTACTTTGTCAAGCATATTTACTATTCCTCTTATGTGTGTTTTTTGTCTGTAAAACTGGATGACCTGGTAGATGGAGCTATTTTGTCAAGAATTGTGATGTGACCTGTCCACCTAATTCGAGTTTGTTTCATAGCCCTTTTCTAATTTTAAAATTTTCAAACTTCAAAAACCTTCGGTACGAAAAATCAAATCCTTTTATGCATACAAACAAAATTTAAAATTTTTGCATGCTCAAAGATTTGGATTATACTTTCAAGTTTGTAAGTTAAGTGTTGGTGGTAATTTAATGTGTGTAAGACTTATCTCCAGGTATTAACTTCTAATAAATTATTTAAATCTGAATGCAACTTTAATAATTTATTTTTAGTTTAAAAATCAATCAAATCGTTTCAAACTTTTTTCTTTCCAAAAAATATACTTGGAGGGGGAATGTAATGTTATTTTTTCAATGATTTGAAACCTTTTGTTTTTAAACAAATATTGAAAAACTTCATTGCGGGTCATAAAGGGTGGAATAAAGTAAATTGAAAAAAAGAAACAATATATTCTTTTTTTGCTTTTTTTTTTAACAAAAACATCTTTTTGTTGACCTCCTTTCTTTTCGTCCTTTCTTTACAGATATACAATATATATAAGACTTCACTTCCCACCAAAATGGGAGATTTAAAATTAATTTCTTTATATTAATTCTGAAAAACAAAAAATTATTTTCTCTCTTTCTATATATAATCTTTTATTTAAATTATGTACATATTATTTATATATAATATAATATTATATTATATATACAGTGCTTTTTTTTTCTTTTTGTCCTTAATTATTTATTTATATTATATATAATCTTGCCCAGTCCTTCAAAAACTGTAAAAATACATTGAATAGGACAAGCTTTTTTTTTAAATTACTTTTTAAGTTGGGACTATAAAAACATTAACAAAAGTTTAAAATTCAATTATGTACATTGTTTCTTTTTACGCTTGTGTCATTCTAGAGTGAGAACAATTTAACAACTATTTGGGCCTTTATTTTTATTTATATATTTTTTATTTGTTGCATTAAAAAATCTTAAAAAAAAAAAAAAAAAATAGGAATCTTAAGAACCTTTTCCTAGTGGTTCTTTGAAATATGGTTGACATTACAAGGTTATTATAATGAAAGGCAAACAAAATTAAGGAACTATATTGATTTTTATAGCATTTAATTTAATTAACTGCCATTTTTTTCAGACTTCACTTGCCGAATACACATTCGTAAAAAGAAAAAATAATCTATTTTCTCCCAAGTAAACATGTACTGTTTTTTTGACAAGAAAATTAAAAATTAAAGGCACTGACCAATTATCTCTTATGTTTCAATTAATTATTTTAATTTTTTTCTAATGATTAAAAAATACATTTATTGTTCAAGGGTAGAGGGAAGTGGAAAAGAGTCTGATAATTAAACAATTATTATTTATTTGCTTTCCTTCTCTCATTCTAGAAAATATTCCTTTTTTTAAATCTATTAATATATATATATAATATATTACACTTTTAATATGTATATATAAAATATATAATATATCAAATTGTATATTACATATTTATATATATATATTAGTTGATTTTTTTTTTCTGAAGAGTCACATTAGAAACCCTTTGTCTTAAGAAAAAAATAAGAAAAGACGTGGCAGGTTATACGGTAATAATATACAACTAGCTTCTCCCCAAAAGTCCTCAAAAGTCGCTCTCTACTTGACAGGTGCAGACTCCTTTGATGCCCTCCGCCTTCCTTTCGTCTCAATCTGAATTTCATCTAAAACATAAGAAAACGGTACTGTTTATATATTAAAACAAAAAAATTGCCAAATGGGATTATCAAATTCTGATACAGCGTCCCGAATTAATTGCCATTTTGACCCGAGCAATATTATCAAATGGTGAACCCAGATAACAAGGCATCTCTGGTCGAATCCTTTTATTTTTCTTATCTTCCTGAAAACCCTGCCAACCTTTCCACCTCTGACCTGACAAGTTTAAATCAGTCTGTATCAAACGATACTTTCTCACCATTTGACTTTTTTTTGTGATTTTTATTTGTTTTGTGTTATTGTTAGCTTTAAACCCCTTTTCTCTATCAGCATTTTTTTTTTCTTGAGAGATTTACGCATAGTCTGATCTGTCTCTGAAGTTCAATTTTTTTAAACCTTTATTTATTTATATTTCCAAAGTGGATTCTTTCATATAATTTATTTCTTTTTGATCCTCATACTGACATGATGGAAGATTTACAAAATGAAATGGTAAATCTTAAAAATTTATTACAGACAACTTCCACAAACGGACACTTCTAACAGATGTTTCTCATAACCGAGCAATTTTATTTTTTGTGGCATTTTTCCATTACAAAAAGAAGTAATACTAAAGCTGACCATTTATGATTGCTCCAATTGCTCGAACAGAACGGCACTGCTCCAAAAACCTATGTCAACAGCAATCCTGAATAGGTGTGGCATGAAGCACCGAATATTCAATCGGACTGAACTCCATTGTGTCACTCCAAACATTTTCTTGGTAAAACCAAGTAAGTAGTACTACTGCTTTTTTAAGTATATTTCTTAACATTTGCTTTGAAATGGGCTTCAGACTGGAAGATTTTTTGTTTTCCGGGCTTATTTTTAGGTTTTTTGCTTTTTAAAGTAAGCAAACAGCAGCATAACACAATAGATTTCTCTCCATTTTTGAGAAGTGAGCAATTCACAGGAAAACTGGACTGGAGCATTACTATGAAGCGGTCGTGAATGCCCCCTCAAATTTCATGCACGCCAAATGACCCAATACAATTCAGCATGATTCCATGGAACATCGTGCATGGTCAACTAAACCACCAAACATTTTAAAAAACAGATGACTATGTTTAAAAATTGTTTAATGAAAATGTCTATTACAAGTGGTTAATTAGAAATAAAAACAACTCATGAAATATGGCTTTTGTTTACTTGCAAACAGTAATGTTTGGAAATTCTCATACCCTGCACACCCTCTCTGCCTTTGGTTTCAGTTGCGTTTTGGATTGTGACAAACTGATTTTAGTGATGAATACAAAAACAAATTCTTTCTGTCAAAGAAAATGTCGAAGTTGTGGTCAAAATCATACAAATCCATGAGAAAGAGAAAATTAGTGTCTGTGTACATTCGTTCGAATTAATTTTTTCACTTTCACTTAATGTGTCTAATATTTTTTCTATATGTGGCCCCTCTGAGCGGGCAAAATCCTATCCCACGGGGTGGTGTCTGCTTATGGGACTGTATTATCAATTTAATTTTATTATAGAAGTACTTTTAGTAATTCACGACGTAATGGATGTATATTCACCTCCTTTCTTCTTCTTGTGCGTGATCCTTTTCACCTCCTGCCTGGCAGATCTCCTCCCTCCAGCTCTACACCTATTTGGACGTCGGAGAAGAGAAAAAAAAAGAAAAAATGGTATTTGTATAGAAAAAATAAAAACAAAAAGTGCCAGTGAGTAAAAAAAAGTAAAACAAAAAAGAAAGAAGGGTAAATCAAGAACAGGGGAGAAAGAGAAAATAATTTAAAAAGGATTATTTTTTTGTAAAAAAATTATGATTTGCTTAGGAATACGGGATATGCGGAAAAACCAACTTTTCTTCATCCTTTGTGGTCTGTGTTTGCTGCAGAGCTGATGTCGCCATAGCGCCCTTCTGCTTTGGTATGTCCTCTGCCATAACCCTTTTCTCTGGATCATCCTCCTCAGAAGAGTCAACTACAAACAAGAACAAACGTTGAAAGAAAGTTAAAATATGAAAGACTTAAAAAAAATTAAGTTCACTTATAGTTAAAATTTCTCATTATATGGTCAAACAAGTCATTAAATGAAATCTGAGTTCATATATTTATGAGTTATATGCTACTGTTAGAACATAGACATAATCATATATCCAACATTTATGTATGAACCATTAACAAGTATTTATGGTTTGAACTCCTTTTCATGAAATAGGAAATTCTAGAAATTCTAAACAATTTTATTTTAATACCTTTTCTAGATTTTGTTTTCATACAAGGCTCAGAATTATTCTGCGTTGGCTGCTCACTGTTAACACCCATATAGGCTTTGATTAATTCTGAAGCATTCTCTGAGCACTTCCGTTTTGATGACCTGAATTGTATAAAAAAAGATATATTAAAAAAATATGTATATTTTTTATGTATGCTTAATGAAATGTGAAATTTTTCATTGAGTAGAATCACCTAGTAGCAGGAGCATCATCATGCGAAGCTGTAGAGCTTTCAGATGCCTTGCGACTGCGCTTAGCAGGTGGGGATGTCGGAGGTTCAGGTACCACTGGTTCAGGACTCCTCGTACTTAACCTATTAAATAAAGTGTTAAAACCGATTAAGTTTCAATATGAGACTGGTTTTACCTGTGATTTCGCATGCTCCGTCCGGAAGTACGTCTATCCGCCGAATCGCCTGGGATTTCAATGAGGAGTTGTTCAAGAAGCGACTTGCCACTCGCTGAGTCCGACCTCGTTCTCGTAGAGGGATACTCTTCCCTTGATTTGAGCTGACAAAGATCAGGAGTCGGACTCTCCCTCTGCTTTTCAGGGTTAGAGTAGGTGTACAGTGCTGGCGTGAGACGGATGGGGACAGGGTCTTCCCCTCCGACCTCAAAATCCTCCTCGTCTCGTACTTCCTCCGTACTTTTCACCTCGTCCTTTTTACAATCGTCTTTCCTGGTTAAGAAAAGGAACAAATCGCAATGGATTTCTTAACCGAATTTCTATTAAATGGGAACAGACAGGGTGAGACAGTAAAAATGAAGTTTTCATATTGCCACAATTTAATTTGAGGGATTTTTAATACTTTCTCAAAATTAAAACGTCTTTGTATGTGCAAATTTTTTTCTGAAAAAATGAAAATTTACTATCAAAATTTTTGGCTTTTTTATAATACATCCATACTACTTTTTAGAGCTACTTTTGGTATTTTTTCTTAAATCATTGCTATTTTTATATAAACAAAACCTTAGACAACAATAAGAAATAATGTGATTAGTGCAAAAATTAAATTGAAGATTGATAAAATTGTATAGAATATAGCTTACTTTCTGTCAAACACTAATACTAAACTTAATAACTCAAATGTTTTTCACCTATTAAAAATTATTAGTATATTATATATTTGTAAAAGTCTGGCTACGCATTTCTACACTGCAACCAACATGAGTGCCGGCTGGGTATTTGACTACTGAGTATTGACCCCCCCCCAATCCCAAACCAACTGGTTAGCTTAATTTATTGTTATTTACAAGGGTAGGCACAATTAAAAATGATTGGAAACTGCCAAATTACAGATGAGAAACAATATAATTCTAATTATATAAAATTAAATAATAAAATTAAAGCAAATACAAAAACAAGTCAAAGGCAAAGATGTTGATACATGCTATTTTGTAGTAAATCAATTTCAAAAATAGGGAGAAGATAAAAGAGTAAAAATGAAGTCTAGCAGAAAGTGACATGACTGACAAGGGTCTATAAAAAAAATAAAATAGACTAATCAAGCTGGGTAGGGTGCAGGCTTGGTTTTATAGTGGTTTTTTCACTGTACAATGCCCAACACTTCATCAGGCACAGTGCTGAAATGTATAGCCAGACCTTAAAACCTAGTCGATTACTCACCGATTTGGTGAATCGCCTCGATTGGGCGATTTTTCAGAAAGTGCGTCCATACTTTCTATCCCAGAATCGTCCCCCGCTTTGTCCAGAGCGCCACCTGGGCCCTGGACTTTTTCACCCCCAGGAGGGGAAGGTTTTGCCGGATAAGGGGGTGTCATCTGTTTACTCTCGGGTGAATTGCTTTTATTCTGATATTCTTTCCTACCATTACCTAAAATTACAAAAGAAAGAGATTAATTAAGAAAGATTAGGGGCAGCTCACGAAATGAAAATACTCACTAATAAAATGACCTTCGGGATTAGCATCTTGCACAGGCGGCGTTTCTACCTCCTGCACTTTTTCTAAGGTCTTTTCCGGTTGTATTGAGTTGACCGTTGAACTCATTTTTACTATAGGTGCAGTTTTAAGCCCTGTTACTGTTTTAGAAGTGCTAAGTGCCCCTGAAGATGCTACTGAAATCATCTTCCTTCTTTTGTCCTCGAGCTGTAAAATTAAAGGCTTTTAAGCAAAGAAACATTAAATATTGGTAATGTTTAAATGTAAATAAAATAAATAAATAAATTTAAAAATTACAATTAAAAATTGTTAACCATGTTCACCTGAGGTCTGAGAGGAGTGAGGGATTTCCCATGGCCCCTTTTCCTCTTCTTCTCATCTGTTGTAACTTCAGGGACGGATCTGTAAGTAAATTTGTAAAATAAGAAGTGATAATAGCACAGAAAAAAATATTAACTAAAGAAAAGTTTATAACTGATGATTTAGTCATTTCTTTTTGTTTTAGTGCATATCAAACTTGCCTTAATATAGATGCGACCTCGGCCTCTGAAGGGTAACTGGAAATTGGCGGGATAACATTCGGGATAGGAGAAGTTTCAACTTTCCGCCTTGGCTTCCCCTCCCTTTTCCTTTCCCTACACCTTTAAAAGTAAGTAGAATTAATAAATTATAAGAGACGGTCGATAAATCTACTAATACAAACCTATTAACAACTGCAGCATTCCTCCCTCTCAGAGATATGTGAAGTGGGGGAACCCTGGGCTCTGAGTTAGGCGGTGTGGTAGGAGTCTGCTGCATTGCTGAAGCTGAGGCCGTATACCTTACATTAAATGGCCCACATTTGTCCACTTTGAGACGCAGTTTGAGCTTTTCAGCGGCACGCTCTTCCTGTGGGGAGCCCTCGCATTTACTAGGGCTTGGGGGAAATTCCAAAGGCACCGCTATAGGTGGGGGTGTCGGCACTGGTAATGGCACTGACACTGGCACGGGGAGGGAAACTGGCACTGGGACTGGTACCGGTGCCTGAGGTGGGCTTGGTACTGGTGGCACCCTGGTTTCCTCGACTGTCATCTCCGCCTCGCTTTCAGAACTTGAATCCGAGCTCATGGGCTCGAGCACACCAGTTAGAGGATTTATAAGGTATTGCCTTTTTTTACCACTCGAAGTCAGTTCCTCCTCACTCGGATCTTTCACCGCTTCCTAAAATATTTTTTAAAAATTGATTAAACATTTATTCTTTATTCAGCCATTATTGGCACACACATGGAGAAAGTTCATATTTTAATCTAATGACAACAAAAAATTAAATAATAACTAACAAGCTGAATGAATTGTTGAAATATAAGAAAAAATCAAGTAAATTACTTCTTTTATTTTGTTGACTTCTGGTTCAGGTGTTGAAAGCTGTTGAGCCAATGGCACCAAAGGCTGAGGCGGTAGTGGAGGAGGAGGCGGAGGCGGCGGCCTATGGTGGACTACAGCCTGTGGGCAGGGCTGAAACCTTTGTACGACCTGCTGCGCATTCTGTTGAGGCACTGCTTCTGTTTGCAGAAGGTTAACTAGAAGGGGGCTTTCGACTGGCTCTATCTTTGGATCGACAGTGGGCTGCTGTCCTGGATAAGGGGGAGGTGGATAGTGCTTCTGCTGTAGCTGTATCTGTGGCGCCACTTTCTGCACTTGTGGTGGTGTGGGTTGAAACGGTGCGAAGACGCGCTGGCCTTGCAGCTGTATCTGCGGGGCCGGAGGCCGAGCAGGTACGACGGGGGGTGGCCTGTTTGAAGGGCCAGGCACATCCTGTGCAACGGGGGGCTGCACCGGAGGACTGACTCGTATTGAGATGACTTCAGCAGGGCGCAGTTGAACCGAGAGGATCCCAAGGCGACCAAGGACCTCCCCTCCTCCTTGACCCGCCAGGCTTCGCAGCCTCTCAGCGGCATCCTGCCCCAGGCTGAACGTCACTCTCACTGAGTTCCAAGGCTCCACTTTTTTCACCCTCAGGTACCTCCTGTCTGAATCTGAAAACAACAATAACCTAACTAAATCTAATCTAGCTAATTAATTTTCAAAACCTATAATAAAAGGTTTTTCATAATATACTTAGTTTTAAGTAATAAAGGGGGCAACAAAAAAATTACAAAGCTGTTTTTTAAAATATTGTTAGTTGTTATTTATAATTGTTAGCAAAATTTCGCTAATATATCATTTCCTACTAATAACCTTTTTTATTTTTTCAAGTGTGAAAATTCAATTCTTCAAAAATAATATTAACCATTTCAATCCAACTGTTAAGCCTTTGGATTTTAATTTTAATCAGCTCCATTATCAAATTTATTCTCTGAATTGGTTGAGTGGGCTGAGAAATTGCACTCACCCCGGCATAACAGCTCCCGCAGGCTGTCTAAGATGTACTTGAACCTCTGTGGGAATTCAGGGTCCTTCAGGTCACCGATGCAGGTCACGACTGTCTCGACAGCATCTATTTTCTCGTTTTCTTCCATTTCTTTAAAGAACAATGAAGCAAGACTAGTTTTAATAACACAAATTCGATCGTTGGAACAATTCCACTAATATATTACTTACCAAATTACGTCATTTTTAATTGTCTTATTGCACATTTCCCTGTTTTTTACTTGTTTTGGGTTTTTTCAAAGTTTTTATAAGGTTTTATTATAATGTATGTTTCGTAGATATAAAACCTGAAAAAGAAAGATACGATTTTTTTGAATTTCTCTCGTTTATATCATCCTTTATATTTTCAATTTCTATTGTTCTTAAGAAATAGAAAAAAACAAACAACAAAATGCTTGCCGAGAAAGACCACTGGACATTTGGGAGTTTTTGTTTTATATTAACGAAATAAGTAGTTTGCTTCTGGTTCATATTGGATTGTACACTGTTATTGTACACCTAGCAAACCCCCAAGAAGAAATCTTACTGAATATAACACTAATCTACTTTGAAGAAACGAGAAAAAACTTTAATGAATATAAAATTTTACAGTGAAATCACAGTTTATTTCAGAGCTTCAAATATAAGTTTCTAGACTTTTAATTAATACTTTAACCCTGGGGATAATATATTAATAAAAAGCTTTTAAAAACCTTTTATGCAAGACACGGGTTTGAAAATAAAGTTTAAAAAAAACAAAAACATGGTCCCATTTCAAGCCAAAATGGGAGATTAATTTTAAAAAAAAATAAGAATCAATTCAAGTAGCCAAACCAAAAACATTTTTTCAATGCAGGTAAAGTACTTTTTAGACTACAAACACTTTAAAATTTCAAAGCAAAACTTAAAAACTTGTTATTATGACCAATAAAGGGAATATTAAAGAGATTTTTGTGTACTTTTGACCAAAATAGGGCACTGTGAAATTGAAATTTTTTCTACTATTTTGAGTGACCAACCCATCAAAACATTTACTCTAGGGATTAGGATGGTTACAGCTTGAAAAACAAAATAGAAAAAAATGTGAGCCAATAAAGGTTTGAAAATGAAGTAAATAAAATGGGGATAACTTTTTTTCACTCACAAACAATATAAGATGATTTTGCTTTTTGATTTTACTCATTACCTAAAAGCATTAAAAGTGTGAAAGCACGCAGGGTATATTAAAGAAAGAGAAAAAAAACTACTTTTGTCCAAAATGAGAGAGAGAGCAATGAATTTGTGAATTTGAAAAAAAAACTTTCAAGTGATGGATCCACCAAAAACAATCACCTTGTTGCCATATCAAAACTTACAATAATGAAGGTAATGTACTTCACTGTTAGAAACGATTTGAAACAAAATGGGTAAAAAAAGTAGATCGATAAATGCCTAAAAAAATACAATAAATGGGGGAAAAATTACCTGATCAAAATTGGTGATTTGTAAATATATAAAAAAAAAGAAATAAAATTTAAAAAAAAATGAATTGAAGTTTCCAACATCAAAACCTTCAATTAATAATATAATTAAAGTGTTCAATTGCTAAAAACAGTTTTAAAATTTTAAAACAAATCAAAAAACTTATAGTCTGCTAAACGTGTAGAATAAAAAAAGGCATTTTAACATTTTTATTTCCGGTCAAAATGAGAGATTTGGTGAATTTGAAAAAATGTAAATTTTCGTATAATAAACCCATTAAAACTCATCAATAATGCAGAGAATGTACTTCAATAGTTAGAAGAACAATAAAACAGAACATTTGTGTTATGGGCCCATAAAGGTTTGAAAAGAAAAAGTAAATAAATAAGGGGAAAATATGCTTTTATGACCGAAATGGGAGATTTGTGAAAGAGAAAAAAAATTGTATTATTCGCGTGATGAACCAATAAAAACCACTGATAATGTACGTAAGTGTTCGCTAGGTAAAAATGATAGTTTTTAAATCAAAACAAAAACATGGTATGGGCCAATAGAGGTTTGTAAATAAAGTAAAATAATTTTTTTTTACATGTGAATTTGAATTCAAGTAGCCAAGACATCAAATCTTCAATAATGTAAATAATGTTCAATAGATAAAAACAGTTTAAAAGCAAACCGAAAAAACTTATTATGGATAAATAAAGTGCAAAATACTTGGAAAAGAGCAATATGATCTTTTTAATTCTTGCCAAAAGGGAGATTTACCAAATTGAAAGAAAAAATTGAATCTTTTGATTGATCAACCCATCAGAAACTTGAATGATAGTCAGATACAATTTACAACTTGAAAAACAAAATGTTGTAGGCCAATAACCGTTTGAAAAAATAAATAAATAAATAAAATTGGGAAGAAATTAAATTGAAAAAATTTTAATTTCTAGTAAACCCAACTAAACGTTAAATAATGTAGGCAATATGCTCACTAAATAGAACAGATTTAAAGTTTCAAATTAAAACGAAAAAATTTGTTATTATAGGCCAGTAAAGCAGAAGAAAAGAAGAAGAAAAAGAAAGTAAAAGTGTTGTGGCTCACAAGGAACTAAAACCAATTCTCATAACTAGGTTTTGTTCTAGGGATATCATAACGATCTCTATTGATTTCAGGAGAAGGGGTAGTCGACATAACCTCTACATAGCGAGTGCCTACCTACCCCACGATGAGGACTGTCCAACCGAGATAGTCAGGGAACTCACAACATATTGTGAGGATAATAATATAGGACTTATACTGGGCTGTGATGTAAATGCACATAACATAGCATGGGGCAGCTCAGNAGGTATGCTAGGGAAAGATTTAATACTTTCGAAGGAGAGGACATAACCAAAACACTCCCCAGGATAAAATGGTCCACAATCCTGGGGTTTGTGAATAGGTCCAATAGGTTTATACAGGACTCGTGAGCCGACCAGGTCCCGGACCTTCTAGGGATGGGGTACGGGCCTACTCAGGCTTTTAACCCCTCGGGTCCTGGTCGCCCGCCCTGTGTAATATATAAGTAAAAGCGAAAACAAATCATAGTACTTTTATTTTTAAAAAAAAGTTTTTTTTTATCTACAAACAATGTGGTTTTAAATTTTGAGTTTTATTTATAAACAATTCTTTTCTTTCTTTCCAAAAGTAAAAATAAAGGGGGAATAAAGGTATAAAAATTAAGTTAAGTTTAAGTTTTTTTAAAATCCAGAAATTATAATATATACAGTTTAAAAATGCCAAAGCACACAGAAAAAAATTGTTTTCCCCATATTATAAATGAGCCAATAAAGAGTAAAATAAAGGGGGGAAGCAATACGATCTTTCAAAAAGGGAGATTTAAAGAAATTGAAAAACATTTAATTTTTCAAGTGATGAACACATCAATCAGGTACAAAAAGCTAAAAACAGTTTAAAAAAAAAAGGCTAGAAAAGTAGAATAAAGGAGAAAATCAGAAAATTGAATTATTAATTAATAAAATTGAATTTGATTTTTTTAAATGCTCCGAATGATCAATCAAATTGATCAAAACTTTCTACGATGTGGTTTTAAATTTTGACATATAGACACACATTTTATTTGTAAATAATTATTTCTCAAATAAATAAATAAATAAAATAAAAATAAATAAAGAGCGAAAAGTTTGAAAATTAAGTTTTAAACAAATCCAGAAATTAGAAGGGACAGTGTAAAAATTTCAAAGCAGACCGAAAAAAAAACTGTTTTGACCATAAATAGTAAAATACACGGGGAAAAAGCACTACGATCTTTTCAAAAAAAGAGATAAATCGATTCAATTTAAAGAAATTGAAAAAAAAATCTAATGATGAATCCATCAATCAAGTACGTAAAGTTAAAAAAAAGTTAAAAATTCAAAGCAAAAAAAAAAATTGACCATAATTAATAGCATATATAGGGAAAAGCAATACGATCTTTTCAAAAAGAGAGATTATATCGATTCAATTTAAAGAAATTGAAAAAAAATTCGAATTATCAATCCATCAATCAAGTACGTAAAGCTAAAAAACAGTTAAAAATTTCAAAGCAAACTGAAAATAAAATTGTAGAGCCAGTAAAGTGTACAATAAAGGAGAAAATCAGAAATTTTAATTATTAGTTAATAAAACTGAATTTGATTTTTTTAAACCCTCGGAATGACCAATCAAATCGATCAAAAACTTCTACAATGTTGTTTTACATTTTGACAATAAAGTTTTATTTGTAAGCAATTCTTTCTAAATAAAAATAAAGGTATGAAAATTAAGTTTTTAAAAAATCCACAAATTGGGAGAAACAGTTTAAAAACTTCAAAGCAAAATGAAAAAAAAAAGTTTTGATCATAAATAGTAAAATACTTCAAATCATGTAAAAACTGTTAAAAATTTCAAAGAAAAAAATTGACCGTAAATAGTAAAATATATGGGGAAAAAGCAATACGATTTTTTCAAAAGGAGAGATTTAAAGAAATTGAAAGAAAAAAAAAATTCGAACGATGAACCCATCAATAATGTACGTAAGACCAAAAATAGTTAACAATTTGAAACAAACTGAAAAAAATTATAGTGCCAGAAAAGTGTAGAATAAAGGAAAAAATCAGTAAAATTAGTTTATTAATTAATAAAACTGAAGATATGGTGAATTTGATTTTTTTAATTCATCTAATGACTAATCAAATCGATCAAAAACCTCCAACCACTCATCTGTTTTTAAATTTTGACAATACTGTTTTAATTGTAAACGCCCCTTTCATGAAACACCCATGCACAAGCTGAGAGACCTAAATAAATAAAATGTATATTTTTAATGAAATATGTATTCAATGGGATCATACTATTTTATTTTCGTCAAAACAATACATTAATCACAATGACGTGATCGGACTAAAGCACTGTCCAAATAAATGACAATTTTATCACGAGATACGTTTACAACAAATGGAGAGAAAAAAAAACCATTAATTTCTTTACATTTTATGAAATTCTGAAACTATCTTGAATGAATTTAAGGTATTTACTTTTTACGCCCTTGGAAGTCAGTTTTCTTTCTTCTTTGTTTCTCTACCTTGTTCTTTTTTTAAATTGTCAATATTGACTTCTTTTTTTAAATGTGAATTGACATATTAAATTTGTATCCACGTTATACTAAATTTAATAGTGCTTGCAAATTTTGAAACTACGCCGGAAAGATTTAAGGTTCTGATATGGAGGAAAAGGATTAACTTTTAAATTTTTTAAAAACGGATTTTTATGGGGGTTTTTCAACATAATTATTTAGTCTCGTTTTAGATAATGGCAAAGGTATAAAGGGTCTGTTTGAAAACGTTTTTTCAATTTTCGAACAATAATTATTAGATTTTTATTCTAGTTCTGGTGCCAAGTCGATCAGTTTGTAAGGAAATTATTTGTTTTGTTTATTTATTTATTTTATTTTTGTTTAAAAAAATAAATAAGAGAAGTTTTAGCCGATGTAAAGGGTTATTGTTGAATTGTTGTTTTCAATCGCCTGTTTACTGTTTTTTTTAAACAAAATCCCAAAATTTTGCCCCCTCCAAAAAATTGGAAAAAAGGAACGCATCAACGCGGCGGCCGGATAGGAAATCCGGACAAGCGGCCGGGATGGTCATTTCGAAAACGTGGAAATGATGAACGGCGTACAGACTCGTCCGACCGTGGACGTACTGGGCGAAAAGGGCTTTTTTATTTATTAAAAAAGGGCTAGGCTGTACACGGCATTGGCCCGAGTCGGCCATCTTGGAATCGCGCTACGCGACTTCCTTACGTTCTCGTAGTCGTCCCTAAATCCCTTCGATCTAGACGCAAAAAGAACCCTTCGGTTTGAGGAGAAAAAAGGGCCAGGGTTGAAATAAAACTGTTTACCTCGTTCTTCTTCTCGAGAGCCACCCCCGGCCAGGGGGGGAATGTGCGGGTCGTCTTCTCAAACACTCACATCACAAGGGTTTTACTATCACGGGCTAATACCGGATTTACACTGTTTTGTCGGCGAAATCACTCGTCGGTCAAGTTCCTCTCGAAAATGAAACTCCTCCCTCGGTGAAGCGGGACGCGATCAAACTCAAATTCCAACGGAAAGGTATTCGCGATAAAATATCCGACGTCGATCGGAGGGAATCAAAACATATCCTCCATTACTGCCGTCGGACGTCTTTCGCCGGGGAGGGGGCGCAGGCTGGCCAACGTGAAGGCGAACCATTTACAGATGGCGGGAAATTCGACTTGGACGAAACCGAAACGGATCCCGGCCGCCTTCCTTTTACAGATGACAAATTCTAGTTATTTCAAACAATAACAGACGACACACTTTTTATTTCTATTTACACGCAACATCTGCCCTATTTGACAATGACCGTACTTTATATAAATGACCGTTAAACGATTTTCATATGAAATGTTACTTAAACTCCCTTTAAATAGTGACACTTTTTACCTTTCCTTAAGTCATAAGAACTTAATATCAATAAAATGAAACCTGACAATTGCGTTTGATTTGTTTTATATTTCTGTTATTTCATTATTGTATGTATATTATTCTGGCTTTCACCCAGAAGGGTTGTAAGGTCCCCGATGTGCTGACCTTAGTGTCTATAAATCTCTTACCTTTAAGCCAGATGCCTGGGAGATCGTCGCTTCCTACCGGTTAGGCTCCTACGGAGGCCATAAAGATAGGTCATTTCGCTCTAAACGCGTGCAAACTATAATCTAGCCTAGTACTAGTTAAATTAGACGTCAGTCGCACAAATATATCCGTGTATTACACTCATTCTGATTAGTCGGTGAAGTACTGGATATTCTTCCATCCATCTATACACTGTAAAATCTAACCTAATTAGGGTCGATGAGGTGCTTTAATATTAATATAAACTCTGCCATCGCCCCTAAACGCACACACACTACTGGAAGGGAAATGATGATATTTGACCATTACCTCACCAGTGCGTCCCAGGAAAGGGACACCTTGCAAGAAAAGGGATTGCTATACCTCTGATAGGACCCGAACCCTTCTTTCGTATAGGAACCCACACTATCAATGAGCACCTCAGACAGAAGGAAAATGAGGGTACAATAGAACTCACTCATTGGACATAGACAATCCTTCCTAATAAATTTTGGAATGAAAGAAGTAACAGAACGTATCCAAGGGAAGCAAGAAAAACTGCGAATCCTTACAGGATTCTTAACAGGACACTGAAAAACTAAATGAATATTAAAAAAAGATTGGCATAACTCAACACGGCACATGCAGATTCTGCAAGGAAGCAGAGGTGACACCAATACACCTATTAACAAACTGTGGCGCTACATTTGCCCGCAGGAGGAAGTGCTATGGGATGTACAATGTAACCGTAGAAGAAATTCAACTAGGGTATAGCTCTTAAAAGGGCGCAGTATGAAATGCACCCCGACTAATCATCTACACCACCGATCACTACTCACACTAATAAATACACGTACTCAAACAAAACACAAAATCATAACTATACACAATTAAATACTCCCATGTCCATTGAAAAACGGAACGGGGAAGTTTTTTTGTACCTGTACCTATCCGTATAAACTAAACTATATATATATAAAACAGTTCGTGACTGACTGACAGACAACACACAGACCAAACCGTTGGATCTAAAGGGCTGAAATTTCGACAGTGCAATCCTATAATGACATTGATAGCGGCTAACGATGTTTTCTTACATTTCGACCTCAACCTATGATTTTTTGCATTTTGAAGAACGAAGTCTGAAAGACTTAAATATGTACCATAGTGGCACTTTTTTAAAATAAACTGTTACAAAATATTAATGACTGACGACCTCTGCGTTGACTCACCTGAGGAAGGATTAAAATAAAACCGAAACGTTTTGGATTGAAGAAAAACTGGTTGTTGTTTTTTCGAGATGACCTATTATCCCACCTTCGAGAAGGAAAAATCATAAGATAGGGGCTAAGAAAGGATTTTTGGAAATTCCATCCCTATATGTACTAGCACTTTCATCCCATTAGAAAGGTACTTTAAAACAGAGTCCCGCCTAGACGAAGTCGCGGGTAAAATCACAACACGAAACTCGTACAGGAAAATACTTTTATTACGAACTAATCGAGGAACTATCGATTATTCTGTATGTATATTATTCAGTTTTATTTTGCATTACAGTTTTCTTTTCTTTTCATTTTTTTTACAGATCGTTTTTCACATTTTGATCTTTTGTGTATTGATGGAACTTATAAGATTCGTAAATAAAAGAGAGGCCTTGTAAAACGTACAGTTTTATTCTTTAAATTGACTATTGTTGTCGTTGGATCTGATGGTACTCAGGTATGGCCGCCGGCGCGGTAGACGAATCGATATCCCGTACGCCGTTTGAACATCATCTAGGTTAAGTTGAAGTGAAGTCAGGGTTCTCGAATCTCGTCTGTCTCCTAGTCCGGTTGTCGAACCCGCTCCGTTCTCCAGGAAGAAAAAGGCGTTGTTTTTTCTTCCCCCGACAGGCGACGAGGGGGAAATTAAAGGCAGAGTCTCGTTTTTAATCTCGGTTTGTAGAAAGATCGCGTCGGCCCTGTGGGCATGGGCCAGGAGGAAATACCAACAGATATCCCGTTAAAGGAAAGTGCCATTTTGTCCCTGTTTGCGGTACTCGAAAGGCCGACGGCGAAACGCGATGGGTTTCTAGTTATGGGTCGCGATCCAAAGCTCGCCGGCCAGTTGTCTATGCGACGAACCTTCTGCCTTTAATTCCTGCTGATGGTCGAGAAAAAAGTCCCTGTCGAAAAGGGAAAAGGAAAATATGAAGCCAAGGAATTTTGTAAGTTTGTGTTATTTTTTAATCTATTATTATTAAATTGACTATGAAATATTTTCAAATATAGTATGTATTAGCATCTTACATCTATCACACACACTCATAGCTTCAAAAAGTTTACAACTCCATCCTACATTAAATTAAAAAAAATCATATGAATTTAATTCTCTTAAACAAAATCTAATAGTTTCGATGATTTCATTGAACAACCATACTGCTATTTTAAGCTTTATATCATTCAAATAAAGAACAGATAAATGTTTTGAATAATTTTTTACATGTGTTATGGCCTAAGATTTATTGTGCATTTATATTAAAAAAGTCTCGTTTTTCTTCTTAGCTTATTGATCCTGCTGCTAATTAGGGTAAAGGTTTCAATAATTCAAAACTTTATCTGTTGAGCTTGTTTTTCAAGTATTGTAAGAAATCAGGTTTGATACGCCAGACTGTTTAAGCATTTCATGTCCTTTTCTTAGAATTTCTCGTATGAAATATCTGATGAACTTCTGCTTGTTCTCCCTTGAAAAACCTCTGAAGATGTCTAAATGCGGAAATGCATTTTGTCAGATCGAACTAGCAAGAACATTTGGGCCAGGATGTAACCTGTAGCTCTATTGTTTCATATCCACCAACGCAATATTATTCTTGCTAGTTTTTGCCATTATACAAACTTATAATTTGATTTCCTATTTTTCGTGGTCCGCTTGACCAATTAATATCATTCAATTAATTAAGGTTAATAATTGAGATAAAACAGGCAGTGTCACGAGCAGGATTCGAACCCACGACCTTCGGCTAGATATACCGCTGCTCTACCACTTGAGCTGTCGTGACTTCAATCCAGTGGGACACTAAAATCCCATCTGAACCTCACCTTTTGAATTTTCCCTCCTTTTTGCCATTTTTCAATTGTCATGTAATCTATTTGGTTCTCGGGTGACAAATGAAATGGCGACGGAGAGCTTTAGTGAAGTATACTTCATTTTAATTCATTAAATTCACTATTTTTCATGGTCCGCTTGACCAATTAATATCATTCAATTAATTAAGGTTTTTAGTTGAGATAAAAGTCAGTGTCACGAGCGGGTGAGGTTGAGATGGGATTTTAGTGTTCGAGTGGATCATGATAGCTCAATTGGTAGAGCAGTGGCGTATCTAGCCGAAGGTCGTGGGTTTGAATCCCGCTCGTGACGCTGACTTTTTTATCTCAATTAAAAACCTTAATTAATTGACTTATAATTTGATAAAAACAACAAATTAAAATCACTACAGATGGCAAAGCAGTGAATTTGCTGCTTATTCTCCCTCGTTTTCTCCTTTTTTCAAACTTATAATAGATCTATAATGAAGATCTATAATGTTTGGACCGGATGAACCTGTATGTCATTCTGTAGCTTGTTGTCTCGAATGAACCAAATCATCATTATTCTCGCTAGCTATAAACTGATTAAAACAATAAAAACAACACACGTTAATACTGAAGATGGAAAAACACTTGAAACGTGTCTGATAAATACAGGTGGATCAGGAGGATTATCACAGATGGTAAGACGGCAGTATAATTGTGAAATGTTGGTTTGAGGTCTGCATATTTGTCAACCTGTTGCTTGATCATCTTTGATTGTCCTGACCACCTGTTATTGTTGGACTGTGTGACTTATTTTGTCAATTTTTGTGGTTTCATAAGGTGAAAACAGTGTTCGACCGACTAAACCAGCGATAATAGGCAAATTAAACCAATTTGAGATGATAAAACAGTAATATTAAAAAAAAAGTATTGACTTCTGTGACATGATAGACCTGTTGCTTGATCATCTGATAATCCTGCTCACCTACTCTTGTTGGCCATCTGGTCTAGGTTGCTCAGTAAATAAGGCAGATCAGGATTATTGGAAATGACCAAACTGCAATATTATTGTAGAATATTATATTGTCATCTGTGAGGTGATCAACCTGTTGCTTGGATCATTTATGATCAACCTGCTCATATATTCTATTCTGTATGATGTTGTCCTTTTTTGATGTTTTATAAAATGAAGACAATGTTTGAAAGAATAAAGCAGCAAAACAAGGCAAAGTACAATCAGAGTTGATCAAACTGCAATATTATTGTAAAATATTGTGTTGAGGTCAGTGAGATGGTGAACTTGCTGTTTGATATCTCTGATTAAACATTGGCCTTTATGGCCTAGATTGGCCATTTTTTGATGTTTTATAAAATGAAACCTGACAGACTAAACCAGTGAAATAAGGCCTATTAAGTCATCGGATGGCTATGTTATGAAATAGTATGTTATTATGTTGAGGTGTGTGAACAAGTGTTAGGACTACCCGTACAAGTTCACTAGAAACTCAGCTAAACCTCCTCTGGAAACAGTCATCAAGAAGAAGCTAGGAAAAGCTCATTTAAGCTCCAAAAACGATTAAATGAAATGGAAACTAAACACTTCAGGCACACTACCATAATTAATAAAATCAGACACCCATTCTTAGAAAGGGGACTGACGATCCCGGAAACATTCTTTACATCCTATAAAGTCTCAATAGACTATAAAGAAGAGGAAAAACTCGGGAGAGCATCAGGTACAAGGATGAGGTGTACACAGATGGCTCAAAATCAAACGAAGGAACCGGTTGTGAATACTTGTGCTGTGTAAAATCTTAAAAGGGATTACACTGGTTAAAAAAAAAAAAATCAGATAGCCAAGCAGCTATTAAAGCATTAGCATATAAAAAATCACATCATAACTAGTCAGTGAATGCATCCAAAATCCCAAAACCTGAGGAAACAAAACACTCTGATGATTTTCTTGGGTGCCAGGACTCAAAGGAATTTTGGGTAATGAAAAAAATGAAAAAGCAGACACACTGGCCAGAGGAGGATCTGCAAGATCTTATAAAGGCCCTGAACCTATTCTTGGAATAATAAAAAGAAACACAGAATCCTCTATTACAGAATGGATCCAAAAAAGACAAAGTGGATAAACTCTAGGGGCATTGGACGCAGTAAAGTTATATTAAAACAACCCTCCCCAAGACTGGCAAACTCACTGCTGCGATTGAAGAGGGGAAGACTCAAAGGAGTGATAGGACTATTAGCCGGTCACTGGCATCTGGGAAAACCTCTACATAACATGGACATATTCAACGGTGATCCCATTTGCACATTATGCAATGAGCAGTAAGAACAGCCACCTGTAGCATCTTCGGTTTCGAAGCAACGGCTCAATGGAGATAACCTAACATACAAAAATACCCGGGGATGAAATTGTAACAGTGATAGTCAATGACCTAATACTTCTGAGAAGAAAGATTGAATCGATTGCACTGAACTAGGGAACTAGGAAGGCACAATAAGCCAGAAGGCTGCAGTGCCTGGGGAGCATAAACCCTGCTTCCTAGTATCAATCACCTATTATTATTGATTTGTATGGCCTATTTTTATTTTTTTACATTTACATTTTATAAAATGAAAATCGTGTCTGATGAACCAAACCAGTGAGAATAGGCAGATCAGGATTATTAGAGATGATCAAACTGCAATATTATTGCAAAATATTATATTGTGATCTGTGATACACCTGTTCTTCATTCATCTTAGATCCCTGACCAAGACACCAAGTCTTGTTGGTATGTATAACATGTACAGTATATCTTGTTTTTTCTTTTAATAAAAAAAATAAATAAATGTGGTTTGCTAAGTGATGAACCTGATGATTGATAATCTCAGATCAACTTGATTGACTATATTCTCACTCAAACATCTTTAGTGTTCATCACAGACAAACTTCTGAAGATGGCAAAACACAAAAACACGTATGACAAGTAAAACTAGCAAGAATATATGTACAAATTTGGTCGGATGAAGCTGCAGTATTATTGTGAATCTTAGTGAAGAGTTCTCTGTGACGGAAGTTGGTCTGTGTGTTACTAGGTCAATTATATCGTATTGTAATTTGCAAGAAGTTTTAACCCATATCTTAATAGTCTCTGATCATCCTGGTCACCCATATTTGTTGGTTTAGTCTATCGTAAAAGTTTCATCATCTGTCAGTGATATGAGTGACATAGTGTTTGTTGAGGTAATGGACGACTAAAGCTATAAAATTTATTGCTGGTAATGTTATTCTTCAAGCAGTTGCTGTCAAAATTTAAATAAAATAAACTAAAGAAATTGGGTGATGAAGCATCTGACAGTTTGTATCTTAAACTTATATAAACATTAACAAAGCATTTTAAAAAAATACAGTTCAAGCTCATGTCATCTAGACAATCCTATCTTCAGTTCAGATCAACCAGTTTAAGTGATAGGCTTCGTAGTCATGATGATCCTTTTTAAACGTAACATATATGGTTTTTTTTTAAATTTGACATCATGTTATTTTTACTTTATCGTCTGTTTTTTCTTTCAGGATTCAAATGACAACTTTAAGGTCTCCAAATCCAACATCTGGAGTCGCGAGCTCCGAAATCGATTTGTCCTGAGCTCAGGGAAACGGAGCATCACATTCCAAAGTATCAATGGCCAACCGAAGCGTAACATCAGAAGCTGCAGGATATCAGTCCTTGCAGCTAGGACGCCATCTTCCTCCGAAGATGAAGAAACGGAGATTTATGAGAAGCGGAGAACACAAAATAAAATGTGTGATCGAAAAGAAATAGGGAATGTTGATACTTCTAACAGTAAGTGCTTATTTTTATTTTCATGGAAAAAAATTAAAGTATGAATTGGTTTGTGGTGTTCAGGCGGAAGCAATATTAGGGGATGCAGGATATCTGTTTTAGCACGAAGCGGGCGCCACTATTTGTCGGAAGATGAAGATGAAGAACCCATGTTTACTCCTCCTCCACACAGCCTGCGAAAGCGCCACTGTTCAACTAAAGAAAATCTGGCTTCTTCATCTCGTGAAGGTATTAATTTATTTTCAACAAAATGTTAATATTAAAAATGTGTAACTTTATTTATTTACTTCTTTTTTTTTTAAAGATGGAATTCGTAGGAGTCAGAGACAGCGCAAGCTAAAATATGAAAACTGTAATGATTCATGGATATTTGGATCGCAGTCTCTTAAAGGGTATCCTAGCTTGACTGAGAACAAAAAAGAACAACCTTTAGAGGAAGAGGAAGAAGAAGAGGAAGAGGAGGAGGAAGAAGAAGAAGAAGAGGAGGAGGAGAATGTCAATGAAGAAAATAACCAAAGTAAAGAGAAGGCTTCATCGAAGCAAGAGGCAGGGATGAAGAAAGAAGCAGACAAAAAAGAAGGCTCTTCTGATGAAGGCGATGAGAACGAGGACAATTATCAAGATATGTACGCACGTGTGAAACAGCGCAGGCGTCAACAAAAGAACTCAGATTCAACAGGCTCTTCTGCGGACGATGAAGCTGTTTCCAAGAGAAGAATAAGGACGAGGAGTGGGAAACAAAGGCAAGAGAAAATTAAATACCAGCTTAGAAAAACTAAGCCCACAGTTGAACGGTTTCAAATTGCAGGTGAGTTAATAAATTTTTTAGAAGAATCTGATTCACAATGATAAAATTCTTCTATATTTTTATTCCTTGATTTTTTTTTATTTACTGTACTTATTGTTGCACTGTTCTTTTCTTAACTTATGACAATTTATTATTCATGAAATCTTGCGTAATAAATAATTAAAATGTAATTGATGCTTTTTTTAATTCAGAGCCATCGTCAAGAAGGCAAGTTCTACGGGAAGTATTTGCACGGAAAATTCACAGGAAAAGGAGAAGGTCTTCTTCTAGTTCTTCATCTTCAGATGGTCATTATGATCGTAATCGAGATCGAGAACGTGATCGGGACCGTGACCGTGATCGTGATAGAGATAGGAAAAGGTCCAGAAACAGGTCAGGTTCAGTTTAAGCCTTCGCATTCGATTTCGACTATTTTGTTTAAATCAAATTTAAATGTTTTAAATTTAGATTGGAACTAGCCGGCGGAAACAGTAAATCAAACACAGGAAAACTCGCTGATGTGGACCCAATCTCTCTAGATCATTCGATCCGTTTTAGTAATATCGGCGGCCTGGAGAAACATGTGTCTTGCTTAAAGGAAATGATCCTGTTCCCGATTTTGTACCCAGAAATATTCTCTAGATTCGGCGTAGTACCGCCGAAAGGTGTGTTGTTTCACGGCCCACCAGGTACTGGTAAAACACTGATGGCAAGGGCACTTGCGAACGAATGTTCCATAGGAGAACGAAAAGTGTCATTCTTTATGCGGAAAGGGGCAGACTGTTTGAGTAAATGGGTCGGTGAATCGGAACGACAGCTCAGAATATTATTCCAAGAGGTAAATATTTCAGTTTTAAGTTTAATTTTAATTTGAGTATATTTTTATATTTTATTTTCTCCCACAGGCTCATGAAGGTAGACCTTCGATAATCTTTTTTGATGAACTTGACGGTTTGGCTCCTGTTAGGTCTTCTAAACAAGATCAGATTCATGCCAGCATTGTTTGCACCCTGCTTGCACTTATGGACGGTCTTGATAACCGGGGTGATATAATCGTTATTGGTGCAACAAACCGTATCGATTCAATCGATCCCGCATTGCGACGTCCTGGGCGTTTCGATAGGGAACTCCATTTTCCCCTTCCAGGCGTTAAAGAGAGGCGGGAGATCCTCGGAATCCACGCCAAATCGTGGGCAGATGCTGGTGTTTTGAACAAGATGGCAGAAACGACTGCGGGGTACTGCGGTTCAGACCTCAAAGCGCTCTGTACAGAAGCGGTTATCCAGTCGCTCAAGAGAGTTTACCCACAGATTTATAACTCGAGCAAGAAACTTCTTCTCGATCACAATAAAGTCAAGGTTAGTTTTGTGTTTTTACACTAAACTACAAATCTAAATAGACAAACATTAAATGATTTGTAATTTGGTTTTAGGTCTCAAAAATTGATTTTGAACGAGCACAGCGTAGTATAGTCCCAGCGGCACAGAGAGCAATGTACACACTGGGAAGGAAGTTGCCTTTATATTTGGAACCCCTTCTCAGCCAACCTCTTGCACAATTACTGTCGTATGTGGGCGATGTTTTTCCAACGGCTTTTAATAGACTTCATGGGTGGTAAGTTTTATAAATTTATAAATCTGTTGTATATAGTTCTCACTTCTAAATAAAACTTTCATTTTAGCACAAGGGTAAATAGATCGCCTAGCTTACTTATTGTAGGAGAGCAGAAGCAAACATCTTTTCTTGCAACTTCTCTATTGTACAAACTTGAACACTGCCCAACTCTTTCAATATCCCTGGAAACGCTGTATTCTGAGTCGGCTCGATCACCTGAGGAAACTGTGACCAAGGTTTTTAAAGAACTTCCTCATAGTTTAGGTTCGATCCTCTGGTTTGGAGATATTTCCTTATGGTGGAGGAATGTCTCGGAGACAGTGAAAGCCGTATTTACAAGTCTCTCTTCTCTTTTGGATCCTTCGCTGCCGATCCTGTTCCTCGCTACATCTCAGACTGGAAACACGCCATCGGAAATAGACCGGTTTTTTAACAAATACAGGAATGAGGTGTTCACGGTCGAAAGGCCGAGCAGGGAGATGCTTGAAAACTTTTTCCGGCCCCTTTTCCGAATGAGAGCACTGAAACCACCCCCAGTGGCTAAGAAAGAGAGGCCGCTTGAACAGCTGGCCGAAGCCCCTCCTACACCCCCTCCAAAGCTAACAAAAGAACAGCTCGAGCATCTTCACAACGAGGAAGAAAACACTCTTCGTGAATTGAGAATTTTTCTCAGACAAATTTGCGCTAAACTCGCTCGCAATAAACAATTTTACATGTTCTCCAAACCCGTTGATACTGAAGAGGTTCCAGATTATTTACAAGTAAGCTTTATTCATTATTATTAATCTATTACCTCAACATCATTACAAATATTATCTGTACTCAGGTAATTCAAGAGCCGATGGACCTTGAGACTATGATGACCAAAATTGACCTTCATAAATATACTTGTGCTGAAGATTTTCTTAAAGATATCGATATGATATGTGCAAATGCTCTCGAGTACAACCCAGACAGAGATCCTGCTGATAAATTGATCCGGCACCGAGCTTGTTATCTTCGCGACACGGCATATGCACTTATTAAAGGTCTGTTCACATAGCGATTGCTCAAGAAGTCACAAACTGCATCGGTCATAGTGACATTTCATTTTATTTTCAGCCGAAATGGACTCGGATTTTGAAGTGAACTGTCGAAGCATACGCGACGCTCGGAAGGGAAGGGATGAACAAATGGAAGAAAAGAAGGAGGAGGTTGTTCAACCCTTGGAAGAGAAAGGTAAAGAAGTAATTGAGGTTTTGTTATAAGTACAATTAAAATTAACAAACAATCAAATCTGAAGATACGATTAATTAAAAGGTTTGATAATGTTACTATTAGCTAAAACACTCCTTTAAAACAATAAATCTTAATGAATTTCCAAATAATATAAATCGACTAAGTTCAGTGAGGAATAATTTATTTTTTAATTTAATTTAATTAAAAATTTAATAAATATATGTATTTTGAAGAATCTGATGTAGTTTAGGATTCATACAATAGTATTTGTTAATAATTACATCATTTTCATCAAATTAATATATACCTACATTTATTATTAAACTTGTTAAATGATTATGGATAAATTAATTCGATAATACTATTTATCTGTCTTACAATTATTATTATTGTTTAATAGAAGAAGATAAGAGGGAAGACGGTCTAGAAAAGAAGCCAATGAACGATAAGCGTCGTAGGCGCAAACGTTGGTCGAAGGGCTTTATAAGCAAGCCTAAAAAAAATTTACATAATGATACAAATTCAGAACCCCATTCGACTCCGATTAAAAGGTGCAAGTGTGATGAAGAAGTGCTTGAAAATGGACTAGACGAGTCTACAACACTGGACGAAAGCGTATCTGTCCACGAGGAGGAGACATCGCAAAAAGTGGTAGTCAACAAGGTGGAACTTGACGCCATTTTCCATCAGACAGTCGACGCCGCAGACAGCGCAAGCGGTTTTGAGCGTCTCCTCGATCTCTACTCCGCCCTCGGAAATATCATAGACTCATACAGCAAATCTTGGGATCGGACCAAAATGCCGTCGGTAAGATATCGTAAATGTACACTTGTCCTTGTCTTTGTATGAAATAATTGTAAACGTTCTATCCTAGGAGCTGAAAGAGCAGTTGGACAAATTCACCGCTCGTATTGAAACTGAAAGTTCCGACACAAAAGAAGAAATTGAAGACCATGAAGAGGAAACCCATTTTTAGAAATTTTTCACCCTAGTTTTTATTTATAATATACCTTTTTGCCAGCTTGACTTATATTCTTTTGGTTGTTGATGGTTTTTCTCTCTCTTCTAATAACAACTACACCTCTTCACTGACAGCACGGGAAACGGCCAAATTGTAAATAATACTTTTATACACATTACAAAAAAATTACAATATATAAACAATTGTAATAATTATAGAAAGAGCATGTGCGAGAGACTGAAATATACGTATAAAAAGCATGTGCTTGTATGTCATAAACAGGCATACAATATAGGAAATATATGTCCAAGATGCAAATCAGAAAATAAATATATATAAAAAAAATTAGACTGTAAGTAATTTATAAATAATTTTTTTACACTTAATCTTTTTTAATAGTGATTAAATTTATGAAAATATGTTATTAATGTTTGTTTGTTAAATGTACATTTTTACAAAAAAACAAAAACAAAAAAAATACAAACAATGGGAAAGTATTTGTTTTTTATTTATTACAACCCCTGAAGTTTCAATAATAATCAAGCGGTGGTTGGAAACAAATATATAATTTATAGTTTGGTTGGTTCTAATTTTTTTTTCTTAGTTTTTGTTGTCTTTTCTCTTTTTGTAGATTGTTTAATTTTTGTTATTTTTAGATATTTTCTTGAAGGTGCGCTTAACAAAAATTGCATTCGAACGATGTGGGCTTGCTGATGGCAATACTTCATAAAAAAAAACAGTAATAGACCAAAATGAATCAGATGCGACCACGTTACAGGTTCATCACCTTGCATTCTTCAAGGAGAAATTAACAATAAATATAACCCATATAAGTATTTAATAGTTACAATTAACAATATTAAGTGTTTTAATTAATTATACTTTTAATCTAAAGTCTTGGTTGAGTTGACGAAGGTTGTTTCGAATTCCGTCCATGAACTTGCTTTTTCATCTCAACCAATACCTTAGATAAAAAGTATAATTAATTCAAATACTAACTGTTATACTGACTTCATTTTATAAAAATTAATGTACTGTCATAAAATAATGGCACAATATTGTACAACTAACCAATACTAAATATTATTTTGGTACTACTATTGACTACTTGAACAATAACTTTTCAATACATTTTTTTAACTAATATTCATTTAACAGATTGTTAATGGCCACAAAAATTAGAGCATTGACACGTCAACTCATCGGTTCTACTTGCTTTCAACATAACTAACTACTAACTTTAACTTTAACTACTTGCCTGTGAGTTGATACCAGTTCGGTAGACAAGCCCAGTCATCGGTGTAATTCCATGATTACTTTTATTATTATGTATTTATTAATTATGATTATATATGGTTAGAAGCACAGTTATATTAATAATATGTACATCTGTGTTTTTTAAATTTTATTTTGCGTGTAATGTGATTTTCATCAGTCAATTTAATCAGTATGTGGATAGGTTTTTGCCCGTTGGCCGAAACTCATATCCACGGGCATCAAATTTGTATTATCGATATTGATACAATGAGACCAGTGCTCGAAATTTAGTGCATGTATGTTTTTGTGTAATCATACACTAGTGCTTAAGCAATATACGTAATTATATTTTTAATAATTTAAATAAAATGTAATTACATTTTTATCATTTACTCTTGATGAGCATATCACAGGCTGTTATTTACTACAGTTCTGATAGAGAAATGTAACTACATTCAAGGAGGATTGGAAGAATCGGCCTGCCCTGCCTTTACGGCATGGCACTGGGACAGAATGTATACAAAGGAACCCCAAAAAATAAAAATCATACATGTTAATCTCGTGTAGTGTGCTATATATAAATAATTAATTAATTAAAAAAATAACTTGCAATTACAGACAGAAAAAAGTCATTATATGCATTTTTAAAATATCAAATTATCACAGAAAGTATACATATAAAATATGAAAATAAAAATGAAACCAACAGAAAAAAAGACAATCAACAATACACACATATATAACAAAGAGAAAAACATACATATTTAAAATAAAAAATATATGGTATATATTTATAAATACTTTTAAATACTTAATAAATATTATTATATATTACTTTATTATTGTATATTTGTCTTTTTTGAGTAAAAAGACTTACATTTGGATTGTGTAGATAAATTTAAACACTTATTTCCAGCAGATTTTATTTTAATTAAGGCGGTAGGTTTTATTTAACCCTCAAATAAAAGAAAATTTGCTGTAACTAAAAGCGTTTGAATTTATCTAAAAAATCCACGACGAGGTTCCATCACAAAGAAGTGCTAAAAGAAATGTGTTAAGAGTTCTTTGTTTTTCAACTGATTCTGAACTGATGACTTTATTTAACAAATATTTCATATTTATTCTTTTATAATTATTCATTATTTTATTATATATATTTTTTGTGTATATGTGAAAAAAGCTGTTAGAGGCTTTGTTTTTTGACTGATGGTGGACATAGTTTTTTTTTTTTCAGACAATTTTTAACACATTTTACAAAATATTTATTTACAGATACTTTTCATTATTATGTATTATTTAAATTAATTTTTTTTTTATCCTAAGGTCTTGGTTGAGATGAAAAAGTTACTGGCACGAATGGGATTCGAATCCACGATCTTCGACAGCAACTCATCTCAACCTACAACCTTTTGGATTTTCCCTCTTTTTGTCATTTTTCAAATGTCGTGTAATCGAATTGGATTCTCAGCAACTTATGAAGTGGCCAAAGAACGTGTGTTCGAATCCCACTCATGACACTAAATTTTTAAACTCAACCAAGACCTTAGAAAAAGAAATTTAATTGAAATAATTAATATAGTCAATTACGACTGTTAAACATGTATGGATTAGTGATATTTTTTGTACATATTTATTTAGTTTTTTGTTGCAAGAAAAACTTTACAAAAAGAGTTCTTTATTTTTCAACTGATGGTGGACAGATAATAGTTGAATTTTTTTAAAATTTAATTTTGGAAACGATTTTTTATACATTTTACAAAATATTCATTAATAAATACTTTTCATTATTATTATTATTGTTTTTAATTAAAATGAATTTGTTATGTTAATTATATGCAGTATAAAAGAAACATTAAATATTATTTGTAAAAAAAATAAACTATTAGTTCTTTGGTTTTCAACTGATGGTGGATTGATAATTGCTGATTTTTTTTTTTAGTTTTAGACACGTTTGTTATTTAATTGTCGTAACAAATATGTATTTATTAGAGTAAAAGTGTGTTTGACGTTTTTGCGTCAAATCCAAATCAAAGGGGCAAATGGGTAAATCCGTAAATGTACGAATAGCTGTGTGGAGGGGCGGGGAGCGATCCCCCCTCGGATCAACAAGTGGAGGGGCCGTTCCACTCCCCTTCTGCGATACCGGGGCCAGTCCCGAGCCGAGCCCGGAGCCGTGCGGTTCTCGAGAACAACCGATAAACTTAAGATGGACTCGCCTCAGCTGTACGACAATCCCGGCGAGATGAAGAAGCCGGTCCAGCCGCAGCAAAAGCGTTACACCGAGCTTTCGGACTTGAACGCCCCCGAAATCTCGCTCGACCTCCAGAATCTGATAGACGATTCCCAGTTCAACGAGGGCATCTTCAACGACATTTTGACCGGTCCTAAGCCCCGTTATCAGAACAGGACGACCCTAGCTTATATGCCTCAGCCTGTCCATTTCGAGGCCGTGAAAGAAGAGCCGGAGGAGTTTAGGTACACATACCAGTCGCCTCTCCTCAAGACCCAGCTGAGGAAATCTGGCAAGTCGATAGACAAGAACACCGACGAATACAAGAGACGACGAGAGAGAAACAACATCGCCGTGAGAAAGTCTCGGGAGAAGGCCAAGATGCGCTCGCGTGAGACAGAGGAGAAGGTGAAGCTCCTCATCAAAGAGAACGAGAGGCTCCAGAAAAGGATCGAGCTCCTCACAGAAGAGCTGAACGTCCTGAGGAGCCTCTTCAGCAACGTCGGCGTCCTCCCGGAACACCTCCACCGGGAGCTGAACAAACACCTTGACACTTACAACCACCAATAACACACCCTAAACCACCCCAGAAAAGAAGGAAGAAGAAGTGTACTGTGCAAGTTTCAAGTGCTTTTCTTTATATTTTATATCCTCACAACTGGAAAAGTTAAAGGTAAAAGTACTTACTCTAATGGTTTGGAGCTCGGATTTATATTATTGGATAAGGCTGTGATCTTAAATCTTTGGTTTTGGTTCTGTGCGGGCATAGGATACAAACGTACAACTGGGATCCGTCAATGCACCACCCTGTTGTTATTTGATTATAGATCTTCTCAAACTGTTTCGCTTTTTTTTTCCGGGCTCGGTGCTCAAGACGAACCGCAGCGGACCAAGTGGTCTCGAGGGGCGTAACTATATTTGGCGTCTTCTTTCTTTAACTCGACAAAATCCTTCGACTCTGTGGCATTTTCTGTGTTGTTTCTGTTTCAAGTGGTTCGAAGTGTTTGTTCCTGCTTTCTGGTGATGTTAGATCCAAGGTTAAGCCGTACTTACACACTTTATGGTGCTGCTAAGTAGTAAGCGCCTTTCTTGACTTGTGATGCCGATTTGGAAAAAAAAATTTCAACCTGTCAGCAATAACGATTTGTCCTTTACTTCTTCATATAATCAGAATTATTACAATCGAATTTGTCCAAAAAGAAATACGATAAACAAAAAAATTGTTAATGATCACACCTTAAGGTTTAATTAATATATTAATCTTTACCATTATCTAATAAAAAGGTCGTAAAATCGTTCTTTCCAAGCACATTTTAATAATGACATAATTGACCTATATTTTTTTTCCTTTGGGTTTCACGTGTGTTCCTTTTTTTTTACTACTTCTTAATATCTTAACATATAACGTAGATGTATATACCGCCATATATTAAAGTTACCATTTTGGCAAAAAAAGTTACCATTATTAAACAAAAGTAGTCGTGCCAAAAGAAAATTATAGAGATATGTAGTGTCTATAGTCATATTTCGTGATTTCTGTCTCAAGGGGTGTTTTCTCAATTATAAATAACAAAGGGATTTTTGAGTTTTTTCGTGTAAAAGTGAGAATTTAGTTTTCGAGTTAGTCTTTCATTCTTGTCTGTAGACAACATACGAAGTGCAAGAAAATTTCACGTTTGTTCAAAAGGTTAAAACAGGATCTTTAATTGACCAATGTCAGGAAAGGGTTGAAATTTACGGTCTGGCTGCTTTCCTACAAATCGACGCCATTTTTTAAAGAGTTCTGATGCTTCGTTTTTAAACCAAGTACCGAATCTCTCTTTGTTTTCTTATTAAACCCCCATTTTCCTCTTACTATCTTTCTTCCTGTCAAAACTATTTACTGTTTACACTTTGTACTTTTCTTTTATCCACCGGGACAAATCGATTATGGACTTTTTAACTTTCCGCCTATCCGCATTTCTTCGTTTATTTTCTTTCTTGCAAACCCAATCTGAACCAAAACCGTTTTCCCTCTCACGTGTTTTTTCTTTGTTTTTGCCCGTTGTTTTCCCTCTCACCGATGGCCTTGAAAATATCAAACTGTGATCTTCCGAGCTCCGATCATCGAGAAAAAATAAAAAAAAGCTTAACGAGAAAATTGATGTTCTATATATTTATTTACTATTGTATAAAAATATATTTAAAAAATAATAATAAAAAGTCTAACAGCTATGTAAATATGATATTGTTAACAGAAAAAGAAAAAATTGTGATTTATAAAAAAAAAATTATAATTTTAACATTTTCTTTTTTTTCTGGTGTCGGACTTAAAAAAAGCTTTGCATGTGTGTATACTTAAGTATATTAAATCAGCATAAACAATATACTTAAATATTCAGCAGAAATCTTCTTCTTTCTTCCAGCGATTATATATATCTAAAAAAGTAAAATTTTTTAAAAATTAAAAAAAAGCATTTGTATAGAACTATTTTTGTTACCTTTTATATATAAATATATATATAGCGAGAGAGAAAGAGTATAATAATGATAATAATTAAAAAAAAAAGAAATTTTCAATTTTAAGCTAAGATGTAAACAAAATTTATTCATAATGTGTTAAATGGAGGATATTTTGTTAAAAATGTTGTGGAGGAGACAAAAAAAAGTGAAAAGTTACCAAAAAATCTGTTATTTTTAAAAACTTGGAACGAATTAAAATATAATTTTAAACCAGTAAATTTAAGGCTTTTTACTCATTAATAAAACACAAATACATCTATTTATACAGTTCCACTTATCAGCACTGTATATATCATACCATTGAAAAACAAGAAAAAAAATCCATGTAAATATTATTTTATTATCATTAATTGAGGATAATTTATTGATTTTTATGGAAAAAAATTATTGAATTTTTTTTGCGTTCTTTAATTATAATAGTAATTAATTTATTTTTTATTCCAAAAAATTATATATTTGATACATATAGCTATATATTTTCTACATAGTTAAAAACAGATTATATGGTGTTAAACACCCACAATTTTTATTTTATTTTCGTTTTCATTGTAGATACTTAAAATGACATTAAACAAAAATTGGTTTCGTTCATTTCTTTAATCTAATAGATTTGTATACATATTATTTTCTTTTTTATATATATATAAATATATACATAATTATATGCAAATATACGAATTTGTAGTTGTTAAGTTGGAGATATAATTTTTTAATGTATTTTCCATTGTTTTGTTTCCCCCCTTTGTATTATTTTATTTTGTATGCCCCTTTTTTAATTTATTATTAAAAAAAAAATATTTTTGGAAGACCAGGAGGAGACTTGTTTATTATTTAACCCAATGAGGTAGTAAACCTTTTTCGTATTCATCCTGTGAATTATGTAAGTAAGCAGGAATTTGGAATATGCAGTTGTCATTTTAAATTTTAAATCGATAGTGGTCAAGAAGAAAGGAGCCAGTTTATTTTCACCTCGATCCCTTAAATAATTGGACTTTATTATTGACGTGTACCATAGGAAATTTCACCGGCTTAAAATTTCAAAGCACACGAACGGCTTTGTTATGCTTCGCTGTATATTTATTTACAGTGGGTAGCGTCATTGTTATATTTGGTCGGATTTGGCTCAGGGGTTCCGGGCCCTCGGCCAAAATCTATGTTAAAGAGATGCAAATATCTATGGTTTAAATTTAGGCGTTTTATTTTCAATATAATAATGTAATTGGTTATGCTGTAAAGACAAGCCGTGGGAGGATGCCAGGATGTAATTATACTGATGAAAAACTAGTTTCTGGGAAATCAGGTTTTATAGATGGGGAAAAAAGTATGTTAAAGTTGAAAAAAAGTGGGAATTTTGAGTCGCAATTTAGCTGTGGATTAATAGCTGGGACAGGTATGCAATTTGTAATAACTTGTAATTTTTCCAATTCCCCTAGTAGCGTCTTGAAAAAAATTATGACCCAAAACTAAACAAATTTGTCATTTCAATTTCTACAAAAATATTCAAGATGTCGTATTTAAAACTGACATGACAGCAAACATTAAAAACTTCTAATCCATTTATGACGACAAAAATGATACTAATATACAATAATAATAATAATAATAAAATCTTAATGACATATACAAATCTAAAGCAAATAAGAGTACAAACTTCATGTGAAAATTTGGTTATTTTTTGGCACAAATCGAATCTTTTTAGCATAGGTAAGAGAAAAACGTTCGACAGTAGATATTTTTTCTATGCAATCTGGGTCGTTTAATTTCGCATGATTGTGTTTTAAAAGTAATAAAAACAAAAATTTGGTCTTTTTTAGCACAAATCTAAATTTAATTAATTTTTTCCTAAGCAATTTGGGTCGTTTAATTTCGCATGATCGTGTTTTAAAAAGAATGCAAACAAACAATTTATCTTTTTGTATACATTTTTAGCTTCTAAAATTGAAAAATGTTCGGCAATAGATTTTTTTTTCTATGCAACCAGGGGCGTTTAATTTTGAATGGTCGTGTTTTCCAAAATAATACAAACAAAAAATTGGTTATTATTAGCATAAATCAATTTTTTTAGCTTGTGAAAACTGGAAAATGTTCGACAATAGATATTTTTTCTATGCAACCAGAGGCGTTTAATTTTGCATGGTCGTGTTTTCCAAAATAATACAAACAAAAAATTGGTTATTATTAGCATAAATCAATTTTTTTAGCTTCTGAAAACTGGAAAATGTTCGACAATAGATATTTTTTCTATGCAACCAGGGGCGTTTAATTTTGCTTGATCGTGTTTTACAAAATAATACAAACAAAAAAATTGGTTTTTATTGGCATAAATCGATTTTTTTAGCATCTAAAAACTAAAAACGGTTGGATCTTTTAATGTCACATTACTGTGTTTTAAAAATAATACAAACAAAAATTTGGTCTTTTTTTGCAGTAATCGAATTTTTTATCTTGTAAAAACTGAACACCGTTCGACATTAGATATTTTTTCTAAGCAATCTGGGTTGTTTGATTTTGCATGATTGTGTTTTTAAAAGAATGCAAACAAAAATTTTGTCTTTTTTTTGCATAAATCGAATTTTTTAGCTTCTGAAAACTGAAAAAAGTTGGGTCGTTTAATTTTGCATGACTGTGTTTTAAAAATAACACTTTTTGTTTTGCACAAATTGAATTTTTTATCTTCTAAAAACTGAAAAACCTTCTACAATAGATAATATTTCCGTGCAACTGAAAAAAGTTGGGTCGTTTAATTTCGCGTGATTGGGTTTTAAAGATTATAGAAACAAAAATTTTGTATATGTTGGGAAAAATCGAATTTTTTATCTTCTGAAAACCGAAAAACGTACGGCAATAGATTTTTTGTAAGCAATTTGGGTCGTTTAATTTCGCATGATCGTGTTTTAAAAATAATGCAAAAAAAAATGTCTTTTTTTTGCACAAATCGAAGTTTTTATCTTTCGAAAAACCAAAAAACGTTCGTCAATAGATATATATTTTTTCTAAGCAATTTGGGTCATTTAATTTCGCAAGATCGTGTTTTAAAAAGAATGCAAAGAAAAAATTTGTCTTTTTTTTGCACAAATCGAATTTTTTATCTTCCGAAAACCGAAAAATGTTCGTCAATAGATATAAATTTTTTCTAAGCAATCTGGGTCGTTTAATTTCACATGATCGTGTTTTAAAAAGAAAGCAAAGAAAAAATTTGTCTTTTTTTGGCCCAAATCGAATTTCTTATCTTCTGAAAACCGAAAAACGTTCGTCAATAGACATATATTTTTTCTAAGCAATTTGGTTCAATTAATTTCGCATGATCGTGTTTTAAAAAGAATGCAAAGAAAAAATTTGT